ATTAGAGCGGCAAAGGTTTAAAAGTATTATCAGGAAGTATTACTTTACTGAGAGGGTAGTGGATGCATGGAATAGCCTTCCAGCTGAAGTGGTAGAGGTTAACACAGTAAAGGAGTTTAAGCATGTGTGGGATAGGCATAAAGCTATCCTAGCTATAAGATAAGGCCAGGGACTAATGAAAGTATTTAGAAAACTGGGCAGACTAGATGGGCTGAATGGTTCTTATCTGCTGTCACATTCTATGTTTCGCATTACCAATAATACAGTGTGTTAATATAGAATTTAAAAAAGAAAAATCACTGTTGCCCATGATGTGCACTGTTGGCAGTGAGGAGATTGTGGATTCTTCAAGACACAAAAATGTGAATAATATTAGTCTGTTCTCCCCCTTATTGCATGCCACTGCTCCCACACATAAGATCAGCTACGTTTTAAATATAGGATGCAGCCCACTCAGATTTTTTTTTCTACCAGGCAAATAAAAGCTGCACTATAACTATGTTCCTGCTGTTAATTCTGCCACACGAAGATGTGTTGTCAGCGATGAAATATCGATATACCCAAGTTTTCTGTCTTAACTGAGTAACTATGGCCCTAACTGTATTCAGAAAATTTAGAGATGTCAGACAATGGTGTGGGGGAACCTATCACCCATTTCGTACATTTTGCCCCCTTTCGTGTGTTTCTTCCCTTTTTCGTTCGGGAGTTGTTATATACGAACGCTCTCCATACGTCTCCCAAACACTAAAACATTCACACCAGCAACTTAAGTGCGAAACTGCAAGGGAAATAAATAATGAATTATTGGTGGCCATCTTGTCTCTTGATCGTTGAGTGCCTGGAACTCTTTTCACCTAGGCACTCGCACGAACCCCAGTAAAGATTGGACAGCTGCCCGTTCTACTTTCCAACCAGCTATGTGAACGACGTTCGGGAGATATGAACTACTGAACAAGGGGAGCATTCGTACCCTGAAACTAAAAGAATCCCTTGCATGGTGTTCGCACAAGAACTCCCGAATAGAGACCAGCCAGGACACCTATTTCCCTGGAACGGTTTTGGGCTAGCGCCTCGTGTCTGGCCAGTCAAAACTTTACCCCGGTGGCATTCCCATTTCACCGAACCGATCTGAGTGATCTTTGGATACGTACACTCAGATCAGGGCTATCCGGGGGTATAACTTTTGTGGGGTTCCTGTTTATGGTGCGGGCACTTTTGGGGTACTGCAGATTTTGTATAGATTTTCTGTACCTTAGAGATAATTGAATTATAGTTTTTTCTTACACAATTATCTCTCACGCACAGATGAACTTGGGATTGAAACTCTTGTTATTGTTTTGAGACCCCATGTATGTAAATAAATCAGTTGACTACCATGTGACGAGACCAATCTCGCCATTGTGCATTGGAGGAGCCTTGTTGCCCGCCTGCTGCCTTTAGACTATGGCCCCATGTTGAAATGCTTGATTTTCCCCTGCTAAGACACGAAAGCCGGGTCATTCGGTGCTGGCCCTGTTTGAGCAGTGATACCCCAGATACCTATGCCATGGAGCCCATTCGTATAATGAAAGACTATGGGAAAGACTTTGGCTCCATGGTAATTGAACTGTATGTGTGTGCTCTGAGCGCCATTCAGTAATAATGTGCGCTCAGATCTGAGCTATCTGGGGATATGTTGAATGTACCTGTTTTGTGCAATGGCTGCACAGTTATATATTTTTATGTGTTTTATTGTCTTTTGCTGCCATGTGTTCAATGGAGTTTTGCCTCTGTCCTTGGAGATAATTGGATTACTTCTCAATTATCTCCAGGATAGAAGACTCTGTGGAACTGGTTTTAGGCAGAAAATCCATGCTTCCTTTGGTCACAAAGGACTTCGATCTATCTTTTGAACCAATGGACCAATTTGGATGATTTTGACATATGTTTGTATTTGGAGTATGCTGGTTCTGAAAATTTACATTTTATGTGAATGTGTACTTTTCAAGTTATGAATAATGTGGAAATACTGTATTTCTCTGGCTGTTATAATTACATTACCCATTGTGTAAGGTAATTGTATCACAGGCAGAGGGGAGGATTTTGTGTGGGAGTGTCTTAGTGTATTGTACGTGTTTATTAGTTGTTTTCCAAAACCCTGTGGGTGGTACTAATGTGTATATAAGAACAATAAACCCACAGCTCTGTCTGTTCCTGCTTGACCCTCAAAACGGAGCCTTGTCTCGTTCTTGGGGGGATTAATTGTATGCTGTTCCAGTTCCATGCCATCTCCATCATAGCATGAGGACGTCCAAAAGCCGCCTAACAATCCGGTTGTCCCTATAGTGGCTGTCTAATAGATAGCCATTAGTGGAGTTAATTAATGAAGGTAATTATTGCAGTTTAAATAAAAATAAGTGGTCAAGCAAATATAAATCTGATTAATATGGTCTGCTTTACACCATAAACAGAGTGAACTTGGATTAGATCAATCAAATAAACATGCGGTATCAGTACTCCAATTGTAAAAATAATACAAATCAAATAAGTATAAAAAATTTAATTTTATTGAATAAAATGCATTGACTAAACACAGAACTCTAAAGTCAGAGGTATTTGCTTTGGAAGTATGCATCTCCTGCTCTATAAATTGAGCTTTAATCATGTAGGTTCCTGTAGGGTCTAGTAGGCTATTAACAGAATGTTCAATAAAGGAAGTTTAAACAGATATCTCTTTACAGGAAGACTATGCAAGTCACATGCAGGGAGGTGTGGCTTTGGTGTATAAACAAAGTTACTTAACATTTCATTGCCCAAATGGGGATAACCGTTAAGTAGATAGATCCCCAATAAAGGATGCATGAGTTTTTCATGCATGTACATATTGGGTGTATATCATAAAAGCAGAGGCTTTAAAATGCAGCCTTAGCGAGCTCCCCCCCACATCTGGTTTAAAGGGACACTCCAGTGCCAGGAAAACACTGCAGGTAACCTCTCCCTTCCACCCCCCATCCCAGGTTACTTACCTGTATCCAGCGCCGATGTCCCTCGGCGCTGGTTCAGAATCCGCCCACGATGACGTCATCCGGCAGGGGAGACCTATTGCGCATTCACAGCCGGCGGCGGGGATAGACCTAATGCCGCGCATGCGCATTAGACCTCCCCATAGGAAAGCATTGAAAAATGCTTTCCTATAGGGATTTCAGCAACGCTGGAGGTCCTCACATAATGTGAGGACGTCCAGCGACTCTATAGCACACGAAATGTGTGCTATAAACCCAGAAGTGCCCTCTAGTGGCTGTCTAGTAGACCGCCACTAGAGGAGGAGTTAACCCTTTTTTTTATGAAAACTGCAATATTTACAGTTGCAGGGTTAAGGGTAGTGGGAGTTGGCACCCAGACCACTCTAATGGGCAGAAGTGGTCTGGGTGCCTGGAGTGTCCCTTTAAGGTCTGGAATAGCTGATCTGAGGCAGCAAGCCTGCCACTTCTGTTAGCTCAAGGAAGCAGGCTGCAAACCTTTGACAGAGCCTTATAGTTAATTTATAAAAGGGTGCGTTTATAAACTGGGATTAAACTTAGATACTCATTCATAGAGCACTTCAACTCCTAAATTGCAAAGAATTCAGCAGCGAGATTGCAGGGGCATGATCTATACACCAAAACTGCTCCTTAAAGTTAACGTTTTGGCATCCACAGTATTCCTTTAAGAGCGTTACCTTAAGATTTTCACAACTCTTTTGTAAATACGAGAGAAATGATTGCCTTACTCCTACTGGCACCTAGAATGTTCCTCAGGCAGCACAGTCATAAGACATATTCCAACAGTGGATATAGCCCTTTTTAAAATGAATAACACCGCATCATGAGTTGTTTTTTTGGGGTGGGGATTACATAAACTTATTTTCCCATTCCTCTTTAAAAGGTTTTTATTGAAGCCCAGTTTATGTGATAAGTTAATCGATCATTCTAAAGAAATATTTACAAACTACATCCAGCTTATTTCAGTAGGTTAAAAACACACCATCCTTTTAAGTTGACATCATTTACCAACTTACCTGTCATTAAGTCACAGCCTCTGACGCTCCACTGAGCTAAGCCCCTGCCAGTTCTTTGGCACTCTGGCCACTGCGCCCCTTGTTTCTGATTAAGGCAGACTAGCCATGCAGCCAGTGGACCAAGTCAATTGGCCTTAAAGGACCACTATAGTGCCAGGAAAACTCATTTTCCTGGCACTATAGTGCCCTGAGGGTGCCCCCACCTTCAGAGTCCCCCTCCCACCGAGCACTGGGGAGAGGAAGGGGTTAAAAACTTACCTTTTTTCTCCCAGCGCCGGGCTCTCCACCTCCGATCCTCCCTTTCATAAGGCTTTCCTATTGACGCTTGCGTGTTCTCACTGATTTTCACAGTGAGAATCACACAAGCGCCTGTCAACGAGACAGCCACTAGAGGATTTGGAGGCTGGATTAACCCTAACATAGCAGGGTCTCTGAAACTGCTTTGAGAAAAAAAAAAAAAAAAAAATTATATATATATATATATAAATAAATGTTAATCCTAGCTGGACCTGGCACCCAGACCACGTCAGTAAGTGGAAGTGGTCTGTGTGCCTAGAGGGGTCCTTTAACACAACAGTCCTGAATTACTATTCCTGCAAACGCACGTGCCAATATATGGGATATGCTAACGTCCACAATAGAGGTTGAGCAACCCACTTCAGACTGCAAAAAAATTAAGCTGAGTTCTATTGCAGATTCCCTTTAACCCCTTAAAGGACACAACTTGAAATAAAATGGAATCATGACAGCATATTTCCATCATGTGTCCTTAAGGGGTTAGTGAACTACATTTCACTTAGACATTTAGAATTAAATGTAACCTAGTCAGGTTGGAGAAGTTTTGCATATTCACAGCCGGAAGTCATCATTTAATTTACTGTCTCTACCTGAATTAAATTTAAGTATCTAAACTTGTGCTTTAGCCAAGTTCAAACCCACCCTTGGAAGCAGACTGTAAGACAAGTTATTGCACAAAATTTATTTTATTCCATTCAACAATCAGACAATAGGGAAGACAAGATAACACAAAATCCCTTTAGTTTTTGGCATTCCAAAAAGGTCCAACACTTGACAGGTCCTCCTTTTCATTCACAGTGCACTTAGATCGCCAATAAAGGTCAGACCATTTTCCCTTCAAGCCATTGCTGGGGTGTGGTGGATTCAGTAGAAAATTCAAAAATTAATTTTTCTTCTCTTGTTCAATTGCTAGAGAGATCAAAAAATAGCAGAGTTAAAAATAAAGTCTTAAGTCAAAACTAGACATCAATACATTCCTGATATTAGCAGTTCTAGTGTTCGATTGTCCATGCAACATATTATGAAAGAGTTTTAATTAGGATAGTGGTGAGGCATCAGATATTTTCACATGCATTATGGAATCCGCCCCCTTAAAGGGTGATGGAAATAGGCAGGGAGTGCCCTATAATGGTTAGTTGGGAGACACCAAGTTAAACAAAAAGACCCTCACTCTCTTTCGTAGGCAGTGTGTTTTTCTCTTTTGTTTCAGTTTTCCTCAGCTTGGATTTGTCAAACTTGTCGATTTCCCCCAGATCTGGCTTATCTGCCATTTTTAGACTTAATCTGTAACAGAGCAAGAAGGAGGTCAGTCAGCATGGCCAGACAGACAATGCATACAGGAATCGGTGTAATGCCACACACCATTAAACAGTTAAATATAAAAAAAACCTCACATCATGATTGTTTTAACACATTGAATACCAAGTATGGGTAATAAAGCATTAGCACACACCTCGCACTCAAAAGGTAAAAGAAAAAAAACCTGCATCTGATAGAATGTCGTTTGGAACGTTATCTTAATGATGGATACACTGTTTCAATGCATCCTTTACCCTGTGTGAAGATAGCTCCATTCACATACCATTACAGACAAGGACTAATGAACCATCTATGGCAAATGATATATACTAAAATCCCATATACCTGCTAAAACCATAGTATAATAAGCTTAAAATTAACCAGCCAATCCCAAAATGAATGAAAAGCTCCCTCTATGACAGCAGTAATAACACAGAGCCCCCAGCTTACCTGGCAGTGGCTACTCACACCAACACTACAAAATCTCCTGCCGCACAAATGAACAATGGGAAAGCAGCCGGTCCATGCCTTATATACCCCACCCAGCCCATCAGCTACGTCATACTGCCACCTGATTGGACGAGAAGTCAGACAGACATGGATATAATAGACTGAAGCCCTGGCAGGGGAATGTCACGTCACGTGATCCTGCTAGCAGAGTTCTCCCCCACACCACTTTCCTCCTCAGTTAGAGGATGGGGGGAGCTTTGAGATATAGGCATGCAGCCATTGTCCGTTTCACATGAAACGTGGGTTTTTAGTAAAAGGTCCCCCCACCCCTTTGCTTAGGGGTGATGGTAGCTACAAATTATCAGTTTACCTTCTAGTACAGAAAAATTAAAGAACATTGTTCTCATAAAAAATGAGGCTGTGATTAAAATTTGACAGCATGTGATGCTTTTTCTTATAGAGATCTAACTAATGCATGCTGATCTGGGGTATGGAGAATTCATATGCTGCAGGAGGAAGTCAGGTAATTAATCAAGTAGGGTGGGGTCCCCATGGAACTGCCCTGATTAGTTTACTGATTACCTTTCTGCAGCTAGTACATCCATAGAAGGTGCAGGGCAGCATTATTTATGCCCTGCTCATCAGATAGGGCTCAAGAAAAATAGTGGACCTGGCAGCACAAGGTCCAAACACATTGTCCTTCAGTATTCCTGCAACTAGCTAGGTGGTAGAATTCTGTCTTGGTGGCTAATGCAATGGTGTTTATTGATCCATGTATAGAAATATTTGGGGGCCCCATCAACCCGTGCCGAAAGGATTATTTACTAAAGTGGGAATAAAAGGGCAATTTGTCCAGTTTGGCCATTTTAGGTCCTTAAAGTCTCAATTTAGTGAATAACCCAGCATATTAAACATAACACCCCAAAATCAGCTTCTATTCCTCCTATTGTTTGTCAGATTCAAGGAAGGTGGTAGAGAGAAGAGGCCAGGGATCTAATCACAATTGTTCCCCTTGTGACCATGTTATTACAGTGGTGGAAGCCAAAGTCAAAGGATAACAAGGTACAAGAGTTCTGGTTCACTGGTGGAGATAACAATGAAGGGGCACTGGTTAGGGATTTGTTAAATAACTGAGAAAAAGGAATGAATGGAAGGGGATAGCGGAGTAATGGGAATCAGGGTTTAAGGCTGACTAAGGAGGGGGAAATAAAAGGGGCAGGGAATTTTGGAGACTGGTGAAGGGACAGATGGGGGCGATGGAAGGAGGGTAGGGTACCTCTATGATTGTGAAACAGAATTACATTTTAACCCTGCTCACACTGAAATGCTGTTTAGAGTGATTTAAAGGGAAACTAGTTCTAGGAAAACTGATGGCACTGAAGGGGTTAAAACATATCACTTACCTGATTCCAGCGCCTCCGCTCCTCCTCTGCAGACGTCAGCCAACATATAATGCTTTCCTGAGAGGCTTTGGGTAATGCTGTTTTTTTTAAGCAAAGCGTGAGGACGTCTGTTATTTAGCAGACTAAAAGTCCGCTAAGGACCCGGAAGTGCCTCTAGTGGCTGTCTGGTAGACAGCCACTAGAGGTGGAGTTAACCCTGCAAGGTAATGCAGTTGATCAATAACTGCAATAATTCCAATTGCAGGGTTAAGGGGACTGGGACACTGCACCCAGACCACTTCCATCAGCTGAAGCAGTCTGGGTGCTTATAGTGTCCCTTTAAATCCCCATTGAAACTTTGAGCTCTGCATGCAGCTCACCTGTCAGTCTGAGCCCACTAAAAATGGATCTCAGCTGACAAAAGGGTGCCCCAATTATCTATTGGATTTAACCCTGCTCATACTACAGTGCTGTTTATGGTCATAGAAATCCCCATTAAAAGTGTTGCATGCCAATTTCAATCTGAGCTCTGTATGCAGCTTACCTAGGGCTGGATTTAAAGGGACACTATAGTCACCCAGACCACTTCATCTCATTGAAGTGGTCTGGGTGAGTGTCCCTGTCCCCCTTTGTCTTTCAATGTAAAACATTGCAGTTTTAGAGAAATTGCAATAATTACCTTGCAGCAGTGGCGTACTAAGGGGGGGGCGGAGGGGGTGGTCCACCCCAGGTGCCACTCACTAGGGGGGTGCCTGGGGCAGACTGTGTCGAGTCATGGGTCACTGACCGAGGACCCGACACCAGGAGGGGGCCTGGCGGCTTGCTCGATATGCCGCTGGGTGAGATGCCCCTCCTGCACCTATCGCAGACAATGGTCTGCAGCTCCGCAGTGTGCAGAGCTGCAGACCTTGTGTGTCGCGAGATCTGATCAATCAGAGCGTTGTCGCAGGTTACCACGGCAACTCTCTGACTGTGTCTCGCACGATTCATGGTCTGCAACTCTGTGGACCGGCACCTGATATCACCACCGGACCACCAGGGAGCGCACACTGGACCACCAGGGAATAAATAAGGTATTTAGTCCCCCCCGCCCTCCATCATCCTCCCTTCCTCACACCATCACCCCCCCTCACACATAACCCCCTCCTTCACACCATCACCACCTCCTTCACACCATCACCCCCCTCCCTCACACACATCACCTCCCCCCCTCACACCATCCCCTCCCTCCCTCTCACCATCACCTCCTCCCTCTCACCATCACCCCCTCACTCCACCATCACCCTCCCTCCCTCACACAATCACCCCCTCCCTCACAATATTACCCCTCCCTCACACCATCACCCCCTCCCTCACAATATTACCCCCTCCCTCTCACCATCACCCCCTCCCTCACACCATTATCCGCTATACAGGCACACACACTGCATCCAGTACACAAACACACTGCATTCACTATACAAACACACTACATACACAATACAAACACACACTTATACATGTGTGTCTGTGTATCTGTATGTGTGTTGGTATATGTGTATCTGTATGTGTCAGTGAGTGTCTGTGTATCAGTTTGTGTGTCTATGTTTGTATCAGTGTGTCTGTATGTGTGTGTCTCTATTTGTATGTGTGTCTGTGCCTGTGTGTCTCTATGTGTGTGTGTGTGTTTGTATCTATATGTGTGTTTGTATCTGTGTGTGTATCTGTATGTGTGTCAGTGTTTGTCTGCATCTGTGTATGACTGTGTTTCTATGTAACAGCATGTGTGTACCTATGTGTCTGTGTGCCAGTGTGTGTCTATATGAGTGTGTATGTGCATACATCTCAGCATTTCGCCTACACTACACACAAATACAACCCTGCATCCAAATGTCAACACTACATAAAAACATACCACCATATAAAAAAAACACACTACAGAAAAATGCACGCCTGCATTCAAATGCCAATACGTGCAAACACACCCATACATTTACTCACACATACTCCATACAAAAACATGCTTACTCTATAATGTACCAAGCCCCACTAAGTTTCAATGCTATTTTTTATTTTTAAAGTAACTCACTCCTCATCATGATGTTACAGAAACTGTTTATTGTACCATGGTTAATGTACAATGTTACCTGTACCGAAAACATTTCATTTACATTTCTCTGTAATTGATACACTTGTACTGTAACATTTATTTTGTTGGCATATTGAGTGAGAAACAATAAAAAGATATAAACAAAACAACAACAAAAAAACATGCTTACATTCAAACACACAAACACTGCTCAGTGTTTAATACAGAAAAAAAATACAAACACTACTCAGTGCTAAATACATGTAAAAGAATTTGTGGATTTTTTTTTTACATTTTTAAGCTGGGGGGGGATGCCAAATATAGGATCAGCCCCGGCCTTGCAGGACTAAGACTGCCTCCAGACATTAAAAAAACCAAAACAGTCTCTTTGCAGAGATAGTGAGTGATACTCTATAGTGCCTAGACAAAGAAGCAGCTCAAACACATAAACTGGAATAATCTGATTTCCACAATCAGTTTACAATGTTAAAATATATGGTATACAATATACACCAATTAGTGGAGCACTGTATAAATTTAAAGTCATGTTGTCCTTAAGTGGTAAACTACAATAAATGTGTTTAGAAATCGCTCTGTGTATATAAGATGGATTTTTCTTGTTCTAAATTACACTTGAGTTGCATAAATTATTAGTAAATCACTTAACATTTCTCAGAACAGCGCTGTACCTGGCCATACTACCACTTAAAAATGTAAAATTAAAGTGTCTTTATTTGACTGTTTGAAATCTTTGGAGATATTCAACTGTTTTATTCAAAGCTAAAGCTCTTGAATTAGACAATTGTAGGGCTAAGACATTGTGCTGCCTGGGTCCAGGGATGAAATGCTGCACCTCTACCTCCCACCACCAGAAAAAAAACATATTGCTTCTGCCATGGTAATGTCTCTATGTGTGTGTCTAAGTGTGTGTGCTGTGGGTGAAGTGTGTGTCTAAGTGTGTGTTGGGGATGTAGTGTGTATCTGTGTGTGTGCTGGGGATGTAGCGTGTGTCTGTATGTGCACTGCAGCCAATACAATTACCTATACACTGTGTCTGTGTATCTGCATGTGTGTCAGTGATTGTATCTGTTTGTCTACATATCTGCATGTGTGGCAATGTTTGTATCTGTGTGTCTGTATATCTGCATGTGTATCTGTGTGTCAGAACTTAACTATCGGCTTCTCCGATAATCCGACACTTCCGGGTTCACGGACCAATGACACGCCCCCTTCTCTGACGCTATTTTGAAGCTTCCTGAACTTCTGACCGGCTATAAACAATCTCTCGCTAAACTTCTGAACGTGTACCAAAACTGGACTGTTCATACTGTGGATCTCCATCCTCCTTCTATTGACCTTGGATTACCTTTGGAATACTTTCTGCTTTGTAAAACCTTCCAAGTAACTGCAAGTTATAGATTTGGATTAATCCTCCTACTGGCACTTCAATACTTACTGCTTAATTATTTTCTGTGCTTCCTTAGTTCAATTAGTGGACAAACTCTCTACATATTGTATTCCCTAAAGCTACAGGAACTCTCTCATCAAACTCTCTACATATTGTATTCCTTAAAGCTACGGGAACTCTCTCATCAAACTCTCTACATATTGTATTCCCTAAAGCTACAGGAACTCTTTTCATCAAACACTCTACGTATTGTATTCCTTAAAGCTTCAGGAACTCTCTCATCAAACTCTCTACATATTGTATTCCTTAAAGCTACAGGAACTCTTTTCATCAAACACTCTACGTATTGTATTCCTTAAAGCTTCAGGAACTCTTCTCATCAAACTATCTGCATGTCGTGTTCCTTAAAGCTACATGAGATCTTCTCTTCAAACCATCTACCTATTGTATTCCTTAAAGCTACAGGAACTCTTCTCATCAATATATCTTCATATTGTTTCATTAAAGCTACAGGAACTCTTCTCATCAAACTATCTACATGTAGTGTTCCTTAAGGTTACAGAACTCATCTCACCAATCTATCTTCATATTGTATTCCTTAAGCTACATGAACTCTTCTCATCAATCTACCTTCATACTGTATTCATTAAGGTTACATGAACTGTTATCTTCAAACTATCTTCATATTGTGTTCAGTAAAAATTAATGAACTGTTATCTTCAAATTATCTTCGTATTGTATTCCTTTAAATTACAAGAACTCTGCAATCCTCCTTCTCGTAAAACTCCTTAATGAGGAATTGTTCCATCTAAATTCTAATTACTATTCTAAAAACCCTGAGGGTTCTCCTAACTATATTTCTGCAGTTGAGTTCCACTCCATAGGAAACATAACACTGTGCATCTGCATGTGTGTCAGTATGTATATCAAACACTGATATATGCAAATACACACACGGATACATGCAGATACACCCACTGCCACACATTCAGTTACAGACACACAGATACACACACACATGACACTCACAAATACACACTACACACACAGAGATTTGCACACATACAGATACACACTATACATATACAGATACACACACTACACACAGATACGCATGCTACACACAGATACACACACTACACACACAGAGATCTACATACAGATACACTGCCACACATGCAGTTACACAGACATACAGATGCATACAGATACACACACTACACACAGATACACACACTACACACATACTGATACACACAAAACATAGATGCACACACTACATACACTCACAGATACACACACTACATACACATATACACACAGATACGCACACAGATCTCCATACAGATATACACACAGAGATACACACTACACACAATGCAAACATCAAATAATAAAGCCACCACAGTATCTTACCTTATGCTGGCTGTGGTTGGGGGCCTGATTTCCTGGTCTGGCCCCACCCTCGTGGCTCTCTCCTCCCGGGCAGCCCGGTCTCAGTGTGTGTGAGCTGGGAGGAAGTGACAGGCTGCCACTTCCTCCCAGCTCTCTATGCAGGATAGAAGGGGCTGGTCAGGCTGTTAAAGTGCCGCAGCACACAAGGAGCCCCTCATTGCACATATCCATCGGGTGGCCCTAAGGGCATAGGCCACTTGGTGGACCTTCACACAGGTTCCCAACCCATGTGGTGCATCTGCACTGCTCCCACAGTCTGGGAACTCCTGTTTAAGGTGATGACAAGGGTGGGGGGGCAATCAAGTGTAGCTTAGCACCTCAAGGCCATTACTGGTTTACACCAACCTCCTTGATTCAAAAGCAGACCAGTCATAGGTGAGTTAACAGAAGGATATATATTTTCTATGAGAGAGTTACTGTGTTTTATTAATCAATTATTAAGTGATTATTGATTTTTAGAAGTACCATTAAAGTCAAAGAACTACTCTACATTAAGTATTATGGTTTTAATGTGTACATGTGCAATTGCAACCTAATTAGCTTCTAGCTTACAAGCATTTACATTTTTTATAAGTAGTCATTCAGTGTTATCAACATTATCGATATCATCTTACTAGTAGCGTGCATGCACAAAAGTTCTGATTGGCATATACTGGTAAATATAAACCACATTAAACCCATTAAGTGCAAATTTACAGCATTCTTGAAATGCAGAAGACGACGCAATGTCCTCCTCATTATGCTAAATAAGGCACCAATGACTGCATGTAACATCACAGCGCAGTTCGTAGTGATGTCACACAAAAGGCAGTGTCACTTTATCATTGCTGTGGAAAGACAGTATAAACCACACACACAAAGCAAAACACCTATAAGGCTAATATGCCTAGCTTCACAAATGAAATACACATTGTAGTCAACGTTTCTCTGAACATTAACCCTTAGAGCACCCAGTACTAGTATGTAGTTCACAGTTATCCGCTAACTCATCTGCGTGTCTACCAGTGTTAGAAATAGTGTTAGGATCCATTTAACGCAATTTTTCTTCAAATGTATATATTTTCATTTTTCTTTATTCTCAGTCCAAGAGGAATACAGTAAAACATGGGAATGCATATCAAATACTGTAGAGCATGAAGTATGCAGTACATCATATACGTAAAATCATGGATTAAAGTTTTTGGGGGTATATTAACAAAATACGACACTCCATATCACAAAGGAAAATAGAAGAACGATGGGCCCCACTCATTCCTGCGCATGCTGAGAAAGCTCAACAATGCTTCTAAAATCAGGACTACTACAGAGGCATGGATGACTAGCGTTAAACATAAAGAGGCTAGCACCCTCAGAGTTGTAGAGCATTTTAGCAATCTGTAGAGTAGCGGGTAGTGGATGGGTGGATGGAATTGTAAGTGACAATGAACCCAGGAAACAATGGATTCAAATGGTACCTGCCTAATATACAGTTGGCTAGCATTAAACAGTCAAACGGTATAAAGGGGGGATTGGGATTTAGTATAGAGAGAGGGGAACGGGATTTAGTATAAAGGGGGGAATGGGATTTAGTATAGAGAGAGGAGAACGGGATTTAGTATAGAGGAGCAGCCTGGGGTTTAGTAGAGGAGGGTGCTGGGGTTTAGAAGAGGGGGATGCTGTGTTTGTTTTTATACTGTACTTTTCAAAATAAACCTACGTTTCTATGAAAATGTTTGCGCCCCACATAAACGTAAACCTTGTTTATTTGGTGCATGCTAGCCTTTGAGTTTAACATGCTTGCTTTACCAGTTTGTGAGTGGCTGAATGTTGTCCCTGGTATTTCGCACTGCATGGAAAGTCTGGGATAGCAAGATTTGGACCATGTTTATAATTCGTACGTTATCACAGAACTGTTGCAGAGCTGGATCTAGAAAGTGTTGCTGTTGCTGATATTCTCTTTCTAAAAAAAATTGTTATCGTTAGGGCAATTTATACTTCCCTTTTAAGTTGCTGTGCATGACCCCGAGGTGCTGTCAAACTGGGAAGAACATTTGGTTAGATGTGAGATGGAAACAAAGTGTTTCTAGCAGTAAAAGTATATCCAAGCCTCTCATCCGTCCAAAATATTGATTGATCCCCAAGTATCTAATTTGCTCCAACCAGCCCCTCCATGTGTCTCATCCCCCCAAGCCCCTCCATATGTCTCATCTGCCCCAAGTGTTGTATTTCCTCTTACCCAGGATCTTCATGTGTCTCAATGCCTCCCCCTAGACCCTCCATGTGTTTTATCCCCCCAAGCCCCTCCATGTGTTTCATGTCCCCTAGGTCCCTCCATGTGTCTCATCCCCCCGCAAACCCCCCATGTGTCTCATTCCTCCCCCCTGCAGCCCCTCTACGTGTGTCTCTCCCCCTCCCCTGCAGCCCCTCTGTTTCTCTCTTCCCATTCCACTCTAGCCCCTCCATTTGTCTCTCCCCGTACCTGCTTTCCACACTCGCGGTACCCGTGTGACAGGAAGTGCTCTCTCAATGAGTGACGGGCCTGGTTGCCACTGCGACTATGGTATTTACACCACTGCCCACACACTACATTACATAAATCCCAACTAACCTGGATCTGGCAGGATGGACTTATATTTGGTGCTCCTGTCCTCCCTGATTTTTTTCCCAGCTGTGCCGCAATAAAATTATTTCTCAACATCATTACATGCACTCACTGTGCACAGAATGGATTCAGGACATTGAACTAATGCTTTCAGCACCTCAGAAACGCTCTGTTCATGGGCAGCAATAAGTGGAGTCGACGAAACGCGCTACCGTCCAGCCCACTCAGGTTCCAAATACAAACATTCCAATGTTGAGAGATATACTGTTTTTTCCAAAGTTTTTTTTATAAAATCCTAACAAAAAAATATATTTTTTTATGGTTTTCTGACATGTAATGACTAGAGATGTCGCGAACAGTTTCGTCGAGCAGTCCGCCGGCGAACAATAGCGTGTTCGCGTTGGGCGAACATATGCGATTTCCGGTCCGCCCCCTATTCGTCATCATTGAGTACACTTTGACCCGGAACCTCACAGTCAGCAGACACTTCCTGGGAGGGAGGGTCTGCTGCTGATTGGCTGGAATGTGTCTGCTGACTGTGAGGTTCCGGGTCAAAGTGTACTCAAGGATGACGAATAGGGGGCGGACCGGAAATCGCATATGTTCGCCCAACGCGAACACGCTATTGTTCGCCGGCGGACAGTTCGCGAACAGTTTCGGCGAGCAGTTCGCGACATCTCTAGTATAACAAGCACATACAGTAGGACCTCGGTTAACATAATTTTCGGTTTACAAATGAAAATCAATTGAAAATAATGCCTCGGTTTACAATTTTACAAAGCAAGTTTCCCCAGGATGCATGGCACCTGGGAGGTTTATAGCACCGCCCCTGCATGCTGGAGTCTGTGGGTGGCACGTAGCGTCGAGTGTGGAGGTGTTGGAGCGGCTTTTGCATCGCGTTTGGGAGCCATTCTGGAAATTGTTTGCAGTTGTTTTGGGACTTTTTGGTGCATTTCTCAAGCTGTGGAAAGGTAGGGAGCTGAGCTTTGTCGTTTGCATGCCTTTTATTGTGTGTTCTGCATTGTGGGTTGGTTTCCATGCCAGCTCATTTTAACTTTTTTCTGACCTCCAGAACGGATTAATTGGTTTTCAATGCATTCCTATGGGAAACCGCGTTTCGGTATACACATTTTTCGCAATAAGAAATGTCCCAGAAACCGCATTAAATTCGTAAACCGAGGTCCCACTGTACTTTCAATCTGCTGGCTTGTTTATAAATACAATAAGTAATTTGTGTAGGTCGCCCAGTTTAAAATTATTTTTATTAAGAGTTACTCCAGCCTAGGATTCACTAATGCCTATTTTGTTCTATAAGCATTAATGAGTCACTGGGACTTACTGTCGCCTCCTGTTTTAATAAAAGGGGGAAAACGTATCGAATTCAATGCTGTGACTGAGTTCTCCCAAATGCACTCTCCCTCCTACATCTGCGTCATTGCTTCTGAAGTCTGAGATTCACTAAAATGCTTAGAATGGAGAAGCCAGTGCACATATTTTTTGCACAGAACTTACTTTAGGCAGTCCAGAACAGAGTTCCGGGCTAAATTGTGTGTCCCAGATAGAGTTTCCACATTTTTTGGTTAAAAATGCCGGCCGTGCTAACTTATACATACGTATACATGCATGACATCACAGGACACAACTTAATCTGATATTACATAACATCTCAGGAAGTTACATAAGAACAAAAATTGAAAGGAGAAAATTAGCTATTCACTAATAAACTACTTACAATATGTGTACTCTCTCTAGGTGACTGTGTATACTGGCTGGATGAGTGTGTGTATAGCACCTTGTGCATGTCCTTGTGTGTATACTTTGTCAAAGTGTGTGTATACAGTGTGTGCATACTATGTCTGAGTGTGTGTCAGTGTCTGTATACTGTGAGTGTCTGTATAGCAATGCATTTACATGCCATGTATAATAGAGGTGGATATTTTGGCTCCATTTCTCTCCCCACTCTCCTGTCAGAGAAAAATACAAGCCTTTGCACTGCCAGTATTTTTGCAATACTTGTGACGGCCACACAGCCTCAAATACAGGCAATAGCCAGTTGGTAACCCTTGTGGGGTGTGAGTAGACTCTGCACACATTCAAAGATAGGCAGCATTTCAAGCTGAAACACTGCACACACAGATTGCTTGCACCATGACCACTTCTGAAAGCACCAGTGGTTCTGGTGGTTGCAGTATCCCTTTAAATGTATGCAGCAAATAAAACTCCCAATCAGCTTAGCTGGAGGCTGTGAACCAGCTCTGTCACTTTACTACTGCCATTACCATGTAACGCTATCACACTACCTAAAGGTTAAGTGGAATTCGAAAACAGAACGTTGGGATCATCTGTAAGTAAGAAAAGATTCCATTCCCCACAACATTCTACAGCAAGGACAGATATCCCATGTTACTGATGGACTGCATTTCCCATCACCCTTAGCAAGCCCAGAAGATAAATGATTTATTTTTCTATCACTGTATGACTGTTATCACTGACACAAAATGTGTCCCAGTGGAAATGATGTCACTGGTTGCCATGACAGGTTAAATGTAGTGCTTCCTGTTCCTGCCCTGCTGTGTGCTCCCTTCCCTCCTTGCAGTGGAAGTTCAGTGATCGCTGCTTGCAGTGAGCATGTTGTCCCCGGAGGGAGAAGAGGAGTCTGGGTTCCATGGAGAATCAGACGAGGTGGAGCTGGATGTGGATGCCTCGTTTCCTCTGGATCAGGAGATGGAGGAGGGCGAGGAGTCGGATGTGGGACCCTCCTTAGATCCTTTTTGCTATGTGCCCTACAGGTATCGCTGCGATATAGCTTATTATTGGGGATTAATAAATCCGACAAGGCTGGGGTGGCCATAAGGTAGAGCTCTGCTTTGGGTAGCCTTAAAGGCTGACCAAGCATGATGGGAGTTGTAGTTTTCTAGCAGCCTGGGTTTTGCCTTTTGGCCACTGCTTGGATAAATAGAGTAATATGTGAGGATAGTGGTCGTGGTGCTTGGAGTAATTATAGGCCGTCCACTAGATGTCAAATGATAATGGTGTCATGGCACTTAGAACTTAAACTGAGTGGTTTAGAATTTTAGGAATAGGAATAATTTCAATTTTGGGGGGGCTTTTTGAAAAAAAATCTTTTAAATGAGGGTCAGACAGCACATTTTCATATTGTTGCTTATTTAATTAGGGTTTTAGAAGTATGTGTATTACGGGGGTAAAATAAAAGCACAGGAATGAATATATTCTTGTATAACTGCTAGAACATTTGTCTCCCAATTAAACGACAGAAGGGGTTTAAAGGGTTACAACAACCACCATGATCACTTTAGTGATTTGAAGTGGACATGGTGGTAGTAGTATGTTAAAGGGACACTATAGTCAACTGAACAACGTTAGCTTAATGAAGCAGTTTTGGTGTATAGAACATGCCCCTGCAGCCTCACTGCTCAATCCTCTGCCATTTAGGAGTTAAATCCCTTTGTTTATGAACTCTAGTCACACCTCCCTGCATGTGACTTGCACAGCCTTCCATAAACACTTCCTGTAAAGAGAGCCCTATTTAGGCTTTCTTTATTGCAAGTTCTGTTTAAGATTTTCTTATCCCCTGCTATGTTAATAGCTTGCTAGACCCTGCAAGAGCCTCCTGTATGTGATTAAAGTTCAATTTAGAGATTGAGATACAATTATTTAAGGTAAATTACATCTGTGTGAAAGTGAAACCAGTTTTTTTTTTTCATGCAGGCTCTGTCAATCATAGCCAGGGGAGGTGTGGCTAGGGCTGCATAAACAGAAACAAAGTGATTTAACTCCTAAATGACAGTGAATTGAGCAGTGAAATTGCAGGCGAATGATCTATACACTAAAACTGCTTTATTTAGCTAAAGTCATTTAGGTGACTATAGTGTTCCTTTAATGCAGTGTTTCTGCTTGAGTAATCTGCACTTTTGAGCTAGTTATACACTTGGACATCAGAGCTTCCATTGTTGTGATGGAGGCTCTAATACTGCGAGCCAGTCCTTATTAATTACAAATATACAGTCCATTGCATATACAGCCATTTCTCATAATACACAACAGCTGACTGTGTTACGTGGGTGTTCTATAGGGTTCAATTCACTAAACTTCAATTTATAGAAAATTGAAATCTGAATGGAAGAACTTTGTCTAAAATTGCCACGCTGTTACTGTAGCAAGATTGGAGAATATTTACAGATCAGCTGTTGCCTAGACGTAATTGTTGTTATAGTTTTCAGTACATCACAGCAAATCAAAAATCATTACTTACAAAGTACAAACTGTTTTTTTTTTTTGTTTTTTTTTAGGATAATATATCTTTTAGCAAGAGTCATACTCTGTTGTTGCTAACAACATTAAATGTCTATTCTCGTGAGAGCTGTTCAATTTTAGAGGTATAATACAAATAACAAGAAAACCACTGTTGCAGTAGGTTCTCATACAAGGAATTGGCTGAGCCAATACTAGTCTTCACATAGCGTTGTATGAGATTGATGACTTTACCCCGTGCAGCAAGTAGTTATGTGAGTTGTAACTCAGATGTCTGCTAAGAATGCCTGGGATTCACTTCCTTCATGCAAATCATGGAAGAAGCAGTTTGCATATGATATTAGAAGCAGAGGGTAGACAATGTTTAATTCGTGGTTCTTAAAGGGACACTATAGGCACCCAGACCACTTCAGCTCATTGAAGTGATCTGAGTGCAGTATCCCTGGACCATTAACCCTGCAAAGGTAATTATTGCAGTTTTTAATAAACTGCAAAATTACCTTTGGAGGATTAACTCCACAACTTTGTTTTCCTGGCACTATAGTTTTTCCTTTTAATTAAAGGACTCTATAGGGTTAGGAATAAAACTATAGTGTTAGGAATACATGTTTTTAATCTGCCTATTTAGGGGGTGGGTGGGGGTGTGTGTGGGTCTCAGTCTCAAGATTTAGTTTATCTTTTTGCCCTTGCCGCACTGGTCTTGGTCCTGGCATTCTGCCTCCTTGGCTGAGATCATCCCTCTAGGCCCTGTGAGCAAAGGTCTGAATTACCCCTTAAATTTAGGGAAAGCAAAAAACAGTGTACAAGAGAATACTGGAACAGCTCCATTTGCTTGCTTTTCGGTGGGTCCCCGCTCAGATTTCAAGCTGGTTTTAGGTTATGTTATACCATTACAAAGAGAACCAAGGCCATTTTGCATATCCAACTGATCCCACTCAAAAGGTTGGTCCAGATTCGAAATGCCGGCTGTCTCCGTCAGCACAGAACTTAAAACAACACCAGACGATTGTTTCTGCCGTCTTAGGCCTCATCAGTGAGGTATATCTGATACCCGTCTAGAAACATTAGAAGGCTAATGCACATGCATGACAAAATTCCCTGCTGCACAAATCAAATGCTGCTCTTTGATTCTATAAAGCGGCAATATTTTACAGTGCAGGGTTAAAACTGCAGGGCCACTGTACCCAGATAACGTCATTGAAATTAAGTGATTTGGGTGCCTTTAGTTGTCCTCTAAGTCAAAGGAACATTGCGAGTACCATAACCCCTTCACCAAATTGAAGTGGTTATTGTGTCTGGAGTTTGTGGGAGCCAGGTCCTGCAACACTACTAGACATTCTAGTCACCTAGAGCTTGGCATCCTTTCACCTCGTTGCGTACCAATTCTTACCAGGGATTAGCATGTTCTCAGCCAGTCACTGCCTTGATATGGGGGGAAGCAGATTGCTGATGTCATCCAGATTATTAGCAATCAGTGCTGTAGGACAGAGGCACCCATTGTTGAAATTGTATGACCCTTTCTGGTATAGCTCATTGCAGTGAATTGTTGCTAAGACAAGCACCCACTAATCCTTGAGCCAGGTGTAGGCAACCTTCAGCACCCCAGATGTTGTATACTATATTTGGGGGTGGGCTCCATTTTATTTATTTTTTTTAGGGTTATTCACTAAAGTGTGAATTTCAGATTAACCCCTTAAGGACCAAACTTCTGAAATAAAAGGGAATCATGACGTCAAACATGTCATGTGTCCTTAAGGGGTTAAGGCCGGAGTAGCCAAAGTGGAAGCATAACTGACTTTTTTTTTTTTTAGTATGTCCATATTTTAGTATGTTAGGAAGAAATGTGTGTCCAAATTTTATTGCATTTATTAAATAGCACATTAAAAATTATGCAAAAAGAATACTGCGTAAAAAAGAGAAAAAAAATGCTACTAGATCCTATATGTTTTAGCAGATGGATGACTCTTCCTTAAAGGGACACTATAGTCACCCAGACCACTTCAGCTCAATGAAGTGGTCTGGTCGCAATGTCCCTCAGGTTTTAACCCTTCAGATGCAAACATAGCAGTTTCATAGAAACTGCTATGTTTACATTTGGGGTTAAGCCAGCCGCTAGTGGCTGTCTTCTGGACAGCTACTAGAGGCGCATCTGCGATGCTGGGGGCATATTATGCCTCCATCGCGCAGAGCGTCCATAGGAAAGCATTGAGAAGCTGCCGGGGGAGCTGACGTCGGCGGGGGAGGAGAGGTTACCAGCGCCGAGGGAGCCCGGTGCTGGAATAAGGTAAGCTGCTGAAGTGGTTACCCTTCAGCGCCACAGGAGGGGGGCCCCGAGGGTCTGGGCACCCTGAGCGCACTATAGTGTTAGGAAAACTGCTTTGTTTTCCTGACACTATAGTGATCCTTTAACCTCTAAAGGGGTCCACTAGTTAATAATCTCACAGGTGTTTATGGAATAAGTAGTTTATCGAGACACAGTTCCACTGATCACATAGAATGAATGGAATTCCCCAGTAAACTGATAGTAGCTAACCCATGACTGCAGGGTACCTAGACGCTTTAATTGCTGTTTGACCATGAATCATAAGCTGAATGTTACAAAAACACATAACAAGGTGTTGTGACTTTTTCTCTCTCTCTATTTTTACAGGGACAGGAAGGAATGGGCAGATGTGACACCATTACCACAAGATGATGGGCCTAATCCAGTTGTTCAGATTGTTTACAGTGACAAATGTAAGTTGAATTCCCAGTAAATGTATGTTTGTTTTACATGTAATCAGACATTACTTTTTAAATGAGTGACAGGTTTTGGCTAGTACAAGATATACACAAGGGAATTTTTCTATATTTACCTTAAAGGACCACTATAGGCACCCAGACCACTTTCACTTAATGAAGTGGTCTGGGTGCCAAGTCCAGCTAGGTTTAACCCTTTCTGCTGTAAACATAGCAGTTTCAGAGAAACTGCTATATTTATAAATGGGTTAATCCAGCCTCTAGCGGCTGTCTCATTGACAGCCGCTAGAGGCGCCTACGTGCTTCTTACTGTGAAAATCACAGTGAGAAAACGCTAGTGTCCATTATGAATGCTTTCCTATGAGACTGGCTGAATGTGCGCGCGGCTCTTTCCGCGCATGCGCATTCAGCCAAGGAGGAGGAGTGTCCCCCGCCCGGCGCTGGAGAAAGAAGTAAGTTTAACCCCTTCCTCTCCATCCAGCCTGGCGAGAGGGGAGCCTGAGGGTGGGGGCACACTCAGGGCACTATAGTGCCAGGAAAACGAGTATGTTTTCCTGGCACTATAGTGGTCCTTTAATAAAGCTAAAGGGTTACTCCAACCACAGTGACCACTTCCTCTTTTAGAAGTGGTCATGGTGGTAGGAAACACTACCCAGACTGAGAAATCTGTACCCCTAGTATATGTGACACTGGCAGCCTTGAACCTATTCCAGGCTGCCTAATGTCAATTCTGTGCATGTTTTATGTCCGTTGTCAGCATGTTTAAAGAGGGAATATAGCTCAGATATGTATGGGATAGAGGAATAAAAACACCCATACTGGTACTGACGTTATTTAGTTCATTAACTGCAAAAATGTTACATTGGTACACTTGTCATAAGACTTTGTAAGCCTTTGCGGTCTGTTCAAATGGCAGACAACTCTGGCATAAATGTTGATCTGATCACAGAGCTTAAAATCCATATCAGGACCGTTGTAGCAACAGAGGTAATCTGACTTGCGTGCATGAAAGTGTAGCCCCCTCTCTTCCCTTCCTCCTTCACATACTTCAGTCAGTCTGCTCCCTCTGTGTGCTGCCACTCTACCCTTTACAGACAACAGTGGCTCTCTCTCCCTCTGTGCAGCTCCCCTCCCCTGCATCAATGTCTGCTGTCTTGTTACATTATTTGTAGTGTCAGCCCTCTCTCTATTCAGCCTCCCTCGCCTTCACTTACAGTATGCTGTCAGCTGTCCCTCCCTCCCCTGCATGTGATTGGAGCAGAGAACCTGATGGATGACAACAAAGGAGGCATGGAACTCACCTGGGAAAGTTTGGCCCAGCTCTAGATTGAAAGCGGCACTAAATTTGTATTTCATAAAGATAGCATCTTTATGAAATATTCATTGTAACTGTTGCAATTTCACTGAAATTCCAACCAAGTCAAGAGATATACAGAGACAAAGTAAGGACTACATTATCTCTGTATATTTCCTCCGTCTGACGTTCTTAGCCTCTTAGCGGAGTCTAAGTGTAAATTCCGACAATCTCCACCAGTGATTGATGCAGGGAATTGGCTCTATCAAGGATCATCCATAGACCTCAAAGTTGTACTCTCGCGCTGAAGCGTTGAGCTGAAGAGAAGTCGCTGGAAAAAAGATGGCTGTGCCCACGAGGGACAGGTTCAAGGAAGTAAATCTCACTTCTATGCCACCGGACCCCCATCAGTGATGTCTAAATTCGGCAAAGTCCTTAGGTCAGGGTTGCCCAACAGGTAGATACCCAGATGTTGTAGAACTACAACTCCCATGATGCTTTGCACGCCTTTAGAATGCTTTTAGAATGACATAGCATCATGTAGTTCTACAACATCTGGGGATCTACCTGTTGGGCAGCCCTGCCTTAGGTGGTGAAAGTGCTGCTTTAAGGTAAGTTTTAATCTATTTTTGCAGGTTCTTGTTTAACAAACCTCAGAGAGACCAAGTAACAAATGCTCAATATGGCATTGTAAAGCCAAACACATAATCCTAAATAAAGCGTTGGGAGTAGCCCTTTAAAGTAACAAACCATGCCATGGTGTTTCAAAGCCACTTTTTTTAAGGCACATTTTAAAAACATCCCTCCTGTGTAGCAGCTGTAATGGATGGCGTTTCACATTACTCTCAGAATGCCTTGAAGAATATGGAAATGGGCATATTTTATGTATTCATCAATACCATGCTGTAGATGTGATCGTTGGCCCTTTTTAAGTAAATTTTTTTTAAATTGTAATTTTCCCTTCCTATCTCTGTCTTTGTTCCAGTCAGAGATGTTTATGATTATTTCCGAGCTGTTCTTAAGCAAGATGAAAGGAGTGAGAGAGCTTTTAATCTGACGACTGATGCCATTGAACTGAATGCTGCTAACTACACCGTATGGTAAGTCATAATATCTTATTATCAGCGAGGACGTCACGAGGAGTACTTATCCTGTAGATACCTAGATATGCAAGACAAGTGACACAAATTCTAACTTTTATAGCTTTGTCTCTTATAGAATTCCTCTTTCATCTTGCAGATCGCGCTTTCCTATTTCACCTACAGTCAGACAATAGAATAAAAAATATATAACATACAGGTCATAAAAAAACAGCTCAACTAATGCTATGTAATGTTAATATATGTAGCCAATCAATACTTCAAATAAAACCAAATATATTGTTTGATACTGCTGTGAAGAAGAAGAGAGAAAAAAAACTAAAACGTACAAGTTTGGCAGGGGAACATATCACCGATGATTAGTGCTGGGACAGAGAATAATGCAAATACAATTTTTTTTTTTTTTTTAAATGACATGCTGACAGACATACGTGTATCGTCTATTATTGTTTTGTTGATTCTATATATAAGTATCTACTATAAGTGAGAGCATATCCATAGGTATTACCATTTTTTTATGTGTTTATGTGTACCTGGCCTGTGCTCTTCTGATTAGTTTCTAAACTCTATACATACATTGTTGGGGAGGCCTATCAAGAACTGTTTGTGTGAAATGGGGTGGTTTGGTTAAGGTTTATAATGCAGAAACTGGCAAAACTTTTTTGTTGGGGAAGTATAATTCCTTTTCTTTCATGTTTGTTGAATTTTGTTAATCTAGGCATTATCGTCGGGTCCTCTTGCAGTCATTAAAGAAGGACCTTCAGGAGGAGTTGAACTATATCTCTGCAATCATAGAAGATCAGCCAAAAAATTACCAAGTCTGGTAAGAAAATCTGAATTCTCACCATTGCTGTGACATATTCTGCAACGGGTTCTTTGATAGTCTTTTAACTGGTCAAGTTTTAGGTTTGCAGTTGCATAGCAGTGTTCAGAAGCATGTGTGGAAATGAACTATTGCTTAGAAAATCAGATGGTATCCCAAATTAATCATATAATCTTACTACCTCGGATATAAGTCTGTCGTAAGCCACATCAGATTCAAATGGCGACTGTTTGTGTTATTTAGAGGGGATATGATAACATTATACAAATTTATTCGGGGCCAGTACAAACCATTATCTGGAAATCTGTTCATAAACAGAGCTATACATAGGACATGAGGTCACGCGTTTATGCTGGAAGAAAGGAGATTTAAAGGACCACTATAGGCACCCAGACCACTTCAGCTTAATGAAGAGGTCTGGGTGCCAGGTCCAGCTAGGATTAACCCTTTTTTCTTATAAACATAGTTTCAGAGAAACTGCTATGTTTATAAATAGCTTAATCCAGCCTCTAAAGCCTCTAGTGGCTGTCTCATTGACAGCCGCTAGAAGCGTTTGCGTGCTTCTCACTGTGAAAATCACAGTGAGAAGACGCCAGCGTCCATAGGAAAGCATTATGAATGCTTTCCTATGAGACTGGCTGAATGCGCTGGGTTTTTTTTTTTGTTTGTTTGTTTGTTTTTTTTCAGTAAGAACTATAAGGATATGGAATTCTCCTAGCACCATAACCACTACATGAAAAATCAATATAAGAAGCATAGATTTTAGTGTCCTCAAGTTATGCATCGACTCAAACAAATCGATGGCGATCAGGACCGGCAGTTACAGGTTTTGTGAATATCTAAGTAGAAGTAAAGTAGTGTACGCTACGTCAACAGCAGTGATATGTAACTGTTTGTAATTTTGAAAGTGTGGGCATGTTAAAAACCGCATATTATGATTTAAAAGCTTGAAGAATGCACAGTAATTAAAGAAGAGTTAATTTAAGGTTAGTGTTGTAGATTAACATTATACATTTTCTTCTTCCCCGCAGGCATCATAGGAGAGTGCTGGTGGAGTTATTGAAGGACGGCTCTCAGGAATTGGCCTTTGTTGCCGATGTATTAAGCCAGGATGCCAAGAATTATCATGCATGGCAACACAGACAGTGGGTTATCCAGGTATCCTGCATTTATACACTATATTCCAGTAGCCTAAATGGCTTATATTGTATTACTGTTACAATAAAGAATTGTCTTGTTTCTGTTTTACACTGTATTCTACCAGGATACAATAGTGCTGTATGGGTCACTTGGCAAGCACAGGTGTATAAAATCATAACCAGGACCTGAAAACAAGAGAAATCTCAATTTATCCTTCCTGGTAAAATATTGTATAAATAAATAAGTTCTGGTAAATAAATAGCAACTTTTCCCATAAGAATCAATGAGAGAGCTGCCATTAGCTGGCCGATGCATGATTATCTCTAGCCCTATTCATTCAAGTCACTTCAACTCGGAGGGCTGAAGCCACATCAGATTCAAATGGCGACTGGAAATCACAGGAATTATGGCAAATAGCCTGCTATGCCTTGCAGAAGAGGACAGTCACATCAGAGTAAAACTGTGTTAATTTAAATATCTTCAACAAACATGGCCTCGTGTTTTGTTTTTTGTTTTGTTGTTTTTTTTTAATTTGTGGATTTTCTTTTCAAATTATTTAATAACTTTAGAGAAATCAAAATCATTTAAATAATTTTGAAAAGCTAATTCAGTAATATTAAATTGAAGCCTATATCTGTAAAATATAATTTTTATTTTTTTATTTTTTTTGTTCTGCTTGAAGCATATGGAACTATTAAATTATACTGTGTTAATATATTTAGTTTTTATGTGTTTGCAGGAGTTTAATTTGTGGGAAGATGAACTTCAGTATGTCGACCTGTTACTCGCAAAAGATCTCAGAAATAACTCTGCCTGGAACCAAAGATTCTTTGTCATTTCGAATACTACTGGTTACAGTGATCCTCAAATCCTAGAAAGAGAGGTGCAGTAAGTGATACTTTTCTTATCTTTGGTTCTTGGTTCCTAGACGCACTATTTGACCAGCAGAGATTTTCATAACAATGAACAGTGTTCACAACTGTTTCTTACACATGTACGTGATATTATAATCATTGCAAATACCACTATAATTGGTTGCCACATGCAGAGTGCGCGGTAACATTTCCCCACTGCAGGCAACCCATGCTGCTTAACAGTATATTGATCCAATCCAGTTTGAAATCTTGACTGCCACTTTGGTCAAGAAGGAAAAATAATTTAAAATTAGGACTTTAGCTTTTTTTTATAACACAGATGCGTCTAGTGAACACCAGATAACAGTTTAATATTGTCACTAGGTAGAATATAACACAATAGTCTAAAAACCTGAATTTATATTCAGGATGATTTTATATACAGGCCAGTTGTTTTTATGTGACCATTATGCTACATCTTGCTATTGATTTATATTTTGCGTACTGCTAGTATGCTGCATGGTGCTGACCTTATAAAACGCTTTTTATAAAATTAACTCACCCATGGATTTTCTAGCTATAATTTGATTTTACTTTTGATAATTTGTTTTCCTATCCTGTTAGGTATGCAATGGAAATGATCAAAGTAGCACCTCATAATGAAAGCGCCTGGAATTATCTCCGTGGGTAAGTCTTTTCGTCTTTAACATATAGCTGAATACACGGGAAGGATCTGTTATACTAAGTGGGTGGTTATTGAAGTACTGTATACTTTAAAAAAAAAAAAAAGAGAAGCATGGTTCATTACCTTTTGTCTCTGTTACTAAAAGGGACCAAATAGGGAAAATAAAAAATAATAAAAATTTAAATATTGGGAATATGTGAAACCCCAACATTAAAGGACCATTATAGGTACCCAGACCACTTCAGCTCAATGAATTGGTCTGGGTGCCAGGTCCCCCTAGTTTTAACCCTGCAACTGTAAACCTAGAGAAACTGCTATGTTTATACTAGAGTTAATCCTCTGACAGCCACTAGAGGCACCTTCATGATTTACACTGTGTAAATCGCACTTATTTGACGCTGGACGTCCTCACGGAGTCCAGCGTCAAATAAGATCCCTATAGGGAAGCACTGAATAATGCTTTCCTATGGGCAGGTTTGCATGCGCGCCTCTGGCCGCGCATGCGCATCCGGCTCCACTTGGGACCTGATGTCAGCAGGGGTAGGAGAGGTCACCAAATGTCAGCCTGTGAGACGTGCTGGTAAAAACTAGGTTAAACCCGGAGATACACTGCTTTCTACTCTTCTATTAAAGGACCACTAAAGTCATCCAGGCCACGTAATCTCAATGAAAGGGTCTGGGTGCAGTGTCCCTATCCTTTTAACCACGCAGTGTTTATAGTGGAACCACGACGCTGGAAAAAGGTAAGTAAAAAAAATCTTAACTTTATTATAATGTATTGGAAAGGGGGACCTCTATAACTAGAGACAAGAACTCTAAAGTGTTTGAAATAAAAAACTGTATCCCTAATGCTTTAGTGTTCCTTTTAAATCAAACCAGTGGAAGTCAAGTGATTGAAAGCAACATAGATAACATCCTATTATAAACTGACATTTCATTGTTTCCCACTATTGAACATTCTGAGCACTTGCATTTGGAATTCCTTTGAAATCAATCCATAATGTAATATGTGCAGAATAGTTATTTCACATAAAATGCATTAGGAACTGTTTATACACAGCATGAGTGTGACAGCTCTGTTAGAAATGGATCACCATGGAAACCAATGGGATGTTCATGCCAAACTCAACATTTTAAAACTTTGCCCCAGATGAACCGCAGACAGCAAGATTAATGTGTCAAGTAGGTGATTGGCAATCAAGACTGCTCAATGTTTTGCACCCTGTTTGCAGATTCTTACTTTATATAAACATTCTCACAACTTGAATGATTTAAAAACCTTTTACAACATTTGCACTCTTGTAATGGAATTTCTATTTCTTTTTCAGCATACTACAAGACAGGGGCATGTCCGAATACCCTAACCTTTTGGAACAAATCCGTGCTTTGCAGGAGACACACAGTTCTCCGTACCTTTACGCCTTTCTTGTAGATCTCTACGATGACATGTTGGAGAAGAAATGTCAAAATGTTGAAGAGGCACTTAACGAGACACTAGAGGTTAGTGTTCTATTTTCTTTTTAGTTTACATTGAGATTTAAACTGCAATGTCTAGCATATGGTTCGAGAACAATATGATTCTTTGTATTTTAAACCAGAAATAACCACCGTAAAGTAAGAACCAACATTTGCTGCACCTTAGATGGTAAAGATTCAAATTCTGTTTTTAATGTTAAAAGAACACTCTGGGCACCATACCAATTCAAACTCCATAATGTTGCTATGGTGTCTTGAGGTTAACCAGAAATTGGTACTTTTATAAGTTAACCTTGCTACACCCCCCAGGCTGTCAATCAGACCACTGGTCCTGTTACTTCCATGTTGTTAAGCTCAGTGGAACTAAACTTAAGAGTCAGGCAATTGCTCAGAGCACCCACCTTGCAAAGACTTCTCATTGAGCTGAATTGGGAAATCTGTGATTGGACAGTCACAGAAAGTCTGGGTGGGGTTAGAAGGGGAGGGCATGCATATGCTTCCGACAAGTGATCTGCAGCTTTTGCAAGCAGTTTTTAGATAACCCTCCCCATCCCATATTTTCACTTGGGGTATATAAAAGGTGATTTTTATTTGTCCTGTATTTTGGCAGTGGAAGGTCACTTTAAGGGGTTATACTGATTAGACGGGATGTGAGAGAGCCTCGGTCTGAGGCTCCCAGCCTATCACTGGCATCCATTTCAAGGCTTCCTCATTGAAGCTACCGACGTTTCTGTCAGATGGGGCAGAACGGTCGTTCACCATCTACACAACTTTCAACTGTAAACGATATAACCACTTAAAGTTTTCTCCAAGGACCATGACCACTTCAGTGATTTGAAATGACTATGGTGCTTTGAGTCTGTATGCACAGCATTTCAATGAAATGCTGCACATGCAGAGGTATTTAATGATGCAGCCAGAGGTGTTACTCCACCCCTGGCAAAGTCATTCGTTTGTCATTAGGCATTCTTGGTAATGCTTTAAAGGAACACTCCGAGCACCATAACCTCTGCCACCGTCTGTAGTAGTTATAATGGCGGAGTGCCTGGTGTACTCACAGAGTAAGTTCTCATGCCATTTAAAAATGTATGACAACGTACCTGGGTCATGCCAGGTGCCCACTGCTGCCATCAGTGAACACATGCTGCAAACTGTGCAACCACTGTGAGCCATGGAGTGATGGCTTATTGCCATAGTCTTTCCTATTAGTCAACTAGAGTAACAACTTAATGACGTGCAAAAATTACGCACATCCTGTCACTGCCAATTAAGGTCACAGGTTCACTGGCACATACATTTATTTCCAATATATGAATGAGTGAACACAGATGCACAACCTTGGAATACTGAGCTGTAAATTCTAGTGTCAACTCTGTATGGTTATGTATGTGGGATGTTTGTGTATCTGTGACATTGTTCTCCTTTTTATTTCTCAGATTTTTCAGTGTTCGCACTGTTTAACTGAAATATTAAATATTGATAAAAAGTTATTCTGATGGTGGTTAGGCCACCTCTAATGGATTATTTTTTTTTTCAATGTATTGTTTTGCAGCTGTGTGAAGTCCTTGCAAAAGAAAAAGACACTATAAGAAAGGAGTACTGGCGCTATATCGGCCGATCTTTGAAGATCAAATACGGAAAAAATTCTCCGGAGAAAGGGGAACCAACAGTTGTTGAAAGTGTATAACTTTTAAGGGGTTCAGATTTATTTTCATGTATCTATTTAATATTTTTTTTTTTTTAAACTATCTACTTGAAATAGGACTGAGGCGTCACTGATTCATTGTATAATGTAGTTATTGCACCTGCGTGAAAAGCTTGACTTAACCAAGCGGTAAATAACCAAATGAAAGCTGCGGGTGGACGCTTGTTGTTCAATGTTCAGAGACCTCACATAACACCACATTCAGTATGCTAGCATATTAATCTGTATGATACGGATATTAATTTGCTTTTTTGAAATATAGTACACTGCACAAGCTGTTGCTGGTGAACCCACATAACTTTTTTCATCTAACAGTTGTTAACTCAGGCTCTGCTTTGTAACATACTTAATGAAAACTAGAATTGTGTTTGTAAGACTAATTTAAAATGTAAAAGTAAAAGGGAAAAGAACTGTGTCCAGCAATTCATTTCATAGAGCAGCTGGTTTTTGTTATTATGCTTGGCTAATACATTTGTTAAACGTTGATGTGCCTCGCAAAATACTGACCATAAAATAAAAGATATATTTGAGCAATTTATTTGCCTAATAACGTAATGTAAATTTTAAAGCAAAGTCACTTTTCTTGCAATAAAAAGGAGTATGGCCAAAAAAAGTGGTATTATTGTACTGTATCCAAAAGTGTTACTGTTCACGCAGAATTAAATTAAAAACATTTTGAGCAAACTATGCAATAATGTGGTCAGAGATCTGTGGCAGAAAAAGAAGCGTAGACTTTTCATACTCCGTTTGTATGAATCCTTGCCTAACCCAAGGGTCACAAGAATGATCATAAAGCAGATCTGAGATCATTTATACGTTAGAGAAGGTATAAACATCTGAAAAGTTAACTCGCATAAGCTAGGTTGAAGGATATACATCAAGGGGCAGTGAAAAGAATGCTATGAGGAGGTGCAGGACATGATCCTTTGAAACTACTGACAAAAGACAAAGATGATCTTTCTTCTCTTTCCTTAAAGCAGCACTGGCACTGTCTGGAGATAGATGTTGATGATTTCGCAAAGACACAGGACGGTGATATTGGTGGGGTGGGGTGGGGTGGGCGGGGGGGGAGGTAAAATTTACTTATTGAACCTGTTCCAGTGGGTCATCTTCTGAAGCGCTAGGAGCCATGATCACTGCTGTACCCTTGTACATGTGCGGGAGTACAGCAGTTAGGTCTATGGAGGATCCCTGCATCTGTCACTGGTAACTGCTGTCTGGATTAATACTGTAACTCGGCCCAGAGTCTAAGAAAATCGTCTGCAGGAAATATGCAGAGACATATTAGTCTCTACTTTGTCTCAGTACATTTCTTGAATGGGATGGAATTTCGGTGAAATTCCAAAACAGTCAAAATGAGCAACAAAGATTCTTTCTTTAAGAAATGCTCATTTTTCAGGAGTGAAAGTGCCCCTTTAAACCTGGCCCTATCATTTTATTTTTCCATTCCTTATGCCTTCTGTATTTTAATGATTATATCCCCCTTGCCATACAATATATATATATATATATATATATATATATATATATATATATATTCGGAATCCAGCACAGGAAGAAAAGTGTGTGTGTGTTATTTTCTTCCTGTGCTGGATTCCGAACCCTAGGTGCAGCCATTTTTGTTTTGCGTCTTTTACCCCTCTGGGATTTTACTGAGGGTTGTGGGTAATTTGGTTCAAAAACTAGCTTTTACTCTGTCCATTATCAAGTTTTGTCAGCTTAAAAGCTATACATGAGAAAAAGTAGTCCCTATTATTTTTTTTTTTTTTATATTTATTTATTTATTTATTTTTTATGAAAACTAGAGCTCTCAGGGAGAATAAAATAAGATTGAGGCACAGGGAGCAACATAGAAGCAGATTAGATAATTATTTTTGGGGGGTGAAAAAGCCTCTCACAATTTTAAACATTTCTTTTTCTCAAACAGTTAACCTGTTCCCAGGACATATTTCCAATAACGGTACACCTGATTATGGTATTAGTGGTTAATATAGTTTAAATTGTTACAATAGGTTGGTGCAGAAATCCGTTCCAGTCTCTGCATCTTGTGTGGCATGCAATCTTTGTGCACAGACCTGTAACCACTCCTGCATTTTATTATTTATTCATTTTGTGTTTCTGTCTAACATTCCTTTTGATCTCATAGTGGTTTAAAATCAATGATAGTTCTTCTACGTCTCTTTAGACCAGGGCTGCCAAATAGGTAAATCCTTTGATGTTGTAGAACTACAACTCCCATGATGCTTGCCATGCCTTTAGAATGCCAAAGTATCATGGAAGCTTCAGTTGTAAAACATCTGGGGATCTACCTTTTGGACAGCCATGCTTTAGATGAATGTGTGAATGAGATTTTGTTGAGCACAAACCCATCATCGCTTTGCCGTTGTCATCCTGGTGTCAAACTCAAGCCGTACACGCTCATACCTGAGATCATAACATTGTTACTATGCTTACATTATCTTTTATTACAGTGACCCTCAACCTTTCTACATCCAAGGACCACTAAAAATTGATTGGAAGCTGAAAACCACACATACTGCCCTGTTTTCACCATGCAACTATCACACTCTGCACAAGTTGATCAAACAGGGGTACGCAGAGAGCACTATAAAGGGCCCTCTCTTATTTTGCAGATCTCCGTTACATTGGGGGTCATTCCTGAGACAGCATCAACTATATCCCCAAACCTTTATCTGACAGAAGATTTTCTGTTTAGGAAAAAGCCACTACTGGCACAATTGCAACATGAAGACAGAAGAGAATGTCATCTTAGGTCAAAATAAGCTAATTAAAGAGAGAGCTCACTTGGGAGATTTCTTTACAATTTGACTATTTTTGGTTATTGAAGGCTGATATAACCAAGCTGTGAGTGTAGCCAAATTAAAGCATTTTCCAAATAAACATTCTCAATCAAAATTTTGCAATGCAGTTTTCAATGCACTACAAATGGATGTTTTTTGGTTGCACTACAAATAGATGTTTAAGAAATAAACCTAACAATTGTAAATTATGCTAACTTAGTGTCTTCATTTTAGTAATGACAGGCGAGTATTTTGCATTTTTAACGCTATTCAATAAGAGAAAAAGAAGCTTGAGAGGAAGACCTAAAATAAAATAGCCGAAAAGTGTACTCCTGTGACCAATCCGCCGATCACATAATAACCGATAGTGATGCACCAGTCAAAAAAGAATGCGTCGCGCTGCGCCCTGTATGGAGTGAGCGCCGAAACAAGATTCGGTACCTGCCGAGGTAAGAATTCAACATACCCATCGGTTTGTGAGGTTTTGTGTATGATACCAGTAATTGGCCCATCTGGAGCCCATGTAAAGCATTCGTAGTCTCAAGATAACGTAGTAACGTCTTACCAACACAGTTTATGTTTGTTAAAAAACCATTGTAGAATTGGTCTTAGTCCGTCTCGATATCGTGAAAGACGCACCGTTCGGTGTGACAGACAAACCATCAACATCGAAGGCCTGAACGTCTACTACCCACCGAAAGGCGATCAGGCAAAAGAACATTGTAAGCTTCGCTGAAAGCTGTCAAAGAGACAGTGAAGTGTTGTACGGCCAATCCCGAAAAAAAATCTCAAAGTTGCGAATATTTTGGAGCTGGAGGACATGATAGTTGAAAACCTCTCAGGAGTCTACAAATCAGAGTGTTTTTACCCACTGAAAGACCCTGTACCGGGACGTGAGCCGCCGATCTTGTGACATTAATGAACCGATAGGAACGTCCCGACTCGAATAAGTAAGATAGAAAATTTTAAATCGTGGTAATAGGTGCTTTAAATGCATCGTAGTGCCTTTCCAAACACTAGCTAGACCATTTGTTCCAGGAGGCGAGGTAACTTCCAGGTAGTTCCGGGTACCCATAAGTCCGATAATAGGTCCTTAGTGATCTGCGATAGTCCGTCCGTGGACCAAGCTCCCCTGAAATCATCCAAGCCACTAGGACCAGGTGGTCTTGCAGTACTAGAGGGTGAGTTTCTCCCTGAGGGCTGGATAGTAGTAGGGAAAACGAAGGTATGAGGAGAGGATGGTCGCACGACAGCTCCAGTAGGTCGAGGAACCACGCTTGACTCTGCCAGAGTGCTGTTAGGAGGAGTAGAGAAATCCTCTGGGTTCTTACTTGATGGATCACTCTCGCCAGCATGCAGAAGGGGGGAAAGGCATTAGCTCCCCGATTCGGCCAGTCCTGAAGGAACGCGTCTACTGCTTCGCATTCCAGAACGAGTAGCCAGCTGAAGAACCTGGGAAGTTGGCAGTTGGTCCGTGAGGCGAAGAGGTCAATGCTCAGTGGTCCGTGGCATCGATATAGTTCTTGGAAGATTGGCTCGTGGAGACGCCAATCGCTTCCGTCTCTCCAGTGTTGGGAGTATCAATCTGGCGTGAGGTTGGAAGTTCCTGTAGGTATTCTGCCTGTAGTGTGATATTGCATGAGAGACAAAAACTGTAAATGTCTTTCGTTGCATCTGATAGATCTTGAGATCGAGCACCGCCTAGATGATTGATGTATTGGACCGCAGAAATGTTGTCCATGCGTAGTAAGATGCAGTCTTCAATATAAAATATATCAGGGGCTCACCCCTGCATGCAGCTTAACAAGCAGTCTGCACACCAGGCATATCATATACATAAACAGTTTGAATTGTTCAAGGTAAATGTTGTAAGCAGTATTGAATAGGAGTAATGATCACCTTTTATGAAATATTAGTTGTCTGATAGTTCGGTACGGGGTAAAGTCCGTTGGTGCTTGCTGTAGGCCGTCATTGTGTGCCTGCAAAAGTAAGAAACAAAATGGCTGCGATATATCTCACGTTCTTGCAAGATCCAAAATGGCCGCAGCGCGAGGACACGACGGGAAGAACTCCTACGGGCCCTTGGAAAGGTAAGAAGAAGCTTGTCTAAGTTCCCTGCCAGCCCCAGCACCAGGATTAAGCTGAATTATATATGGGTAAAGTCCCCTCTTGCCCCCGGCCACGGTCAGGCAGTAGAATCAATAGGACTGAGGAGAGCTGACAGGCAAAGCAGACAGCGCAGAGAAAGATAGTTAAACACAGGAAAGCATGGAAATTATGTTAGAAAAAAACACAAACTAAGTATAGGAAGTGTGATAAAGGAAAAAATCCTAAGGATTGCAGTATAATAGGCTATACAATGTAAATAATTAGGTAGGAATCAAATAATCTGATCTGTGACTCTACAGGAGCAGCAAAGAAAGAGGAAGAATTGGGGACTGTCCTTACTTATATATGTGATGACTGGGTGTTTTCAATTGGTCAAAGTTTTTTTTTATTGTCCTGTTTCCTGCTGGATATTTAAAGTAAAGAAAGTCAATGCAAAATAGTCGCCTCCTGTCATTACTAAAATTAAGATTATCAATACACTACGTTAGCATAATCTACAATTGTTGGGTTTATACTGTAAATACTGTGTTCAGCAAGTACAGGGTGAAATGTATGCTCATGTCTATATTTGTCAAGTTGCTGTAAAAAAAAGTAAAGTGCACATATTTCATATCTACCAAGTGTCCCTGTTTAAGAGGGAAAGTCCCTATTTTGGGCCCAAATCCCTTTTCCCCTCTTTGTTCTAAATTACATTTTAGTTTCATAAACTGATTTAGTTCCATAAATTTCTAAGAACAGCCCTGCCCCCTGGCTGTACCTCCACTCACACCCCTAAAATGAAAGTGTCCCTCTTTGTCCCTTTGCAAGTTGGGCGGTCCCAAACCAGCAGAGGTCGCTAGAGATTTTCCTGTAAGTGAGCATAGCTGCCATGGCTGCTATAGAATGCCACAATGAGACAGGAAGGGCTGTGACGTCACGGGTCCTTTAACTAACTGGGAAGTGATTGTTATCATCGTGCTGGGAGGGATTATTGAATGGAAGGCGAATTAATACAAGTTATTTCATGGAACGTCTGTACAGGAAACAGAACCACATGTACTCACAGAGGATACTGTGTCTAATGCTGAATATACCAAGAGCTATGTGCTGAAGGAAAGGGGCCAGAGGTTAGTACAATATATATAATAATATTTTATATAAGAGGGGGAAGAGGGGGGGGGGGGTCAAAAACTAGCCTTTAACAACCTTTTTGCTATTTACAGCGTAAAGATTCAGTAGAGTCATTTTTATTTTTTGTTTATTAAAATATAAAATGCATTGTGGACTATTGACCCTACAACATGAGTGTGCATCAGATAAATGTGAATTTAATTAATTATAAAGCATCATGCATTATGTTAGGTATATGATTATATAGGCCAGCAGTCAGCTTAGGCAGTGATTGCATATATAAATTGCATTATTGTTTTTTTGGTTGGTATTTAGCTGTGTGTCAGTGCTGTACACCTGCTAAATCAATATTAATATAGAAAACCACAGTTAAATCATACTTGGTGTTCCATATTTTCATGTATACCTTTTTTTTTAATTGTATGGATTGGGGGATTAAAGTCAGTGCAGTTTTGATATCATACTACACATTTCAAGGTATAGTCCCCACTGAAACGTTTTTTCTGAAAACTTTGGATAGTTAACGAAGGTTGATCAGTAGTACAAGGTTCTAAAACTTGATACTGATTATAAAATTGATACTGAATTACATGTTTTGACAGTTTTTCATTATTTATGACATTAACATGTTTTTTTTTTTTTTTAATTACTGGAATGTACTATGGTACATTCCATCTATTAAAGCACCACTACAGTGCCAGGAAAACATACTCGTTTTCCTCGCACTATAGTGCCCTGAGGGTGCTCCCACCCTCATGGTCCCACTTACCTTTCTCCAGCACCGGGCTGGGAGCTCTCCGCCTCCGATCCTCCTCCTCTCCTCCCTTTCGGCTGAATGCGCACGCATTAAACTGCTATGTTTATAAAAAAATGGGTTAACCCTAGCTGGACCTGGCACCCAGACCACTTCATTAAGCTGAAGTGGTCTGGGTGCCTAGAGTGGTCCTTTAATGTTTTTTGGTTTTTTTTTTTTGTATTTTTGGAGCCAGAGGCTAAAGGTTGTGCATTTGTGAGGAGACAAGTGTTCCCTTTGATCATAAAAAACAAACAAACAAAAAACGTTCTGCACCTGCCATTTATTGTCATGTCTGTACAAAAAGTATATTTCCAATCATGCCTGACAGTCATTTTAAATACTATTTTGATTCTCTATACATTTTTTGTTTTTCTTCACTACACCCTACAACTTGGCTATTCCGAATATAAAATTCAGTTCCAAGAGTCAGGTGCAAATATACTATGCTTTGTTTATGTATGTTTTTGAATATTTTAGGATGCTACCAATATTTCGGAGAAAAGAAGGATGGACAGACGTCATCTTGCCTTTAATAAAAAAGGGGACAGCTGGAATTGTCTCCTGTTGTTGTTTTTTCTGTTAATCTTCACCGTGGTCTCCATCAACATCTTTCTTTATGTTTACCTCGATCAAATGTACAAGCCATCAAAATATAGTCAGGTGGACCCCAGCATGTGTCCACAAGGCCATTTCAGGATGGGAAGGATGAAGGATTGTTCCTCCTGGCTGTCCTGCGAGTCAATCGGAAAGGAAGTCCGGAAATTAAAACTCGTTGGTGAAGGGGCAGTTAAAAAGGTCAGTCCATATTGGGTTTTCCTGTGGTGATTTAAGTATTGTATTGACACTAGGGAGATAATACATATGCAAGAAACTTTAAAGGGTTAATCATACTAAAAGCCCTGGTTTTGGTTAGAGTAACCCTTTCTGAGGTGACTTGACCCCCTTCCCCAGTTTAAAAAAAAAAAAAAAAAAAGGATTACGATATTTAAGAAGAAAGCTTTGTAAATACAAAATGTTGACTGTGCTTAGGATATCATTGCCATCCAAATTTGGCAGGCTTATGCAAAAGTTCTCTTCTTCATTAAAGGAACACTACAGTGTAAATAATACAAACATGTTCCCCAACACTATGGTGCTGAAATAATGTTTAGTTATCTTGCTCCCCCCCACCCCCTCTGTGGAGTTAAAAAGTGAATTTACTTACTTAGCTTTTCTCCCTGTTAAAATGGCTGGCTCCGCCTCAATGGCTGAGGTCACCCAGAGGAAAGCATTGGGATGCCAACGTGCATGCGCATCAAATCACCATGCTGTGCCATTCAGAATCTTCTCATTGAGATCCATTGAATCAATACATCTCTATGGGAAGCATTCAGCTCATCTTCAGAGGATGGAGACGCTGAATGTAGGTGATACAAACAGTGCAGCACTGAAATAGGAAGCATCTCTAGTGGCCATCTGAGTGCCACTAAAGGTGTTACTAGGCAGCAATGTACACAGAAATAGATGTTTCTGTAGGTAACATTAGATGTATTTTTTTTTTTTTGTTTTTTTTGTTTTAGGGCCTTCTAAAATATTACGGTATCTTTTTTTTAAATGGACCACTGGTCATTTTATACAGGGATCATGTCCTCTCTCATTCTCATGTGCCTAAATTCATCATCCCCTATTTTCATCAAGCTGCTTTACAGCACTGTAAAAACTGTTGTCTGTCCATAAATTGAATAATTGGAGTAGTGTTGTAGTCTCTCTCCTATTCCTTCAGTATAAATAATTCCTGTCCTTACACATTTATCTGTGTTCTCTCCTCCACAGTTAATCCAGTATTTTTCTTGTGTTATTTCAGGTTTTCTTGGCTGAATGGAAAGAGATGAAGGTTGCTGTTTCCCAGCTCACGCAGCCAGAGCTTCTGGATGACTTTGTGCATGGCTTACGAATGCTACAGTCCTTGCAGAGTAGGCATGTAGTGACACTTCTGGGTTTCTGTGAGAAGGATCATACCATCTTAACAGAATACCATCCCCTCGGCTCCCTTAAAGACTTGGATAAAACCTTTGCACTCCCGAGGTATCAGAGTCTAAATACGTGGCAGACTCGCTTTAGGCTTGCTATAGACTATGTAGGTATCATTAATTACCTACACAATAGCCCTCTTGGTGTGCTGGTCATGTGTGACTCCAATGACTTGAATAAGGTACTCTCACAGTATCTATTGACTAGTGACTTCCAAGTGATTGCCAATGACCTGGATGCTTTGCCTGCAGTAGATAAATATAGAGGCATATTGGTCAAATGTGGCCACAGGGAAATTACAGGTGACTTCGTTGCTCCGGAACAGCTGTGGCCACATGGAGCTGGAGTGGAATTTTCAGATGATCTCATGCCTCCTTATGACGAGAAGACTGACATTTGGAAGATCCCAGCTGTGACAGATTACCTCCTGGGTCATGTGACAGGAAGTGACATTGTCCGATTTCACCTTTTTGACATACACAGTGAGTGTGGAAAGCAGAACCCGTTGGAGAGGCCCTCAGCTCAGACTGTGTTGGAGACTTACAGAAGAGTCTTTACATTGTTGATGAAAGATATGGCTGTATCCGAAACCAGAGAGATGTTGTGAAGTGTTTGGGGTATTATATCTTAAGAAAGGAAATGTGTCCTTTGAATTCTACAAACGTTTGTTCTTATGTAGGTGATATTTAAGCCTGTTGCTACGTTTTGGGTTAAGGACAGCTTGATGAAATGTTAACTGTAGTCATATTTTGTCAGTTACACTGATATTTCACCAGTGCTAAAGTCACGCTCTTGATTAACTTATAATGTGTTAAAATAAACTTGTCACTACTTTCTAAAATTACCAGTGATCTCAACAAGGGCTAGGTTGTTACAGAATCCTTCAGAATTTTCCTTCAATGTCCCTAAAAGTTCATGGCTGGCTAACGTCGGTTCTGTGCAAAACTGAGGCCTGGCACCAGCATATACAACATGCCGATGCCAAACAGCCAGTGGCTATACAGCATCCCTTAAGTCCATCCTCCCTTCCCCCTCATGTGAGCGAGTGACATCAGGCAGGGAGGATCTTGCAGTCGGGAGACCTTGGACTCTGTGATGGGATGGAGGTGAATTTTACCGTTTTATTTTTCATTTGGGGGTGAACTTCCTCAGAAAGGGTTACTTTAATCAAAACTTTTATGTTCATAAAACACTGGTTTTGGTTAGAGTAACCCTTTAAATCATGGGCTGATAGTTTCACAACTTCCAGTATATTGTTTTAATTGAAATGATGCTAAACGTTGATTTAAAAAAAAAAAATAATTTTAAGTTAGTCTTATCACACTGGAAGATGTATTGTGCTGTCATTTGGGGTATGGAGTGCTAACATAGTATAGTTTGAATGTAAACTCTAGATAAGGTAGAAATCTCTACCCATCCAAATCCTGGAGAAGGGCGCTTTTAGAAATGTTAAATAAACTAACATTAAATATGTATAATACAGCATTGTGATTTGACCAATCTGTTGTTAGTACTAAAATGATTTATTTTTTGTTGTTGTGTTGTATGTTTTATTTTTATTTTTTTTTGTTCTCTGATGCCTTCTCCCTCTGCACAGCTAACACCAGATTACATCCTAGTGCGAAAGTAATCTCCTGTCATCTGATTCTATTTTTCTTCTCTGAACATCAGTTTAGCAGGTCCTACTACAATAATTCAGGAATCTTTGAAACCGTGCTAGAGACTGGATTCCATGTCTGCTTTCACACATTTCAGCTGGAGAAGAAAATTGTTCGTCCTCTACAAATGTGTAGTTTAAAAAATAAATAAATAATAATTCAGACGTGTTTTTTTTTTTTTTTTTGCTGTGGGGAAGCTAAGCTTTGCCCCATGACTGACAGTCATTCTCTTATTACAAACATTTAACAAATTAAACCAAATGAGAAAAATGTAATCTAAAGCAGTAAAAATGTGATAAGTTGGGTAGGAAAATTTCTCAATTTTTTTTTTTAATTCTTTATTTTTACAATAAACGTAACAGGTGTACATTCACTTTTGGGCTCATAAGGAAGCCAATTGAATTACATAACATTGCAAGGAAATACAAGACAACCTTATCATTGCAAGCCCGTTCCTTAATATACCTTTGGCACCCGCAGTCTATTGAGGTATTTTATGTTTAAATCAAAAACAGGCAGTTAAGTAGTACAAGTAGCCGTTCTGTATGCTAATCAATCTAGTACTTGAGCTACATTATTCCTCCGACCGTGTGATCTTGCCTGGCAAAACAAAACAAGAACAAAGAGAGAAGAAGAGAGAAAGAAGAAGAGAAAAGAGATAGAAAAGGGAGAGGGGGTATCACAGCCACTTCGTTGACAATCAAGTCGCTTTTAATGGGGGTGTTTACATCCTAGGTTTATACCCGGAGGTGGGAGGCCCTCAGTCTCTACTCGAGCCAACTATACTAGTCATGGTCCCTTTAATGAATTAAATGTGATAGCCTTGTATAGAATATTGCATAATCTGTTCACACATTCACGTTAGATATGAGTGTCTTGCATAGTTTTACAAATGATTTACTGATTACATCCTGGAAGTTAATAAATTAAAGAGATTAATTAGATGATCATTGTTTCACCAAGAACTTCGGAATTAAAGATCGTTTGAACCTAGATCCTGAATAGATCCATTATAGATTAAGCAGTCTGACAGACAGGCCGCATTGTTTCAAAATGCTCTTCTGACACCGACAGGATTCGTCACTGAAATGCGAATTGTCATTAGTTCAAAGTGAATTTCAAATGTTAGGTCAAAACAGCAAAACTCTAAATTTTATCTAACTTGGAAAATATTCCCATTTGACCTAAAATTACAAATTAATTTTCACTTTATGAAGCAACAACAGCTATGGCAACAAACAATATTAAAGTAAGATAAAGAGAAAACTGTATTAAATATAATATACTCTGCTCTAGTGATACATTATCAATACCATGTTATATATTAAAACACATGTTTTTGGATACAACTCAGCCTCAAAGGAAATAAAGTACATACAGAAAACGTTACCCCAAGAAAGTTGTGGTATCACCTAAGCAGAAAATCCTTTACAGAGGCTTTCCTTTATTTTTTCTTGCGCGTCTTTTGGGTTAATTCCTTTTTCCGATGCCAGCCAGAAATCTAGTAATTTGAGTTGCACAGTTCTGCGGAATATGTTGGCGCTTTATAAACGCCAATATTTATATACGGAGGTTTATACACCTGTGTGTATTTTTGAGTATATTATTTTTAACATACAATATTATTCAGTTCTATCATTATTTTACAAGTTTTGATTTGTACTTTGGTTCTGAATAACATTCAGTATTTATTTCAGTATAGTTGCACATTAAACCACATTGATCTATTCTTAATCTTAAAACTTTTTTTACTGCTAGATATGAATGCCATATACCCTACAGTTTTGATACACCTGTATTACAAAGGAAACGTCAGCAGTGCAACTCGAAACTATTTTCTTAGCCATTTTTATTTCACGTTTATTCCAAGTACAAATTTTATTTTTCCCTATAGTGCCCTGTTGTACATTCTTTAATACGTCCCCCTTCTCCCCCTCCCCCTTCCCTTCTGCACAGAATTGACTTTAGACAGACCAGAACATAGTTTCATTCTGTCTGTCAAGTGCCAGTGGTTCAACTGGCACCAAAGTGGAAATATATCTGTATGTTCAGCGTTTCAAGCAGAAGTCACGACCCAAAACATTCTGAACCACTAGGAGAAAACAACTAGTATACTGACAGTCAGATTAAGTAAAGTTTGTAATGATCTAATACACCTTGGAAACAGGAATAAATGAAAAACGTGAGAACTAAATCACCTACAACTCTATTTCTTATGTTATCATTATGTAACTATTTACAGGCACCGATATCTTTCCTAAATGCTCTGCACATGTAAGTGATCTCTGGATACTACATAGAAAACTTTTGATGGTTAAAAATAATCACGTGGCCCAGATGACACTGTGTGGCTTGCTTGCAGAGAATCATAGGGGTTGTGGTTCATTCCCTCTCCTTTTTGTACAACCCTGGCGTACACTGAAGGGATTATTCACTAAAGGGAGGATTCAAAGTGAATTTCAAATTTAAGGTCAAAATAGCTGAAGTGTAGAAATTCTCCTAGTCAGGTATGCTTTTAGTTTGGCTACTTTGGCCTGAAATTTAAAACTGACTTTGATTTCCCTGCAGTTCTCACGTTAGTGAATAACTCCATGAGTCTGAGTCTACTTGTTTCTAACAGAATGCAGCATGTACCTATGACTCCTTGCTGTACCATGAGCTGCACTGCTCTCCGCTGATTGGTTACTCCTGTACCCCTCCTATGGTCTGTCTGCATTGCTATTGGCTGCAGAGTGCTCAGGCGGAGCCCCTGCCAGTGATGGATCATGTGATCAGAACGTTGATGAGGAAATAGAATGCTCTGTATTGGAATTAACAGCAGTCGCCAGTGAAAGGCAGGGATGACATAACAGGCAGGACTGAACATGGCCAGAACGTGTTAGAAAGGGCAGGGGATGATGTCATAGCACTGAGAGACAGAGAGAGGGACTGATTGCCATATAAACCTAAAACAGGTGTGACAAGGGCAGGCAAGCTAACACTAATCCCCACTCACCGGCTGCCCAGTGAAATCACACAAGTAATTGGATTTATTTGTATTTTAGAACCACCCTGGAAAGCAGAGAGGAAGTGAGAGAACGCAGGGGGAGGAGGAAAAAAGGGCTGCAAAAGCAAAACACCACAACTACTACCGACAAGCAGAGCAGCAGTAACAGGAGGCTGGGAATGGGGTGTCTCACCTGCACCTATGCTCTCTCCATCCTAACAGCACTGAGCCTCATCCTCCTGGGGACCTGCACCAGCGGCCAACACACAGACAGTAAGTGGATCATGCACAGTAATTAGAATTGTATTATTTGTGTGTTGATTCAGTAAACTGTATTTGGCTCTCTGCACTTTCTCCTTTCACTTTGAAAGGTAGAACATACAATGTATCTATTAATGTCTTCACTTCCAGAGCAGTGTTCTATCTTTTTATTTCCCTCATATATTGGTAATGCCATCTTTTTAGACCGATGTGATGCACGTTAACCCTTTAATCCCTTAAGGACACATGACATGTCATGATTCCCTTTTATTCCAAAAGTTTGGTCCTTAAAGGACCACTATAGTGCCAGGAAAACATACTCTTTTTCCTGGCACTATAGTGCCCTGAGGGTGCCCCCACCCTCAGGGACCCCCTCCCGCCCGGCTCTGAAAGGGGGAAAGGGGTAAAAACTTACCTTTTTCCAGCGCTGAGCAGGGAGCTCTCCGCCTCCGATCCGCCCTGTCGGCTGAATGCACACGCGCGGCAAGAGCTGCGCGCGCATTCAGCCAATCCCATAGGAAAGCATTATCAATGCTTTCCTATGGACGCTGGCGTGCTCTCACTGTGAAAAATCACAGTGAGAAGCACGCAAGCGCCTCTAGTGGCTGTCAATAAGACAGCCGCTAGAGGCTTTGGGGGAAGGCTTAACCCATTGATAAACATAGCAGTTTCTCTGAAACTGCTATGTTTATATAAAAAAATAATTTAAAAAATGGGTTAGCCCTAGCTGGACCTGGCACCCAGACCACTTCATTAAGCTGAAGTGGTCTGGGTGCCTAGAGTGGTCCTTTAAGGGGTTAAACACCACAGGTGTGTTTATTGCTCTTATATCAGTATTCTGGTTAATTTAAATAAGTGAGGTGAGCAGATTATTTGTCTTGCCTTATATAAGTGTTTTTGTGATGTTTTCTGTCAAACTGAAGTGCTGTTTGACCTGAGTAGTCTTATCTAGCCCCATATATCCTAAAACTAATATTACATCAACTGACTGGATGTGGTAAAATTCATGTGAGGTTTTTTTTGAAGAATCCATTTTATTTCTCTCCTCCTGTTTCATTACCTCTTAAGTGGTCAAACCACAAACCCCTCTTATAACTTTTGAATGTCTTTTAGACTATTCTAACTTCCTCATTCGTTCTATAAAAGTGTAAGGGGAGAGAGAGAGAGAGAGAGAGAGAGAGAGAGAGAGAGAGATATCTCTCTCTATACATTTTTTAAAAAAAAATATTTTTTTTTTTTTGTGCTCCTGTAAGTATAGAGAGAAAATAAGCACTTTAACTCCAAGTGATGGAGCAGTGAATAGAGGAGGCACATACTGCAAATAGTCACAGAACATGATAGTCTCAGCCCAAGAGAGTGCACAGTTACAATGATAAAGCAGAGGTATGATTAATTACACTGATACCCTACTGTAGTATGGAAGGACTGCAGGCAGTGTCAAACCAAATTCGTAAATGGTCTCCACATATTTATAATGTACTTTGATAAGAGGAAGTGAATGAATGGTATTGGTGCCAAAAATGTAAATATTTAGCTTCTCTATTTCTTTTTTCCTGTGTGTTTGTCTTCATCTTCTGTTTCTCTGGGAAATGATCACATGATAGAACCATCAAACATTTCTCAATAAGCACTTAACCTATGTACTATTTTAAAGGGACACTCCAAACCCCTGAAGTGCTTTGTGTGAAGTGTGACTTCCTTTATTATTTTTAAAGAGAGTGCAGATTTCAATAGACATTGCCACTTTCATAAATTAACCTTGTTAAACGCCACTGGCTGTCAATAAGACAACAGGTTCTATTACTTCCTGGTTTGGTTAGCACAGTGGAGCTAGACTTAAGAGGCAGCAATTGCACTGAGCACCTGCTTTTGCAAAGACTTTTCATTGAGTTTAATTGTGAAGTCGGCGATTGGACAGTCACAGAAAGTCTAGGATGGGGAAGAAGGGGACAGCTTACAAAAGCTACAGATTGTCTGCAATTGCTGCCTGGAGTTTTACTCGTCTGAGTAGCAGGAATGGTTGTCTTATTATAAGCCAGGGGGTGTAACAAGGTTAATTTAGAAGAGTGACTATTTATTTCTGTGATTCTGCGATTTTTATAAAATAAATGAGGGCTGAGGGGGCACAACCTTTGCCCGAATAAAGCACTTGGGCATGCTGAAGTCCTCTAGGGATCTTGAGTGTCACTTTAAAACACTTGGTTTTTAGGACTACATTGTTAATGCATCACATTGACAAACAAAAAGCCCTGTGCTATTTTGGGTGCAAAGTTCTAAATATTTAATGTTCTATTGATTTTGGCAGTTGTTTTAAAAAGGCACTTGTTTTTGCCTTGCTAACCCTTTCCTTTGTCCTTTTTGGCAGTCAGTCACCCCATTGCAGCTAATCTGGTCTGTATTCACTGGTAGAACATTCTATCTAATGTGATCATACTTGAGCGCCATGTGATTTTCATAACTGATGTGGATACAATTTGCTACCTAATTCATGTATAATTTATTGTTTAATATAAATTAAGTTTTCTTGTCTTAATATCTTCATTTTCGTTTTCTCCTTGTATGTGTAATAGCTGTTTTTAAAAGAGCAAGTCACTTGAAAATGGACGAGGCCTTCCTGTTGATTCACAATGAATTAAAATCTGAGAAATTTGAGGTCTTTTGGCTTTCCGACCAGTGCTTCCAGGTACTAATATAAAATATAGTTTGTGTAGTGGGGGGAGGAGGAGGTTCCATTCATGTTCTTTTCCTTTCTAACAGACATATTGTTAAATGTCTGGTTGTACAAGAACAAGTGGGACTTTTGGGCACACTACAACCCACGCATCCATCTTATTGTATATTTTCTTGCTTGTGCCCTATCTCTTCATACTACCTGTTTGCAAATGATGGTCTGAAGTCAGTAAGTGGGTTTTGTCATCCGTGGTCAAATGTAGACCCAAAGGAAACATAGTTTGGCTTTCTATTCAGCTTTTCCGTGTCCACTTGAGTTGACTTGGCTAGATATTTAATGGACGTTTTTGGCATTGAGTGAATTGGAGGGGGTATCTAAATCTTAACCACAATTTAATATCTAAGAAAGTCATCCAGACCATTGTATCGCAAAGTGGTGGTGTGGGTGCAGTGGTCCTTAAGTTTTTAACCCTGCAATGTAAGTGTTCCGTTGCTTACATTGCCAGGGTTAAATACACCTTTAGTAGCTTAGAGGCACTTCTGCTTTAAGAACAGTCAAACTCTCGTCCACCAACAGTCCAGAATTTCTATATTTCCAGTTTTTATATTTATATATATATATATATATATATATATATATATATATATATATATATATATATATATATAATGTGTGTGTGTGTATATATATTTATTTATTTTTTTCTTTTTTAAACCATGGAGATACTGACGACAAAACCTGGACTGTTAATGGGTTTTGAGGACTGGTTTGGGATACAATGCCTTAACAAAGTTATAGTCAATCAGCCCACACAGGTTTGTGTTTCCCTCTTGCACAAAGTAAGTTCATGTGAAGAGTGGTATTTTAAAATTAAATACATTTAAAAAAATCAATGGGCCTGGAGCTACAGCTCCTTTAGCCACTATGTTAATCCAGCCCTGACTGTAAGGGGTCAAACAACATTCTCTAAAGATAAGGAGATCTATCAGATGAGTGGCAGAAGCTCCAATGCTTTCAGCTTCCATTAGCTGTCCAGAGCCAAGGCCTTCATTGCAGTGTGTGTGTGTGTGTGTGTTTTTTGTTTTTTGTTTTTTTTCTTTGCGCTAATCGCCCTCAGGCAATGAGCTAAGCCCTGCACCAGGAAGGTAATGCTTTTAGTGGAAGTAGGGATTTATTTAAACATTATATAAATCAACGCTGCTACAGCAACTGAATAATAGAACACTATAACATATTACGGAGTTCTATAACAAAGTTTAACTTAAACATTCCAGCCACACTAGTGGTTTTTAATGCCAGGAGTGCACTGACACTCTGTGTAAGTAGCCAAACCATTTAAGAATAGTTTGACAACTTTTCTGGACCCTGCCATGCACTAGCGGACCCTGCTTACAAATTGCAGGGGAATCAATTGAGCTAAGCTGGGATGTTAATGGCTGCTCTCATTGGCTGAGAGCATTTGCTGGGTGTGGCCCTTTATTGAGCCGTGCTTAACTTAGGGGAGACAGCCCGCTTCTATGGTTAAAGAAGCAGTATGCTGCACAGGGGAGCCAGGCACATTGTCAAACTGGTATTAAGTTAATCTGGGAAGGCTCCGGACCACTCCTGACTCTGTAACCACTACAACAGGCTGTAGTTGTTATGGTGCATGGAGTGTTTCTTAATATTCAAAGCTGGGTGCAACTTGTAGCTACAGAGCACCTCCCAATGCTTTAAAATGTTTCTATAGTTCTTGATTTTCTTTTGAGTTGCTAATTTTTATTTAAACTCTTCTTTATTTCCTATTTGACCAGTGCGTGTATGTTTATAACTTGTAATTCACCTACACTATGTTGGACGTTCCCAAAATGAAATTACCCCTGTTTAAAGTAAGGTGTACGAATTTCTGGTATTTTAACGACTCCAATTATTAGACCCTCCCAAAGACACATGATTACAGGATTAATGTAACACAAAATTTCACACGTTTACATACTACAAATATGTCTTTTTTTTTTTTTCTCATACATCTGCTTTTCTTGATACATATATTTCACAACCTTGTGATCTGTATTATTCCAGAATTCTATGTGTATTAATCTCTATTTTCCTAACAGTGTGCATACCAACCTCTAGTTCATGTAAGGAAAGAAAATGTGAGTACAGTAGTGGACGCAAGACACCCTCTCACTCTACAGATCAATGAGACCTCCACGAACAGAGTGCTTTGTAGGTGGGTATGATAACAGATCTATTTATTTTAGTTTTTATAAAAAATAAAAAAAAACCTACTTGCAGCTCCCTTCATTAGGAAGAGCGGTCCAGTAGGAGCAGGAGTTAATGGGATGAGAATTAGGTCCATAAGGAGTGGTTTCACTCGCCATGTAGGATGAGTGGTTATGTTCTTTAAATAAGTTGGTTCCCAAAGCAGTCCTCACAATTGGTTCATGTTATTTCAGTATCTCCTCAGAATAGAAATTGAGAAATAACCACATAAATCATTAAATGTTGCTGGGCTACGAAGACCACAGGTTTAGGAACAACTGCTCTAAATTGATTAGACCTATACCACCGCAGTTACAGCTCGGTTCACTGTTTAGAGATTGGCAAAGCCATGGTCCTTAGCTCCACTGTATTTTACATGGGGAGGGAAGAGAGCTTGGTCTGAGTTGTCCACACAGATTACGCAGTCTTGGAGCAACTGTAATTCCTTTCAACAAAAACTTCATATTTCTATTGGTGATGTCTGCTCCCACACTCTAACCTCAATATATAGTACAAAGTTCAAATGTCACGATTCATTTTTTTTTATTTTATTTTTTAACAGTATACACTACACTTTCCGAGAATTTGGGAATTATTCCGTGTGGGTGAAAGCGAGCCCTGCAGACCACAACAACATAAGCTGTGATATCATTATTGATTATAATCCTGTCTACAGCTACCTTCGTAAGTTGTGTTTGGGGGGGTTTCTTTGTGTGTGTGTGTGTGGGGAAGGGTGTGTGTGTGTGTGTGTGTGTGTGTGTGTTGTTTTTTTTTTTTTTGAGGAGGAGAAGAGAAATTCCACTGTGTATTTTTACTTTCCTCACTCCTCAGGGTAGTAGGGAATGCTGTATAAAGGACAATAAAGTGTTGAGGGCTATCTAGAATCTGTGCTATGAGCTGCTCGGAAATGAGCCATAAACGTGAGTGAGCCATAATTTTCAAATGTGTATCTAAAAAGCACTGCCTTTAATCCAGATTTAAATGCATCCGGGCAACTGTTGCAAATTTGCTTAGGTTATCAAATTCAGACCAGATTTGGCTTTAGTAAAAATGAGCTTTGACATTGCGCTTGGGATTTAGCTGTCTTTCACTGGATTGTGTCCACCTAGACAAAATCGAACTCTGTAAGAAGATATGATTGCTCAATGCTTTTATATTAGACAGGAGCGTAGATCTTTATCGTGTTGGGCTGGAGGCCACTTTGCAGGTCTGAGAGAGGCTGCATATTATTTCTTTGAACCTGACACTATTCTAGTTCTTGTGGGGGAGGGAAATAAAAAAAAAAATATATATATATATATATATATTTAATGGTAGCCTAAAGCGGGAGTGGCTTATCAGAGCAAAACAACTATCAAATCTTTGTGCATTCTTTTCAGTTTCTACAAGGTTTGTTCCTTGTTTTGCTCTGACCCAGAGTAACTCCTGTTTTTTGCATTTGATAAACCTTTTTATTCTTAAAGGTTCCTAAGCAACAATATTTGAGAAACGTGTGTGTGTGTGTGTATGTAAGATAAGATCTTCGCTGCTGGGGTTCGATTACAGATTAATATCCCAATTTGGTTAAAACCAGAGCTTCCAGCCCCTGCTGTGAGAAATGTGGTTTGTAAGTAACTTGTATGCGTTTTTTCATATTATGCAAGATGGTTAGCTTTGCTATAAATTTTATCTTACTTTCCCATAATGAACATATTAAAGGCATTTATTTATTTTTTACCTTTTTTTTTTTTTTTCATTTAGCAATCATCGTAGCTTTTCTTGTATACCTGGGCATCTTCTGCGTTTTTTATCTGGTATCTTGCATTTTCAGGTAAGGAAGCCCTGTTATCCCAAATTGTTTAAGAATAATAGCAGAAACATTTATTTGTAGAGCAAGCATAATCTTCTAGCTCTGGTAGGCTTTCAAATCTCTAAGTACTAAAATTGGCTCTGAACATCATGTGCAAATGCATATTTTCATAAAAGCCAATGTAATTTGGTTACGTGAGCAGCTCCCACCCCCCACCCCTGCCTGTCTTAAATACATTGTGTTTTGTCACTGTGTGTGTATAGTACAAAAAGGTGACAAAATTATCAGTGTTGTAACTAATGTGACTTTAACACCGCAAAGTAGGTTACAAAATATCTGTGTAAAACCATTGTTAGCAGTCCAGTGATGAAGGAAATGCCATTTAGGTGCATTGTGGAGAACTGTTCGACACATTGTATTCTCCTATACATAAACCTCTTGATACCTGGCTCGTATCCCCTCCTTCCACTCAGGAGAGGGGATTGGAGTGTTTTACACATGACCCATCTTAGAGAAGGCACATTAAAACAAACATTTTAAAGCAGTGCTCAACAAATTCCATGGTGCCAGGAAGTCAAGGGACTAGAAATTTTGCCCTGGGATCTGTCTGCCCTTTACCAGCTGGGCAAACAATGGGGCTGCCCACCCTGGAGAGCATGGTGGCGGTCGGCTCATGGAGCGTTATAGCCGGCCGCTCTGGGGAGCATGGAGGCGGCAGGCTCGGACAGCGCGCGAGGGAGCAGTCTACCTGCAGCTTCTCTGCTCAATATAGTGATGCCGTAATATGGCATCATTCCAGCACCGGTTCTACTACAGAGAGAAATTAGAATGGGAGACGGTGTGCGCACGCGGGTGTCTGTCTCTGTGTGCCTGTCTAGGTACCTGCCCCCCTCCGATCATGAGAAGTGTGGTGTGTGTTTTTTTTTTTTTTTTACTCCCCTTTTTTCCAATGCTGTGCCTGTCTCGCCACAGCTTGTCCTCCCTCCATAGTTTAGATCATCAATCTTTATGATCTCAGCTAAGCCAGTGCTTTTCTATAGGAAAGAATTGGGAGGATATTGTGCATGTTATCTATGGGTAACATTCAGCGCCTCCATACTGACACAGGACTCGATTGGCCGTCTGAGTGACTGTCACTAGAGGGCTTGGTAGGCACCAATGTAAACACTGCCTTTTTAAAGAAACTGCTGCATTTAAATTGAAAAGGGCTATAGGTACCATAACTACATTAATTTGTAGTAGTTCTAGTGACTATAGTTCCCCCCCCAAAGAGGCTCCTAACTTTTTTTTTTTTTTTTTCTGGCTTATTGATTCCAAGCAAATTTGTCAAGCCTTGCTTTAAATTGCTAAACCATTAACTGTAAATTAGCATTTCCTGGTTTCATCCGCCTCTGGAGCTGACGACTAAAATAATACCTTGAATTACCATGTCTATCTGGAATAATGGGGTGGGGAGGCCCTAATTTGTCACCCACCCAACTATGCAGGTTGGAAGCAGTGGCTTTTCTTCTCCAAGATCTGCCTGTCTCTGCTGACCGGTGGTAACCTGTGACTCAACATGTCAGCAAAGTTATTTCCCACCCCCCCCCCTCCATGCAATGACTGTTGGATTTCATTGCCAAAACTCCTTTTTTGTTTTAACGTTTGTGTGTGTGTGTGTGTGTGTCTGTGTGTTCCCCAGTGTGATCATACAGCTACCTGATCTACTTTCTTCTCAAATGGTCAAGGCTGACAGCCTATTAATGGCTGATATACAGGGAGTGCAGAATTATTAGGCAAGTTGTATTTTTGAGGATTAATTTTATTATTGAACAACAACCATGTTCTCAATGAACCCAAAAAACTCATTAATATCAAAGCTGAATATTTTTGGAAGTAGTTTTTAGTTTGTTTTTAGTTATAGCTATGTTAGGGGGATATCTGTGTGTGCAGGTGACTATTACTGTGCATAATTATTAGGCAACTTAACAAAAAACAAATATATACCCATTTCAATTATTTATTATTACCAGTGAAACCAATATAACATCTCAACATTCACAAATATACATTTCTGACATTCAAAAACAAAACAAAAACAAATCAGTGACCAATATAGCCACCTTTCTTTGCAAGGACACTCAAAAGCCTGCCATCCATGGATTCTGTCAGTGTTTTGATCTGTTCACCATCAACATTGCGTGCAGCAGCAACCACAGCCTCCCAGACACTGTTCAGAGAGGTGTACTGTTTTCCCTCCTTGTAAATCTCACATTTGATGATGGACCACAGGTTCTCAATGGGGTTCAGATCAGGTGAACAAGGAGGCCATGTCATTAGATTTTCTTCTTTTATACCCTTTCTTGCCAGCCACGCTGTGGAGTACTTGGACGCGTGTGATGGAGCATTGTCCTGCATGAAAATCATGTTTTTCTTGAAGGATGCAGACTTCTTCCTGTACCACTGCTTGAAGAAGGTGTCTTCCAGGAACTGGCAGTAGGACTGGGAGTTGAGCTTGACTCCATCCTCAACCCGAAAAGGCCCCACAAGCTCATCTTTGATGATACCAGCCCAAACCAGTACTCCACCTCCACCTTGCTGGCGTCTGAGTCGGACTGGAGCTCTCTGCCCTTTACCAATCCAGCCACGGGCCCATCCATCTGGCCCATCAAGACTCACTCTCATTTCATCAGTCCATAAAACCTTAGAAAAATCAGTCTTGAGATATTTCTTGGCCCAGTCTTGACGTTTCAGCTTGTGTGTCTTGTTCAGTGGTGGTCGTCTTTCAGCCTTTCTTACCTTGGTCATGTCTCTGAGTATTGCACACCTTGTGCTTTTGGGCACTCCAGTGATGTTGCAGCTCTGAAATATGGCCAAACTGGTGGCAAGTGGCATCGTGGCAGCTGCACGCTTGACTTTTCTCAGTTCATGGGCAGTTATTTTGCGCCTTGGTTTTTCCACACGCTTCTTGCGACCCTGTTGACTATTTTGAATGAAACGCTTGATTGTTCGATGATCACGCTTCAGAAGCTTTGCAATTTTAAGAGTGCTGCATCCCTCTGCAAGATATCTCACTATTTTTGACTTTTCTGAGCCTGTCAAGTCCTTCTTTTGACCCATTTTGCCAAAGGAAAGGAAGTTGCCTAATAATTATGCACACCTGATAAAGGGTGTTGATGTCATTAGACCACACCCCTTCTCATTACAGAGATGCACATCACCTAATATGCTTAATTGGTAGTAGGCTTTCGAGCCTATACAGCTTGGAGTAAGACAACATGCATAAAGAGGATGATGTGGTCCAAATACTCATTTGCCTAATAATTCTGCACTCCCTGTAATTTTTTTATTTTTTTATATGGTCAAACTCTTTGATACAAAGTAAATTGTGCTTACAAGCCTTCAAATATATCAAAAACCAAGAAGGTGCTGCACATGAGTATAAAAATAAGTTACTGCCAGTCTCGCTAATAGAGGTCAGCAATCAAAATTCATAGGCTTCACAGCGTGGTGATATTTAGATTTATTTGGATGAATATCATTGCTGATTTTAAGACCTTCGCAACTTCCGTCAACATTAAGGCTTGATGTTGTTTTTTTTTTTATTCTGTCATCCAAATTTCATTATTAATAGCACCATGCTGTGAAGACTATAGACTTTGATTGTAGCTGTCAAATATATATATATTTGTTTTTATATTTTTTTTTTTCAGGAAAAAGATGGATATTTGCCACATGAACTAAAAAAAAAAAAAAAATTATATATATATTATAAAAAATATTTTGTGTGTAATATCAAATGGCTAAAGTGGTGGTGGGGGTTACGGGGGGGGTTATTTGTTTTGGTTTTCTCTTCACCCAACACTTCTTCTTGGTAATGAACTTTGTATAATGTATTCTTACAGACTCGACAGTGTCCGGAATTGGCTATGCAAAAAAATGAATCCAGTTGAAACAGACCGACTCATTAATTCTGTGAGTTTAATTTACTACACATGTTTATATGGCAGAGGAATGGGTTTTTTTACAGTACAAATCATGAAGATGTGTGTGTGTGTGTGTGTATGTGAGTGCTCTCGTTTTTTGCTTTTTCTATATTGACACAGAGAAGCACCTTGGTATTTATAACTTTTCAACATTTTTGGGCAGAGTGCCAGAGTTTGGAGATAGAGATATATCTCCATCCTCCATCCTCCATCCTCCATCATCTCTCTGCCCAAAAATGTTGAAAAGTTATAAATACCAAGGTGCTTCTCTGTGTCAATATAGAAAAAGCAAAAAACGAGAGCACTCACTGGATTTAACAAAATTGCTTATATTAAATAGTGAACATACCAATCAACGTTTCGACCGTCTCGCGGTCTTTATCACATCTTGATAAAGACCGCGAGAAAGTCGAAACGTTGATTGGTATGTTCACTATTTAATATAAGCAATTTTGTTAAATCCAGTGAGTGCTCTCATTTTTTGATATATATATATATATATATATATATAATATTTTTATAAAAAAAATTTTTATTTTTTTTTTTTTTATATTCTACTTTTTCAGACCCATCCACTCTGCCCCAATTAATTATATATGTTTGTTTACATAATGTGTGAAGGCTTATTTGCTATAATTTTCCTCTACAGCACACTTCCTTTCTTTAACTCTTGTTTTCGGTTAGTGCAGAACCTGCTCTCTGTATTTTCTGACCCACCCGTCTCTGGCTTGTAGGGCTCTCATATTATGGAACTGCAAGTTCGCTTTGGGGAAGCTGATTGAAAGACTTCTATCTCCGATGTTTGTCTTTAGATGAAGTTATAGAAAAGAGTGTTTGTTTGTTTTTGTTTTTTTAAACTTTATTTTAATTTTTTTTTTTTTTTTTATTTAATTTTTTTATTCTTGTTTTTACTGTTCTAGGAGTTGGGATCCCCCAGTAGGGCAGACCTCTACCAAGAATTCCATTCAGCAACTTCCAATAGACTACGTTCGCTCGACACATTCAGAGGGTAAAATGCACATTCCTGCTGGCGATTTATTTATAATGAAACTTTAATTTTATTTTTAATGAAACAAGGATGGTGTTGGGGATGGGATACTTTAAGAAAAAGGGGTGGGAGGTTTAGATTATGGAGCTATAATTAAAATAAAATGTGACCAGTTTAAAAAAAAAAAAAAAAATTCTATTCCAACTTGCATGTAATATAGGAAAGTGCTAGTTAAGTTATGAGTACTTTTTTTTTTTTTTTTTTTTAACATGCATTTTTCACCTTTTTATTTGTAGGCTTGCTCTTATAATCATGGTGTTTGTTAATTATGGTGGAGGAGGCTACTGGTTCTTCAAACATCAGAGCTGGAATGGTAAAGTGTGACTTTTACCATTTTTATTGTTGAATTGTAAACTTATCGTGCCTTGCTAACTATTGCCACATTTAAGGGATACTGTAAGCGCCATTCAAACTTATCTTAATGAAGCCATTTTGGTGTGTAACTCATGCCCCTGCAGACTCACTGCTCAATCTTTTGCTATTTAGGAAAAATCACTTTTTGGAGACAAAACTAAAACTGTGATTCTTCTCAGTTCTCAAGCTCCTCTTGTGCTGTTACAGAGAAGGTAATTCAATTTCTATATTAGACTGATTGCACCCAAAAGGGCAGTCCTGATTCCTTTTCAGCTTTGTTAGGCCTCACCAGTAAGGTATAGCTGATACGCCTCACTGGTGAGGTCCAAAGAAGATCTGAAACAATAGCCAAGAATTCCTGTATCTCTTGTGCAGACGGCTTGCTATCATTTCAAATATGGGTGGGATTAGCCTGAAATGCAAATGATACAGGTTCTCTTTGTAGTGTCAGACAGTGGAAACACATTTGAGACCAAAGTCTCAAATAACAAGCTTCGGAGTTTCTCTTAACTCTTGCCCGTTCTCATATAAAAAATTTTTTTTTCGTTTCAGTTCAATGACTCTTGTTCATGTTGCCATAATCACACCTTACCTGGCTGTGACTCACACAGCCTCCAGGAGAGTCTTATTTTCTTATTTCGATAATGACAGACTGTGTAAAATTCTGCTATTTAGTAGTCAAACTGTACAGCGATTTAATCTGCTTCTACCTTTTGCATCGTGTCATGTCCTATAAACTGTCCCTTTTTGTGATGGCTCATGGGAACAGGAATAAGGTTAAATTAAGAACCTATTGGGCCTCGTGTTGATCACTATGATGGGCCTAACTACAGAATCTTATCGACCAAAAACACATACAATCATACCTCCAAGTGTCTTGTATCTGGTGGAGGCAGGGCCGGACTGGGGATACGAAGCAGCCCTGGAAAAAAAAAAATCTATTCCAGCCCCATAAGTCATTGTGCTATGTAGGGTGTGTAAGGACTAATATTTTCTATTAGAAGAAGGAATAAAAAAAAAAAAAAAAAAATGTTTGTCTCTGTCCTCTATTCTCTGTTCAGGGTAATTAAATTATACAGTAAAGCATACTCAGACACAGACAATCTTACTGATTCACACAAATAGGCTCATTGACAGACAACTTCACTGTCACACACACGCTCACTAACACACACGGTCACTACAGAAGAGCTCACTGACACACATACAAGCTCACTCACTAGCAGGCACACACACAAATTTACTAGCAGGCGCGCGCACACACACACACACACACACAGGCTCCCTCACGATCTGATGCGCGCGCGCGCACACACAGAGAAGCGCTCTCTCACTAGCAGATGCACGCGCAGGCAGCTGCACGCACACACAGACTCACACACACAGGCCGGCAGTCACTTACACAAACACACCCACAGAGGCCGGCAGAGTCAGTCTCTCACACACACACACACCCACACCCACACCCACAGAGGCCGGCAGTCACTCACACACACACATGCCGGCAGTCACTTACACACACACACACACACACCCACACCCACAGAGGCCGGCAGTCTCTCTCTCTCACACACACACACACACACACACAGGCGACGGGTCTCTCCACGCACACACTTTTACACCGCACACACACACAGACGGCCCGGCAGTCTCACTCACACAGAGGCCAGCGGTCTCACACACACACACACACAGGCCGGCAGTCTCACGCACACACACACACACGAAGACAGGCCGGCAGTCTCACCACACACGCACGCACACACACACACGAACCCGAGGCCGGCGGTCTCACACGCACACACACACACACAGACGGGCGACGGTCTCACACACACGCACGCACACCCGCGCTGACAGTCTCACACACACACACACGCACACACACACACACGGGCCCGGCGGTCTCACACACACACACACACGCACACACACACACACACAGGCGGGCGAGTGCTCCACACACGCACACACACGCACACACACACACACACACACACAGGAGGCTGGCAGTCACACACACACACACACAGAGAGGCCGGCAGTCACACTCACACAGGCCGACACCCACACACACACACACACACACACAGAGAGGCTGGCAGTCACACACACACACACACAGAGAGGCCGGCAGTCACACTCACACAGGCCGACACCCACACACAGGCAGTCACACTGACCTGCTTCTTACTTCCACATCCCTTGGAGCTCCTGGAGGCTGGTTGTTGGGGAAGCAGGGATTCCTTCCTGCTTCCCATGAAGCAGTTACCAGAGCCGCACGATAGGTTCCACCCCCGCCAATTTTATTTTTTTCAATTCCGGCCGGCCACGTGTGAGCTGTGCCGGCCGCCTGGTTCCCCCTGCCCCCATGGGGTCCTGTGCGGCCGCACAGCTCACACGTAAAAAAAAAAAAAGCTCCTGGTATGTAGTCTGGGACAGAGGAAAAAATGGGTATAGTGCATATAGAAGAGAAAGGGCATGCCACAATATTGGGTTAAGCTGACTTTGCACATTGTGCAAATGCTCTTGCTGCTTCGGTCTAAATTGCTAGCCAGTCAACAAGTTTTACCCCCTTACATCCCTATTAAAGGGACACTATAATCACCAGAATCCTTGGTTTAGTGGTGGTTATAGTATGTTCCCGCAGGCTTTTCGATGTAAACTGTATCTTTTCAGAGAACAGGCAGTGTATACACTGCTGCCTACAAACACCTTGTGGCAGTCACACGGCCACTAGAAGTGCTTCTTGGTCTAGTGCATCACTGGTGTTCACCGTCCCCACGCAGATATCCTCTCAATGAGCCCCTGTGTTAATCCTGCTAATTGGGTGCATATAGCACATTGCATGCAAGGTTTCTGAACAATTCCCTCAGTCTTGTGGAATATGTCTGATAGTGTGTGTGCGCACATTATCTAGTTGAAGGAAAGAAACTATTGGTGTAAGAATGGCAGCTTAACTAGATGTCCATGAATCCATATAGAAGTGTGTAAGAAGAATTCTGCACTAACGATATCTGCTTAAAGGACCTTTTTTATTTTGCTTATTCTTTCTAGGCTTAACGCTTGCAGACCTGGTTTTCCCTTGGTAAGTACTCCAGGCATCCAATCTCACTTCCTGAATAAAGGCCTCAAACCAGGTGTATAAACTGCTACCTGATGAGTGTAACCATTCAAAATGGGCTTCCAAGTGGTTGGGGTAAAGGGTGGGAGCGTAGAAGAAACGGAGAGTGGCACCAGGCTGACCCCAGGTATGAAGTCATACAGTTGCCAAACAGTCTGACTACTTAAATTTAGAAGGGGAATATCCGGGCACTCTTGCCACCATAACAGTATGCTGTAGTAGTTATGGTGCATGGAATGTCACTTTTTAAAACTGATGGTCTCTGACTGGTCAGCATTAGAAGAACATGTAGGCTACAATATGTATTTAACCACGGCCTTTATTAGAATTCCAAATGCTTACTGGATTTTTATTTTTAAAGCCTACTCTGCTTATTTTCTCATTTTCCAACTGCTGCGTTCTGATACATGGCTACTGTCCTCTGCAGGTTTGTGTTTATCATGGGAACCTCAATTTACCTGTCTTTGAACTCCATGCTGCGTAAAGGCAACACCCGGTGGAAACTGTTTGGGAAAGTCGTATGGAGGAGTATTCAGCTCTTCCTCATTGGGTTATTTGTCATAAATGAAAACTACTGCCATGGTCCTTGTAAGCAACTTTATGTGTGGTGTGGGGGGTGTGTGTGTTTTTTTTTGTTTTTGTTTTTTTTAATTATACTTAAACCACAAATCTGTGGATTACTGAAGTAGATTGTAATGAGCATTTTGCATACAGTGGACTTTTTTTAAAACAGTCCTGGTTTAAAAATAGAGGCCCTATTTACTGGAAGAATCTTTGATTTGTAAGTATGAGCAGATCATCTGACATTGAATGTAAACAAACGTTAAATGTATTCTATTTCCAATGTATAATCTACTATCTCGAACAACAGATGGATGTTTGTAGAGCTAGGCAAATTGATTCATTGTTTATTTCCTGACTGTAAAAGGCTGGTAGAGCCTTGCTGGTTGAGATACTAGCTTGAAAAGAAATGAGTGTCGTCTGTGACTGTCTGCATGAAGAATTCAAAGGTTGAGGAAGGTGTCATAAAATAAGAAATGTTGGTTCTGTTTGTTCACGGCAAAAGCCCATTAGAAACCGAGGGATCCAGGAGACGGAAAATTCCTCAATATCTGAAAATCCAATTCCCTTCAAACTTTTAAAATATTGTATTCATTTTTAAGTGTCCTGGAGTGACTTGCGCATAATGGGCGTCTTGCAGCGTCTCAGCGTGACGTACCTGGTGGTTTCTGTCCTGGAATTACTCTTTGCTAAGCCGACACCTGACGCTCTTCCTCAGGTTTGACTTTTCAACTTCAGAAGAACTTATTTACCCTTTTCCATATCTACTGTGTTCATGTGAAATGGATGTGTAGACTAATAATTAAATGCTTCCTGACCAGGTATTCTGGCAATATGAGACGTTCTCTCTCTCCATAATCAGTATTCCACAAAAGTTAATCTAACTTGACTTATCCAACAAGCTTGGAAACAAGATCTTGTTTATATCGTTTCTCTTTAGAACTGTTTCCCGTTGCAAGACTTGGTTCTGTTCTGGCCTCAGTGGGTTATAATTCTTACCCTAGAAGCAGCCTGGCTGTGTTTGACCTACTTGCTACCTGTCCCTGGTTGCCCAGCGTAAGTAATTGTTTTATGGAATGGTTCCCTTGCAATGGCAGCTAAAGTATGGCCATAAATTCTTTAGATTCCGTGATCCCTACAGTAAAAAAAATAAAAAATAGAGCAGTAATGGTTTATTGCAAATAATCCTGAATTTAGACATCTAGAGCTCTTGCACTGGGGAAGCTTGAGGACTAGAGGGTTTAAATTATATGCTCTGCTATTTTTTTTTTTTTTTTTGTATAATCTCTGGGGACCATTTGGGTTTCTAGATATTCAAAATAATCAAACCTTTAAAATACTAAGAGAATTATAAAGCATCATTTGATTCTACATGCAGCATGGAGTCCATCAATTCTCTACCACTTTTAAGTGTCCCTTAAATATGTCTACAATAGAACGTGAAATTCCATATGAATAATTGTACAATTTATACATTTTCCGGATGTTCATGTAAAAATTTTTTTTTTTGTAGAGGTTATCTTGGTCCAGGTGGAATTGGAGATTTTGGCAAGTTTCCAAACTGCACAGGGGGAGCGGCTGGTTATATTGACCGTATGGTCCTTGGCAAGGGACACATCTATCAACATCCATCTTCCAATGTGAGTACCATATAGGGTTCATGCCATGTGGCTTAAATGGGATTAAGGGGATGTGGAACTCCTTAAATTGGGGGGAATAAATATATATAAAGCTGCTGCAGCAATTTCTTAATTTTTAAAATGTCATCAATACTTTGTAGTTTCCACTCTAAACAGACATACTCTCTCTAAACTATATAATTTTTTAAGGTGATATATAAAACAACCATGCCGTATGATCCTGAAGGAATCCTGGGAACCATTAATTCTGTGGTCATCGCTTTTTTGGGCCTACAGGTAAGTCCCACCTTCCCCCTGCAAACCCAGTACATTAAAATCCTAAGAAAGAAGTTACTTGCGCACTATTCCAAATCCCTATGCACATTAAGAAACAAAACAAAAAAAAAACCTGGAGTTTTTTTCTTTGGCATCACTCAATGGCCATTCAAGTGTAAAATCACCTGTCATGTCAAGGCAAAACCGCTTGGATGAGTCCTACATTAATAATTCACCTTGATGCAAAATCTGAGAGAGAGGGGTATCTTTCTAAACATCTACACACTAATTATCCCTTAATAGGGAAGACATGGGGTGGATGGCAGAACTGTAACACAGGGAACCATGTGTACCCTATTATGGGGTAGATAAGTGTCTAGAGGTTTAGAAAAATACTCCTCTGACTGTGTGTTGTGGGGGGTTTTGTTTTTTTTGTTGTTTTTTTTTAGCTAAAAGCAGCAACATGCATTGTTAGTGTAGGACTTGCCTAAGAAGTTTTGCCTTGACGTGGCAGGTGAGATTACACTTTAATGGCATTTGGAGTGATACTGGAAAAACCTCCAGGTAGTTAAATGCGCAGTCTCAAATCCCTATGCACAAGTAACCTTTTCATTTTCTTTTGTATGTATTGGGGCTGATGTGTACTATAGTGATTGCTGCTGCCTAGAGTAGTGGGTGTTTGAGCTCACGGCTTAATTGTGTATGTTAAACAATGTACGTTGCATTTGAACTATTCGTTGCAAGTGGGGCAAATTAATACCCATGGCCATGGTGCCATTTGACACTGGCAAACGCCCTGATGCCTGGGCATTGTCAATGTCCAAAGATGGGCTAGCCGTGGCTTCCTTTCCCAGCTGTACAGATGGTTACATGGCTTGAAGCACAGGTGTGGGGGTTTGTGTTTGATCAGGACGCTACATTATGACCTTTATAAAGCATAATGCCATTTAATTATATCACTTGGATTGTGAACTAGCTTACGAGATTATTTTATTGTGCCTTTCTTTTCAAAATATCCAAGAGATGCCTTTTTTATTGGGTAATAAACTGTAGCTATAAATTTTAATCCTTATTGGCTTTTATTTTATTTTTTATTTTTTTTGTAATAGGCAGTGATTTTGTTAGAAGCTGTGTCACCCCAAAATTGCCTTTCTCAAATAGTTGACTTTCCTCCTTCCTTTTGATGAATCTGCTTACTAATTTTTTTTTAATTAAAATCTTCTTTCCCTTTTCTATTTTCTCTTTGACGCTACAGCCCTAGCGTCTCTAGCACTGAAGGTGTACCAGTTCAGGCACGCTATAGTCCGTTGGCTTCTTTTACCTAACCTGCTCCACTAAATACCAGGACTTCGCTTTGGTAGTGTATCCACTGTCAATGCAGGATATACTGCACTGGTATCGGTTACTATAGGATTATCTGACAATACTCTTATTGGTAACTACTCTATAGAGGACAGTGAATAGCAATATCTCATAGAAGAGACACACCAGCTTCTTCATGGCAACTCAAAAAACTGTTTATTTTAGAAATATCCTCAATAGATATATAGATCACAGCATACAGTAAAACCTATTGTACATATATTTAAATCAGTGGGAATACAGAACACTAAGGAAAGAATTGGTTACAAAGTGATTCATTACACTAGCTTCAGCCTTTTCTCCCCTGTGCAAGTCCACCCTAAAAACAAAAGGGTATCTTCATTGACCAGGCAGCGATCTAGACCCACTGTCCCTTCAGAGCAATCTCTGACACACACAGATGCTGTAGTAGGTAACATGCAATTAAAAGTAAAGGCTTGCCTGTTCAAACATCAGGTGGTCACTTACAGATCCTAATTGAACGCTAACCTACAATATACATTGCAAACCGTATCTCGTAGCATCCATTCTCTTAGCCTGACAAAATACCACGAGGTGGCATCAAAATGGCACGGTGAATCTTGAGGAAACTCCACTGATTTGTCACGTAGAATAGTAAAACTTTGGTCTGGTGCCTCACGGGGTTCCCCAGATGGCTATTTGTTTAGGTAACCTTGCCCCCATTATAGGTGAGCGTTTGGGAATGTCCGGTGTAATCTGTGGGTTTGTGCAAACCGTTATTTGAACTACCTGAATAGCAAGGTTTCGTTGATCTGCCTATTGGGGTTTATGCAATTAGATGATGTGTTTATTGTCCGGGTTTCTTACCCATCTCCTTATAAATGCTTTCTATCATGAGTTACTGTATGATTCTTCAAATGATCTGCAATGTATTGGATTGAGAGTGTTGCAATAAAATGAATGTAATGTGGATAGTAGCTAGTTCTGAGTATACATTTAACTATGGTGGTGGTAGTTACATTGGAAACTGTGTCCTGTTTGATTTTGTCTGGGGATTCCAGTAGCGGAATGTTTAGGCTCTGCTTGCTGGCTGCAGTAGTTGGAAGCAGGTCAGGCAGAGCAGTCAATTCATGCCTGTAAGGAGGAGACACCGGTATAAGGGCCTGCGCACAAAGACCTGCTGAGGGAGATGCAGCATGACCCTGGTCTCTGTGAGAAATCCTCTCTGTGGTGGCATATCAACATTCCCGATGGCATTCTGTCAGTTCTCATGCTTGCTACCAATCTGCTGTCTCCTCCACTGTAATCCCTACTTTTCCTCACATATAGTGGCAGTACTGTAACAGTAGGTTGTATCTTCTTCAGTGGACAAGAAGTTTCCTCCCACCCCCCAAATTTAAGTAAAATAATTACAGTGGTGGGGGTAGGGGGAGTGGAGAGGGTGCCATCTACAGTCATTTTAGTTGAGCTGAATTTGCCGGTAGATGGTGGCCAACTGTCATTCAGTTTCAGATATCCGCCATGTGGTTACATCTTGCAGGCTAAGATCCAGATTACACTAAAGGCAATTCAAAGACCTTGATCCATATTGTGAACCACAGTTTAATGAAGAACACCATGTGGGTCACCCTAACACTGACCTATTATTCTCTTATTAAAAATAACTGCCTGTATCCATCCTGGTATAACATGTTTTCTGTCTGTATATCACTGCCTCCAGCCTTTTCTAACTGACCTTCTCTCTGTTGCAGGCTGGAAAAATACTTGTGTTTTACAGAAATCAGCACAAGCAGGTGGTAGGGCGGTTCTTTGCATGGAGCATCCTCCTGGTGAGTAGTGTGTGTGGTGTTTTCTTTAATCCTCTCCAACACACCACCTTCCCCATATAAGTAACTCAAAATCAGCTATTCTATAAAAAAAACATTACAACATGCACAGTACAAGATTAACATTTGTTTTGTTTGCACCTGCGCACAATAAAACAATACATGGCCATTACTTTTTTTTTTTTGCTTCTATATTTTAACGTAAATGCTGGGCCGGTAGTATGATCTATCCACGTGTACCAGGGTTATTTTAATACCAAACAGCACAGTGATGTTAATATGGTCTACGTGGTCAACATGGGAGATTTAGAAACGGTCTTAATCATTAGTCTTTAAAATCCACATTGTTAGTCAACTTTTCATAGGAGATATTGATGCAATCTTTAAGTTTGGATTCAAATATTGTTGAATGGGTAAGGCAGTGGCTGAGTGACAGGCAACAGAGGGTTGTAGTTAATGGAATATATTCGAAGCTTGGACTTGTCACCAGTGGGGTACCTCAGGGATCTGTACTTGGACCCATTCTCTTTAATATTTTTATTAGTGATATTGCAGAAGGTCTTGATGGTAAGGTATGTCTTTTTGCTGATGATACTAAGATATGTAACAGGGTTGATGTTCCAGGAGGGATAAGCCAAATGGCAAATGATTTAGGTAAACTAGAAAAATGGTCAGAATTGTGGCAACTGACATTTAATGTGGATAAGTGCAAGATAATGCATCTTGGACGTAAAAACCCAAGGGCAGAGTACAGAATATTTGATAGAGTTCTAACCTCAACATATGAGGAAAGGGATTTAGGGGTGATTATTTCTGATGACTTAAAGGTAGGCAGACAATGTAATAGAGCAGCAGGAAATGCTAGCAGAATGCTTGGTTGTATAGGGAGAGGTATTAGCAGTAGAAAGAGGGAAGTGCTCATGCCATTGTACAGAACACTGGTGAGACCTCACTTGGAGTATTGTACACAGTACTGGAGACCGTATCTTCAGAAGGATATTGATACCTTAGAGAGGGTTCAGAGAAGGGCTACTAAACTGGTTCATGGATTGCGGGATAAAACTTACCAGGAAAGGTTAAAGGATCTTAACATGTATAGCTTGGAGGAAAGACGAGACAGGGGGGATATGATAGAAACATTTAAATATATAAAGGGAATCAACACAGTAAAGGAGGAGACTATATTTAAAAGAAGGAAAACTACCACAACAAGAGGACATAGTCTTAAATTAGAGGGACAAAGGTTTAAAAATAATATCAGGAAGTATTACTTTACTGAGAGGGTAGTGGATGCATGGAATAGCCTTCCAGCTGAAGTGGTAGAGGTTAACACAGTAAAGGAGTTTAAGCATGCGTGGGATAGGCATAAGGCTATCCTAACTATAAGATAAGACTAGGGACTAATGAAAGTATTTAGAAAATTGGGCAGACTAGATGAGCCGAATGGTTCTTATCTGCCGTCACATTCTATGTTTCTCCCACCTTCACCACATGGCTGTGGTCCATACTTTTTAAAGAAACACTCAGAGTACCACAGCCACTGTAGCGATGTAGTGGCTATGGTGCTAGGAATGTCCAGGGTGTAATTACCCGGGTGCTCTCAGACCGTACGCAGAGCTGTGACCCAGATAAATTGTCAAACTGTCATAAAGCGGTAGAACTACTCTCTCTGAGACGGTGCCAGGGCACATGTGGCACCATAACTACTACAGCGCTCTGTAGTGGTTATGGTGCTTTTGTTCCTTTTTGCTCTATTCTTTCCATTTTCAAAAGCCTGAGAAGGGGTATTAAAATGTTTAAATACAAAGCCAATTTAATTTTTTTTTATTTTTATTTTTTTTGTAGGGGGTTGTTTCGGCAGTCTTAACAAAATGTTCAAAAAACGAAGGTTTTATTCCAGTCAATAAAAACCTGTGGTAAGTTCATCCCACTGTCACTGGAGCCTGTATGAACCAGCAAATGATGCTCACTGTTCCATATTAAAATAAGTTATGATTGCCTTTAGTCATGTGGCCGTGTTTAAATTTTTTATTTTTATTTTTGGTGGGGGAGCCCAGTCAGAAATGGCTGATATGAACAACATATTCATCAAACAAGAAATGTAACTGATAACTCTCACTTTATGGGCACAATTGTATATCAGTTTGTGTGAAGTGTGTCCTTCCGTTTTACAAAAAGTATAGATTGCATTAGAAACTGGCCCTCTTATAAATGAACCTTTTTGCACCCCCTGGCTGTCCTAAAGCTGGTCCTAGGATTTCATTAGCTTAGTGGAGCTTGCCCAGAGCACCTGCCTAGCAAAGACTTTTCATTGAGCTGCATTGAGAGATCTGTGATTGGACAGCCACAAAGTCTGGGCAGTGTTAGAAGGGGAGGGCTTGCAAAGGCAACAGACAAGAGCTCTGCAGGTTTGCGCTATACCTTGATAAAAAGATGCATACACTTTTTTTTTTTTTTTTTTTCATTGGGTTATATCTACTAATGTAAACTGGGTTGGGCATGAAGCAGCCAAAAACTAATCACCGCTCAAACATCAGAAATAAGTACAATTCTAGATATTAATGTTTGGGAACAGCAATCTGGGTGAGATTTTATTTTTAATTCTATTTTTCTCCTTCAGGTCTGTTTCCTATGTAACAACTCTGAGCAGTTTTGCCTTCTTTCTGTTGCTGCTCATATATTTCCTTGTGGATGTAAAGAAGCTTTGGTCAGGAGCCCCATTTTATTATCCTGGTAAGAATACTGCCCTCTGCTTAGCTGCTCGGGTCTAGACCAACAAGCCAGCTTTTACAAGAAGTCACCACAGGGGGCACTAGTGGTGTCTGGTATCCCTTTCAACCAGATCTCCTCTAAAATACCATAATATTTTTTTAATTTCACTTGTTTTATGGAACCAGTCTTAAGAACTTATAATGCTCTAAAATTATTTCCATCCAACATTTTATGCTAAAATAAAAAGCAGTGTTAAAAGGGCCGTATTTGAAGGTTCTCTTTTGTCGCTTCATTGAAAAGATTAGCAAAGCTCCTTCTAGAAGGTTCGGAAACGAGGGCATCTTTAGCAATGGAAGTTTAGTTGATGTCATGGTCTTCAAACAGGACAGTTACACAACATCTTTTACCTTTTTATGTGTACCTCTATGTTGCCATAACTTAATTGGCCTTCTTTACTGTACAAGGTTTTAAAAATAGGAAATTAAATTAAATGGAACCAGAGTACTCAAGACTTTCAACATAAATAAAATCACTCTGTCAGGGAACAAAATAATGCAAACATAAGACACATGCACAGCAGTCAACGTAATCTTTCAATCCATTGCTTTTTGTGAAGAGGTAGTGGATACAAACCCAGTGTCTGCATATTTTGCTGACTTTGATTCAATAACAGGGTCTAGTTTTACATACATTTTAGTCTACAGCCCCTAGTAGTTCAGCCCACCATAGGGGATTGTTATTTAGTCTCCCTTTTTAAGCATAATTCTATATTTTTATTTTTTCATTCAGGAATGAACTCTATTCTAGTCTATGTGGGTCACGAAGTTTTTGAAGATTACTTTCCGTTTAAGTGGAAAATGCAGGACATTTATTCTCACGGAGAACATCTGGCCCAAAATCTGCTGGCTACTTCTATCTGGGTGCTTATAGCCTACATCCTCTACAGAAAAAAGATATTTTGGAAGATATGACATCGTCTCAGTGTCAAAAAGGAAGTAACCACTGGAAGTGCCATTCCCTGCTGGGAGTTTATTGATTTTTTTTTTTTTAAATGGGTTATAGTGAGACCGAGGATACAATTATTTTGTTTTTCTTTCAGCCCATATGTAGCTCATTGACTCAGTATTTTAAACGTAAAGGGACTTTTTTTTAATATACTTTTTTAATTTTCTTTATATAGATATGTGCTATGATTGTTCTAATGTTTAAACTTTTATGAATACGTACGAATAATGCGAACACTAAAGTTGCAATATATTACTATCCCCATATATACCATGGTGTTTTCTTTCAAAAAAAAAAAAAATGTAAATGTGCATTTTATTAGTTCTGTATGCAGAATACAACTATGCATTAGATATTGTATATCATTTTTAATATTTTTTCAAATTGCCTGTTGATGTACTATATCTTAAAAGTTATTCCAAAAAAAGTCGTCATTACAATGTTTGCACTCGCGTCTCACCAATTCGCTTAACCTATATATCACATTTTATATACGTTCTTACAGAAAGCACTGATCCTAAATATGTCCTCTCCCACCAGTTGTTTATCATGACCTATGTTATGATTTAAATACTAACATGTTATCATTTTGATAGGTTTCAACAAAGTAAAACTTCACCAATGCAGGAAGATGACGAAGACTAACAAAGTTTAGAGGGTGTAACTTTAAGTTTTTTAGTAAAGGTCAAATGTTAACTAAAATAGGTGCCAATTCGAAACTGGAACGCTTTATATTTGACCAAAATTTTATATTTGATCAAATTAGTAATTGTGCAACTGAACGACTTTTTTTCAGTTTTATCTGTATTTTGTTTAATAAACCCTTTAAACTCCAATATGAATTATTTGTATATTTTTATTTTTTTTACATTAAAATGTTTGTTTTACAGCACTCTGCATCTCAACCCTGACTCTCAATCTAAAATAAATCTTTCTGGTTATTTTACCTATGTATTTAATGTTCCCACTTTATAAGCCCACATCTCTCATTCCCTTTATTTCTTAAATAACACACTGACCATTAAACTGTTAATGGCTCCTGACTCTTTCCTCTTCTGCAACTGTCACTAGTCTAATACTATCCTATATCTTTTTTTTTTTTTTGTCTTTTTTACCCCACTCCCTCTAGCAGGTAAGCTCATTCAGCAGGGCCCTCAACCCCTCTGTTCCTGTGTGTCCAACTTGTCTGGTTACAACTACATGTCTGTTCGTCCACACATTGTAAAGCGCTGTGGAATTTGATGGCACTATATAAATATCATAATAACTAATGTCCTTCTGAAGCACTGAAAAGGTTTATGGAACTTGTATTTCAGCTAAAGCCCTGTTCTGATCACATTAAGCTATATGCAAGGAGTTCTGTATTCTGCTAGCCATCCCCCTACAGTGTGTCAAACAGGTTTACCAACATATAGGATAATGCACATGCACTTGTAAATCTGTCAAACTGTCTTTCCAACACTAGCAATATATCAAGCTGCTAGTACTTTATTTTTTTTTATTTTTTTTAAACTGCTGCAGTATGTGTTAAGAACATCCAACATTTCACACTTTATAGACCTGAATGAGCAGCTTCTGATTGGCGAAGCTACTTCCTGGCGAGGGCAAATAGGAAGACTGTATTTGCAAAACCTGCACAGATGGGGGAGAGGGAATTTAATAAATAAGGGGGAGGAGAAGGGAATTAACCGTATACGCTCCTGCATCTTCCTTGGGTAAGGGTGGTACAAACGGAGGACTTCCTGAAAGCCTGTTTAACTACATCTTCCTGATTGTCAGTTCATCTCTCAAACACTAGAATTCTTCTAACTTCCAGCCAGTAAGCTCCCACACTTTTAAATAAAAATAAAATAAAAAAAATCCTGATCTCAGTCCAGTTCAATGTGTGAGATCTGACCAAGACATCCTACAACTGTTCTTAGACTTATTCTCAGATGCATTCTCTGGGAGACTATATTTACTTTAAGACCCCTTGATTTCCTTTGTCCTTGCTTAGATGTTCTTTGAAACGGCTAGCTGTTTAAACCTCAACATGTTTAAGATGTTGCCTTCTGTATCACGATTCCCTGTTCTGTTGGCTTTTCCCATTTTAGTTAATTGGTCCCTTATTCTGTAGCCTCTATGGCCTGTTACTACACTGAATACCAAAATTAGAGAAATATAGGCAAGTTAGGATTCAGAGCAAAAAAAGCCGCCTTTTACTGAAGGAGATTACATCATTTTGTTTGAGCCACTGAAGATAATCTGTACCTACCTGATCAGCTTATATGAATTGTTTTAGAAAGTATATAAATTCAAACCGCTTAAGTTTGCCCTTTGTTTAATCCCACTCAAGTCTCATACAATCTTTTAACCTACTTGTGCCTTAACAGAGAAAATAAAATTCCAGTTGTGCACCAGGCTCATCTGCCAGACAAAACCAATTCAGATCTAAAATATCAGGAAGTTCTAGCACTCCTGATCTTATTCCGTGAAACCTGCATAAAGTGCCATGATAGATTGTAAATTAATTTAGGGACTTTACCTTTTTATTTTCTAGCATTGCACACTTCTCTTTGTGGAAGCAAGGATTTCTAGCACAGAGGTGCTGAGGGTATACGTATGCAAGATAGTGGGTTTCTACAATAGCAAGCTCACTGAACATCAATTGTTTTCCTATCCTTAGAAAAAGCCTTGGCTAAGGTTGCTAACTGACAATTACAGCACTCCGCAGTCTTTATTACTAGAGGTTAAAATGTCTATTGAACTTTTCGGATCAGTGTGCTTTTTAAAGTTGCATCTGCACAATATACAGCTTCCCAAATTTATTCCACCTTATATTGATTACACCTTTTATTAGACCCTGTCAGTGCAGTGCAGTTGATACTCATCTGGGCAGTGAGTCAAGCCTAGCTTGAAACGAACTGAGGACAAACTGAAAGGCAAGCTATTTGAGTTGTCCATTCTCTGATTTCTAAGTGTCTTGAGTACTGGGGATGTAATCTCTCCTTGTACGGTTTAGGGACCTGACCTTTCTGGCGTTTTGCTTTCTGTAGGTTTTTTTTGTTTTGTTTTTTTTAAGAACTTTATTTTTTTTTGCCTATATATCATGCAGGGCCAGACTGGGGATACAGAGCAGCTTTGAAGAGAGGAAAAAAAAAAAACCTATGCCAGCCCCATAAGTTAATGCACCATATATTGTCACATGTAATATGTAAGACTATATATTATATATTTTAAATGTTTTACTCTGAAAGGACCAATATTTTATTTCTTTTTCTTACAACATATTGGTCCTTTCAAAGAAACATTTAATTATACAGTAAGCATACACGCAGACACAGACAACACAAGCTCATTGACATAAAAACACAAGCTCACAGATGCTCACTAACAATCTCACAGACACGCTCACTACAGACAAGCTCTCACACTAGCAGGTGCACACACACTCAGTGGTGTATCCTGGTTTTGTGCAACCCTAGGCAGGACAAAACTCAGGCACACCCCCTGCCGGTCAGGCGGCGCTGGCGAGGGAGCACGTTCCCCTGAGCGCTCTGCTCAGCTCCCTCACGCGCCGCAGAGTGATGTCGCCCAAAGCAAAATCCGGCAAATACGTCCCTGCACACACTCACTATCATGGCTGATGCTTACCTTGCACTGGTAGGCAAGTTACAATTTTGTGGCCTCGTCCAGCGAGGTCACCAAGACGTGAGAGCAGGGCTTGTATGCGGGAGGCGGAGCTTACTACCGAAATAGCTGTAAATTGTGCTGGTAGACTGACAAGTCTCCCTCCGGCCGTGGGCAGTCTAATTGCATCCACACCAGCCCCCAGCTCCTCCCTCTTTACTCCACGCAGACTGACACAGTGTCTTTGGGACACTTCTCAACCAAGGTAATCCTACTGAAGCTGACATGCTGTCTTCACTATCAGCACATCAGTGTGCAAGAAAATTAAAGCAGGAGGATCAGCACTGTGACTGTCAGCAGAACTTCCTTTGGAAGAGAAGCCAAACTTTAAAGTGCAATGTATAGATGAAGATGAATGCTCTATAATCCAAACCAAAAATTTGTGTACCATGACAGATGCCCTTTAAACTCTAGTTGCTACTGTATATTAAAGGGTCATTATAGTCCCTGAAACAACTTTACCTTAATGAAGCAGTTTTGGTGTATATATCATGCCCCTGCAGCTTACTTTATAGCAAATTCAATTTACAATTTCCTATCTCCTGCTCTGTTAATAGCTTGTTAAACCCTGCAGGAGCCACCTGTGTGTATTTTAAGTTCAAGTTACAGAGCAGGTGATTAAAAACTTCTAAAGTAAGTTACATCTTAATTAAAGTGAAACCATTTTGTTTTGCATCAGTCACAGCCAGGGAAGATGTGGCTAGGGCTGCATAAACAGAAACAAAAGTGATTTAATTCCTAAATGACAGAGAATTGAGAAGTAAAACTTCATAGGCATGATCTATACAAAAATGGCTTCATTAAGTTAAAGTTGTATTGGTGACTATAGTATCATTGTAAGTCCTTTAAAGAGTTATTTTCACTGTCCTATTTTTAAAATCATCTTTTTTATACATTATCCTTCTACCTTTCGTCCATACAGGCTTAAAGCAGACAGACAGCTAAGCAGACTAAAAATAAGCAAACACGTATTGCTAACAAGACTAATCAAATCCATAGTCATTTAGGCAGATTTTTTTCTTTAATACATTTTCGATTTTTCAGGGCACAGGAAAATGATACATTATGACACTTCATTGGCAAACAAGGTGACACCAACATAATATACCAGCCTTTCTTGCTCCTCATCTGTGCAACTTTGTTAATACAGCAAGTAGAATCTTTATGACTTACGAAGACACGATTAGTTACGGTTTATATGCAAAGCGGAATATTTACAGACACATATGATGGCATATAAGCAGAAATATTTGCTATTTACAGCAGCTTTACACGGGTTAGGTAGAAAAACCTAATTAATCTTAAACAGATCAGTTACATTAAAATAAGCTGGTCAAAGCGTTCTGTTATGGCATATGTAGAATCTATTTACAGGCCTGTGGAACATGGTAAATACATACCTTAAACAGTAACAGAACCAATCAATAACAAACAGTATTGAAATTCAACAGTTAAAACAAGGAACATTCTCCTTCTTGAGATTAAGTGAGGCACTGTAATAGTAAAATCTTTTCATTTAGACAAAAGCGATGCAGTACAACCATCAGATTTTCAGCACAGCGAGACACTTGCCGCTCCATGGCAAGTCTGAAATCTTCCTTTACCCCCTTTGTAATGCCTCGCGTTACAGTGTGATGTCTGGAACACAAAGAATAATGTGTCAATATATGTTAGTGACGTTCAGAACACACGACCAGTTCATAGTTTGTACAGGTGAATCTGTGCTTAGAACACACAATATTTAGTTTATATTCCGACTACATTTAACATTACCTTAAAATGTGTGGTCTATCCTATCATTTGGTTTTAAACTCTGCAAATAATACAGTATAATTGTATATATACTGTACTTTAAAAAAAGGAAAACTCTGGGCCCCATAACTTCATCGGACTGAAGCGGTTATGATGCCATGAGGGCCCTGGAGCCGGCTTGCCATTAGGGGTTAAACTGTAAAAACAAACAATTTAATGCCCATCTCCTTCCTCTTTTTGAATCAGGCCTCATACAAGTGCATCAACGATTGGCTAACGGTAGCTCCTTATTCACAAAATGACTTGAGAAAACTATGTAGTTTCCCAAGCCCTTTTTTTATTTTCTTCTAAAGTGTCTAGCGGAATTTTTACTTTGAACACTTGTACTCTTCCCCTGTTCAATCAATCCCCCCAATTATGCATAACACAGAAGGTTCTAGTGGTAAATATCTGCTCTAAGTAGGCCTTAATTATGTTGGCTGAATGTTCTTTGATAAACAGCTTGGGCAGATATCTACACTGTTGGATGAAAACATTGCCAACTCAAAAGGTTGCAGAAAAATTGTGTTTCGCTGACCAACTTTTCTGGCATTCCAGACCGTTTGTCAACCACACATTTCAGTTAACACCAAGCTTTATGATCTTTCAACTCTCATGTTTTATTAGTTGCAACTTGTCCTAGTCAAGCCATTTTCTTGAAGTCATTGCGTTTGCATTTTCTTTGGTTCCCCAAAACTCTAGTTTTAACACTCCTCTAGCATGAGTATAGCAGTGGAGTGGTCCTTTAAACCTGTGACAATACTGTACGATATTTCCTGCAATGAACCATTATACTACTAAATGGAATTAAACATTCCTACTTCACATGCAGCTGTTACAAAAAGACAACTTATGTTGTTGAGAGCTAAGAAGTGGGTATATTTGGGATGACTCAAATGGCAATTAAAAGGTCTACTGCTCCATGCAGTGTGCGATGTATGACAAGACGTTCATAGTTTCATGTGATGTGAAAAGGTTGCCAACTGAGTACAAACACCAGTCACTGATGAGTCAGAAAATGTGCAATGTCAAACAGTACAGTCAAATGATGCTTGAATAATAAAATAAAGATATGAGTAAAAATATTGGACACCAAACAGTAAAAAACTATGGGCTGTGAAAAAAAGTTTAAAAAAAAAGTTGACCACAGAGCACATTATGAGCAGGCTGTGCAGACTTGGTACCTGTCAGCGGCTGCTATGCTGGGTTGTAGGACAGGTATGAATTCCTGCTGCAGCAACCCCAGGGTACTGCTAGACGCCCTTTAAAAACAGCAAACACCAATGTTCAAAAACACCCAAAAACAGCTTTACCCTCGCTTACAAAAAAACCCACATTTATTTATTTTTTAATTATCCTTTTGGGCCATGAGGGAACTCACAGAAAGAACTGCTTGAATCCATGCACCAAAGCCACTTCATCTTAAATAAGAAGTGGTTTTGATGCATATAGCCATTATACGTGTTCAGATACAGACTATATTATTATTATTTTCTTATTTATATAGCGCCATATATGCTGTAAACATGCCTCTAGTGGCTGTCAGGCTAACAGCCACAAGAGGGACTTCATCACTGAAGACTTTACATTATTGAAAGTATTTACATTCAATGGCACAGAGTATGATTCCACCAAACGCTGTGAATGCTGCTCAGAAAAGCAATGGATGCAGTGCTTCGCTATGAGAAGCATTCAATGCCTAATGCTTCTCAAAAAAGCACTGGATTGAACCAGTGGTCATGCAGCTGGGTGATATTTAAAGAGAAAGAGCAGCTACCAGCAGTAGACTGCCCAGCACATAATTAAATGGGAGTAAAACTAGACTTTTAAAAATTTTATTCTAAAAATGTTTACTCTTTATTTCAATGTCAGAGTGTTCCATTAAAGTTATAGTTGGTTTCTTTTTGCACAAACATGAGTGAGTGTTGCCCCAAAAACTATAAATAAAAGGACACTATAGTCACCAGAACAACTACAGCTTATTGCATTTATTCTGGTGAGTAGAATCATTCCCTTCAGGCTTTTTACAGTAAAAACTTTCTTTTCAGATAAAATGCAGTGTTTACATTACAGTCTAGATAAACCTCCACTGGCCACTCCCCAGATGGCTACTAGAGGTGCTTCCTGGGGCAGTGACTTCCATTCAGTTTCTCCACCCTCTGCATGAACACTGAACTTTCCTCATAGAGATGCATTGATACAATACATCTCTATGAGAAGATGCTGATTGGCCAGGGCTGTGTTTGGCTTGTGCTGATTCTGCCTCTGATCTGCCTTGACAGTCTTAGCTGATCCTATGTGAAAGCATTATGATTGGTTCAGAGAATCACTTCTGATGATGTCAGCCAAACAGGCAGCAGCTTTAAACTTGAATACAAGTAAGATTTTACTATATTTAGGGAGGCAAGACAGGGAGGCTTGATGGTGATTTTAACATTATTGGGTCAGGATTACATGTTTGTGTTCCTGACCCTATAGTGTTCCTTTAAGTGTAGAAATCCACATTGTTGTATTTACCTACTCTAAAACCAAGAAGCTCTACCTTGGACCTATGTAAATCATATAAATTCTACACTTTTCTGTCAATGAACACTGTTTGTGAAGGTTGAGAAAAAAGGAAACATTAGGGATTTTATATAAAATATGTGGCATTCGTTTTCTTGAATGTGCCAGTTTTGGGTGCATGCGGCATGTTCTTATGTAAACAACCAGTTTCCTGCTTTTTCTGCAGTATGTTAAAATAATATTTCCCCACTTTTTATGTGATGGTTTTACAGTTGGATACTTTCACTAGACAAATGTGTAATACTACCAGGAAAAAAGGCACATATGCAATTTAAAGGATTTTTTATTCATTAAAATAAATGGAAGGAAGAGTGGTTTATCCTCCCCCAAAAAAATTTGCACGCTTGCACCTTTTTATGTAAATTTAGGAACAACACATTTCTGAACAGAAAAAGAAGGGAAAAAAATTAAATGCTAAAAGAACAATGGCTTTATTTAAAAATCTTAGAGATTCTTTTCAAAATGATGTATCTCAAAAAACTCCCAGACTGTAATGGTGTATTCTGAAGATAAATAATTCAAAAAAATTTTTTTTATTTTTTTTTAAATATTAAATAATTTGGAAAGCTTATCCAACAATTTTACATCAAGGCCGTAGTTTGTTTTTTATATTGTTTTGGTCCTAGTAAAATCTTTTAGGTGGCAAGCCCACTTGATATCAATGTTCAGAAATTCTGTGATAATGTTATTTAATTACCTGTAGATATTCGTTCAAAGAAGTAAGAACCTAATTTAAACAAACAAAAAAACTAAAATGCTATGTTCTTCCATTGGCATTCATAAAATATATTAACATTTATTTTTAATTTAACTTACTTGAGTAGAACTCCTTGATTGGGGATTAACTCTAGATGAATCTTACCCCCTTCCTGTGTCCTTAGGTAGGCAAATTCTTCTAACATATCAATGTCTTTAAAGCCCGTTAAGGAAATAGATGAATATGAGTTGATAAGAACAAATATTTCTCTCTGTCAAGAACCATTAGTTCAATGAGATACAAAGGACTACATAGGTTAGTATTCACAATCTATTTGAAAAAAACATTAAAAGTGGAACACCCACCACATCATTCCTTTAGAGTGCTACAAAGGGGGATGGGGTGATAGGAAAAGATTAAATGGGTGACCTTGGCCTTCAAGAGCCACACAATAAAAACCAAAGCAGATAGTGCAAGACAAGTTCCTCTGACTTACCAATGTGAGGGGGAAAAAAAAGTGAACTACAGGGTCTCTTGGAACTTGCTTGTTGAAGCACCTTGTATGCACTGACTTGGCTTGTTGGTCCTTCAAACAGCTTCAGCACATGTTCCACTCCAGAAATGCAACATTTGACTTGATATGCAATTGTTTAGCCAATATTCAAACAAATTAGGGTATGCTGAATCTATTTCAAAGTTTGCTTTCATTTTGAAGCCTAAGCTTTACTGAAGTTATGGAGCAATAAAAGGATACTTGTAATGTAGTTGAAAAAGTTTTCATATTGGAAGTTGCCCTGCTGACAAATCTTGCCAATTGCTTTCAGGAACAGGTTTTCTCCTTTTGGCCAGTCGTGCTGAAGTAACACAATGACATGCCCTAAAGCAATGTCATCCCGAGTGTCAGCGAAGGCTCTGAGCTACCAGAAAAGAAAATTAACATATTAGTAACCACAGTTGTTTGAAACCCTATGATCTACTGCTTCCCCTGTTCCAATAATAATAAGGTGTGCGAAAAAAGAAACATAAAAGATTACTCTCAGAGTAGCCTAGTAACATAGTAATGTACCCCAAATGAAAACATTTGTGTGTTTAATTATGCATTGTTTCATTGGGTTTATCTAAAAACAGCTTGCAAAAGCTGCAGAAATCTTGCCTATAGCCTTTACAAGTTCTCCTTCTAACCTCGCCTAGACTTTCTGTGGCTGTCCAATCACAGACTTCCCAATGTAGCTAAAGGAGAAATTTCTGCAAGAGACGTGCTTTGGGCAATTGCTGCCTCTTGAGTTTAGCTCCACTGAGCTAAATAAACAAGGAAGTAACAGAACCTGTTGTCTGCTAGAAAAGCAAAGGTTATAACAATTTCTGAACTTTTTGTAAAAAAAAACCCCCCAAAAAAACCAACATGTTTACTTATAAAGCACTCCAGCAAGCTAAAGTGCATTATGTGGCTGTAATGTAATGTGAATAAGATTTTAGTGCCAGAAGATATAGTCAGTTGAGGAGTTTTAACAAATCTAAAGTTCAGACCGTAACAAGTGTTCTAAGATAAAAATGAGACAAAATTTCTAAGTATGTGTGAGGAACAGTTATAAATAAATTCTTCAGTGCTGTTCATTTTATAAAACTAGGAAGGACCTGGTTGTCTCTGCCACTATTAGAACCAACAATAGCTATCTTCGGCGATGTAAATGAGATCTTCAGGTACACTTTGATATCAAAATGTATGGATCATATGTTAACCAACCTGACGCTTACTCTGACATCTACACAGATATTCACAAAAAAAGTCACTTTTACAAAATGTACTCACCTTTAAACATGCTAACATCAGTTGAAGACAATAAGGCATAATAGATTTACTTGTACAAGGTAAAAGTTTTAGATCAGATCCTAAAACACAAAAGAAAAAACAAGCCCTATAAAACTAGAACATTTGGGGTAAGGCAAATAGAAACAATTTAGGTTTTTCCACAGGTAGGTAAGGTGGACGGAGACATAATACAAACTAAAAATATGTGCAGAAATGTCATATTTATGAGATGTCAAATATTCAGCTTCTATCGGATTAAATATATCAGAATCATTCATTGTTAAACCAGAAAAATTCAGTGGAGACTTGGAAAATCGCACAATGCTCAATCTGGCCTATTTCTGCCTGGGCAGTACGGAAGACTTATGAAAAAGAAAACTATGGTCCAAACACTCAAGGTTGAATAAGAAGAAGAAGATTTATTGGAGAAACACCGCAATGCTCAAGCTTGACAAAGGCCTCGGTTGAGGACGAAACGTTACCTTGTTTCTCCAATAAATTTGCTTCTTATTCAACCTTGAGTGCCTGGACTATCCTTTTCTTTTGCCTATTGCTTGACTGAGGATTTGCCCACCTCGGGTCCAGTTATGCACTTGGGATTAAAAAATATAAAAATAAAAGTGCAGTTTTCCAACTCTAGATTCAACTAGTCAAGGGTTGACATTAAGCCATATGTGAACTCTAGGGCAAGAGTAAGCAACGTTCAGAACTCCACGTGTTGTAAACATTATCTCCCCTGATGTTTTGCCAGCATTATAGCTGTAAAAGCATCATGGGAGATGTAGTCCATGACCTCTTGAGTGCAGTGCTGAGGGTTACCTACACCTGCATGGGCATGCATATAGCGATGAACACAAACAGTACTAACTCCTGGCACTGCACAATGATACTCAGTGAAGTCATTTCAGTGGTTTTCAATTTCAGCCCACGCACAATCAAATAAGATTACATGAGCCACAGATCAAGTTAATAATACACACTTTCAAAAGATTCAAGTAACACTAACCTTTTCTGAATTTAGGTTTTACTTTTGGCAGTTCTTCTCGGCTCTTGGAGATCTCTTGTGCTGGGGGCACTATGAAATTGATTAATTCCAGGACTTTTTCACATGTCAGCTAATGGAAGGCACAAAATAAAAAAATTACAAATTAAAAACAGAAAATGGTCAGGCATGTATGCAAGCTCAAGGTCTTACAAGATGGAGACCGTATCCAGCCGTGACGTACCCATCTGCCATTTTTCAAGTGATCTGACTATTTTGAACACATGTTCTGAACTCATGACATAAGTCTACATGTACCAGTAATATGCGGACCCTGTTCAGATAATGTTTATGGTTATTTAGTTAATAGAGTTTGTGTGAGTTTTATTTTTTTTATACATTTTGTAACGTAGTGATGCTCCAAGCCTATAGAAGGGCTTAGCATTGTGCAAGAGGTATTACTAAAGCAGCTGAGATATACCATTTGCACTGCCCTGTTTTCATGTATTGGTTGCCAATTTGAGAAGACCATAATCACATTTTGTTCACCAGAGTTGTGTCAAGTACTTATATTATACAATTGTTCACACTCGAGAGCCAGTGGTTTCCAGCCCAGTCCTCATGGAACCCCTACCAGTCCAGGATTTAGGTATTACCCAGTTGTATCCAAGGTGTTTTTAGAAAAACAAAAACACCTTGGACACAAAAGAGTAATCCCTAAATCCTGAACTGGTAGGGGTTCCTTGAGGACTGTTTTGGGAACCACTTCTCTAGACTAAGCAGTCTGCCAGAAAAATCTAATTGGACATTTTCTTTACAATGTCTAGGTGTACATACCCTATACTCTCCAAGGGAAAAGTGACAGGATGCAAGTTGAATCAGGGCTCGCTGCTGCTCCAGAGTTCCTTGCCCAATGATCTGTTGTGTAGGAGAGTGAGGGCCTTGCAGAGCTGCCATGTGGTGTAGGCTGGTAATTCCTTTCTTATGCTGTCCCTTTAAGGAGATTTGGACAATATGACAAACAGTTTAAATATGACCCATTAACCTGGTTAAATGTGGATTGGAGTTTGTGAAAAATTACAGATTTCAGGAGCATATACAATCGTTATCTGGCAACCTCACAAATTTCAAGGACCGTATTAAGGTCACTGCAAAGTCCATGGTTATCTGTTGGGGTGAATTCCTATCTAATGCAGCTGATCCATTTTCTATGTAGCTTGGGAATTTCTAAACTACTGTACTGTATGATTTCTGGGGAAAATGTAACTTGTTGCAAACAGAAATATCAAAATCGAGAGATGGAGGAAATAAAAGGACCTCATCAATTGGGGGTGTTAGTCAGATTGTAAGACTGCAATTAGCACAGCAGCCACGGGAGAGAGGTAATTAAACAACATGACTACTCTACCATGAGAGAGGTTCATTCAAGAGTAGACTATTCACTTTTGCATATTTTCTATAAGAATCCCCAGGTTTCACGTCTCATTACATTTTTATGTGTGTTCCCCTTGCATTACTCTAGTTAGCCTGTTTTATTTTGAAATAATTTGTATAAAGATGTAGCTGTATTAATTCTTTGACATGTATGTGTTACAATTGCTGGAGTTTTTCTTTCTTAAAGGACCACTATAGTGCCAGGAAAACATACTCGTGCTCTGGGGAGAGGAAGGGGTTAAAATCTTACCTTTCTCCAGCGCCGGGCGGGGAGCATTCCTCCTCCTCTCCTTCTTCCTAGCGGCGTCACCGGCTGAATGCGCATGCGCGGCAGGAGCCGCGCGCATTCAGCCAGTTCATAGTGAGAAGCACGCAAGCGCCTCTTGCGTCTGTCAATGAGAGAGCCACTAGAGGCTCTAGAGGCTGGATTAACCCTCAGTGTAAACATAGCAGTTTCTCTGAAACTGCTATGTTTATAAAAAAAAAAAAAAAAGAAGAGTTAACCCTAGCTGGACCTGGCACCCAGACCATTTCATTAAGCTGAAGTGGTCTGGGTGCCTATAGTGGTCCTTTAACACTGCAAAAATGGACATGCTACATCCTTTTAACTAAAAACATTTAAGTGATATAAAATGAATGATGTATCACTTGCCTTTATTGCTCATTATTAACAAAAACAAACTAGAAAACCTGACGTACCTGGTATATCACCATATCAGTGAGGAAAATCCTTAACCACAGCCAGGTGTCCGTCTTCCATGGTAAGCAAATCCTGGAGAATTCTAAACAGGCACCAAATAAAATTTAAAAAAAAAAAAAACAACAAAAAAACAGCTATTTCTACTAGTGCTTCACACATTTTCCTAGAATCTAGGACCATGTTCTAGTGTTTTCCTCACTACATAGTGTGTTAACAAATCTTAAATATCTCATCACCACATTGAACTCTTCCCTTACTGTGTCTTATGTTCTTGTCCCTTTTTTATTTATATTTTTCGTCTTGCTGTTTTTAATTTAAAACCTTTTCCCTCTTTTTTCTCTCTTGCGGTTTCTATTCCCCTCCTTGTGGGTGCTGTTGCTGCTGCTTCGCTAATTAGGGGGAGTGCCAATATAAACCCACTACTGACTCACAGAGCTTGCTCACTGGAGTTTGCTTGAAAGTAGGCTATCTAAAGAAGGAGTTGAAACAACAGGTGTTTTTAAACTATAAGCGAGTTTAAACCAAGAGGGTAAATATTGTTTTGCTCACTTGTGTTTTTGGTAACTGGGGATTAGTGCTAGCAAGATTGCGAGTTTAACTCAGTGCATATCATGCCGCATGTATGCATGCCTGGATGATTCTGTCCAGGGTCCATACCTCTGTGGTGGGTGTGAGCGAGTGGCTTTTCTGGAAGCTCACGATTGTAGATCTGGAGACGTCAATTGCAACACTGAGGGAGATTGACAATCTTGAGAGGAGTCGTTTAGTGGGTGCAGGTAGTGGGAGGAGTTGAGACAGTTGGTGAGCAGGCACATAGCTGGGTACCAGTGGGGCGAGGAAGCAGGAGGGGAGGGAAGAGGAATGGTTTAGCTAGTCCTGATCTTGTGCAGCCTAACAGATTTGCCCGTTTGAGTGAAGATATTGGGAGCATCAGCTCAGGAGTAGCTGTACTGCAGGAAGCTGATCCTTCTAATAGCAGTGGGAACAGCCCCTCTAGTACGGGTAGGGTTGAGAGTGTAAGGAGGGCTAGACAGGTTGTGGTGGTAGGGGACTCTATTATTAAGAGAGTAGATAGGGTAATCTGCCACTCTGAACGTCTCAACCGGACAGTTTGCTGTCTCCCAGCTGCTCGGGTCCGGCATGTTGCCGACAGAGAGAGATTATTGGGAGGGGCTGGGGATGACCCAGCTGTCATGGTCCATATTGGTACCAATGACAAAGTCAGAGGAAAATGGAAGGTCCTAAAGAATGAGTTCAGGGAACTAGAAAGTAAGCTAAAGAAAAGGACCTCCAAGGTAATATTTTCAGAAATATTACCTGTGCCGCGCTACAGCAGAAAGGCAGCGGGAGGTTAGAGAGGTCAATGCGTGGCTAAAGTCAAAGAGGGTTTGGGGTTTTTAGAGCACTGGGCCGATTTTGCGCTTGGGTACAACCTGTATAGTTGTGATGGATTGCACCTAAATGGAAGAGGGTCTGCTGTTCTGGGGGTAGGATGGTTAGAAGGTTGGAGGAGATTTTCAAATGGTAGTGGGGGGGGGGGGGTCAAAGCAATCTACAAAATGGAGGTAGGATAGAAAGGAGATGGGTGAGGGGAAAGCTTAGAACAGAGGAGGCATGTAATATTGATTTAAAAAATCAAAAACAAAAAAATCACAAAAAGTATAAATGACTGATAATATTAAAGGTATACTTACTAATGCAAGGAGCCTATATAACACAATGGGGAACTGCAATAGCATCCAGTAAACAATATGATAGAATAATAGGCATAACAGAAACATGGTGGGATGAGACACATGATTGGGCAGTTAACTTAAATGGGTACATGTTATTTAGGAAGTATAGGAACAACAAGAAGGGTGGTGGGGTATGTTTGTATGTCAACCATGAGTTAAAGTCAAATCTTAGGCATGTGGAGTGTGACGAGGAGAATGTGGAAGCTTTATGGGTAGATATCTGCTGGGGGCAAACAAAGGGAAATCAATTATTGGTTGGGGAATGTTATAAACCACCTAAACCACCTAATGTAAATATTAATGAGGAATAAGAGCTATTAGAGCAAATTGGTAAAGCTGCAAATCGGGGTAACATGTTAAATATTGGAGATTTTAATTACCGGACATAAATTGGGATAGAGTGACTAGTATTTCAGCAAGGGGAATGACACCTTCATGTCACAACTGGTACAAGCACCAACTAGAAAGGATGCTTGTCTGGATCTCGTTATAACAAACAATGCTGATCTTTTAACCAACATTCAAGTAGGGGAGCATTTGGGAAATAGTGATCACAATATGGTAGCTTTTGAAATAAGCTCAATAAAGCAAAAGCATGTGGGGTATACTGAAACGTATAATTTTTAAAAAGCCAATTTCTATAAGATTAGGGCAGCTCTACAACATATCGACTGGCATAAACTCCTTAGTGAAAAAAAACCACTGAGGATAAATGGAAACTATTCAAACAAATATTAGAAAGTTACATTTCTCAGTAAATATGAAAATAAACAAATTGAAACCCATGTGGCTTAGTAGAGAAGTAAAACAAGAGATTAAAAATAAGATAAGGACATTTAAAGAATTTAAAATCGGACAAATCAGAGGCATCCTATACAAGATATAAGGAATCCAATAATACTTGCAAAAAGGCAATTAGAGTGGCTAAACTAGAAAATTAGAAATTCTTAGTGGTGAGAGTGAACTCTAGCCTGCAAGATCTGAGCGTTCAGAATCCCTAGAGAGGACCCGGCGGAGCTGCTGGCTAGAGCTTGCCGGGTCCTCTCCTGTCTCCCTCCCTCCCCAGCTGGCGGCCGCATCTCAGTGCCTGTGGGCCGGTGAGGGAGATCTTTGATCTCCCCATCGGCCCATGGAGGCACACAGCAGGGCCGGCTGCCCGATGGCCAGTCCGGGCCTGGATGGGTCCGTTAGTTAATGAAGACCAGGAAAAGGCAGACATTTTAAATAACTATTTTCTTCAGTATACATTAATGAGGATCCTATGGCAAGAGAACACTAATTAAAAGAATAAGAAAGAAGAAAAGAGAAGAGCCTTAAATAGCCAGAACCTCCATGGGGGGTAACCCCTAATAGATAAAACAAACAGAAAAGAGAGAGAAATTGGAGATTCTGGTGAAATATTGTTTAAACGCCAGGAGGAACACTAAGCATGTTTGATATAACTTAGCAAGTGTTAAAACTTCACTTTTAATATTTAATTGTTAAAAATCCCTTAATTATAAGGGGCACTACATACACAACATCACCCCAAACAAGTACACTAAAACCACCTATAGTGATAATTTAAAAAAAAAACAAAAAAAAAAACACACCATAAATAATAAATGAATAAATAAAATAACAAAATATAACGAAAAAATTCTATCAAAATTAGTTGTGAAAAATGTGGTAAAATACCCACTATGGACTTTATTACCCCTTGTATAGAAATGCTATCATCTGATAAGTAGGTGTGCTTGTACAACCTTACTTATTAATAAACAAACATGCTTAGTGTTCCTCCTGGCGTTTAAACAATATTTCACCAGAATCTCCTATGGCAAGAGATATTCAAATGAGTGCTGCAAAAAACTTGCAGATAACTGGTGATCGGATGACTCGAGACAAGGTGCTACAGCAGTTAAAGAAAATGAATGTAAATAAAGCTCCGGACCTGACGGTATTCACCCACAAGTACTTAAGAAGCTAAGTGGGGAAATAAGTGAACCTATGTATTTAATCTTTCAAGATTCTTTTGTCTTAAGTATTGTACCGGAGGATTGTAGGAAGGTAGATGTCGTTCCTATATTTAAAAATGGTTCAAAGTTCTTGCCTGGAAATTATAGACCTGTGAGCTTAACTTCTGTGACTGGGAAAATATTTGAAGGGCTATTAAGGGATAATATTCAGGAATTAATTGGGAAGAACTTTGTTATTAGCAATAATCAGCATGGTTTTATGAAACATAGGTCATGTCAAACTAACCTAATTGCATTCTACAAAGAAGTAAGTAGAAGTATAGATCAGGGTGTTGCAGTGGATGTGATCTACTTGGATTTTGCAAAGGCATTTGATACGGTTCCTCACAATAGGTTGGTCTTCAAACTAAAATAAATTGGTCTAGATGAATATTCTTGTTCTTGGGTAGAACATTGGCTTAAGGACAGAGTACAACGAGGTGTCATTAACCCCTTTTATTCCAGAAGTTTGGTCCTTAAGGGGTAAAGGTACATTTTCAGGCTGGACAAAAGTGGTAAGTGGTGTCCCTCAGGGTTCTGTTTTGGGACCGCTTCTATTCAACATATTTATAAATAATCTTGCAATAGTCATTGAAAGCCATGTTTCAGTGTTTACAGATGACAAAAAACTTTGTAAAGTAATAAAATGTGAGCAGGTTATTGCTTTGCTGCAGAGGTGTTTAGAAAGATTGGGGGACTGGGCACTAAAATGGCAGATTAAATTTAATGTAGAGAAATGCACAGTTATGCACTTTGGGGTCAAGAATGCACAAGCAACTTACACCCTAAATGGTAGTGAATTAGGGATAACCACACACAAGAAGGATTTGGGAATTGTTATAGACAATAAATTAGGCAGCAATATGCAATGTCAATCTGCAGTTGCTAAGGTCATTAAGGTTTTATCATGTATAAATAGGGACATACATTCTCGGGATGAATCTATCATTTTGCCTCTTTATAAATTGCTGGCAAGACCACACCTTTAATATGCTGAGCAATTTTGGGCACCTGTTCTACAGAAGCATATCATGGCACTAGAAAAAGTGCAGAGACGAGTTACAAAATTGATAAAGGAATGGAGCATTTTAGTTACTAGGAAACGTAAAAAAATTTAAATCTCCTTAGTTTGGAAAAACGGCGCCTCATATAGGATATGATAACATTATACAAATATATTCAGGGCCAGTACAAACCATTATATGGAAATCTATTCATGAACAGGGCTATTCATAGGACACAAAGTCACGCATTTAGGCTGGAAGAAAGGAGATTTCATCTAAGGCAAAGAAACTTTTTTTTACAGTAAGAGCAATAAGGATATGGAATTCTCTGCCTGAAGAGGTGGTTTTATCAGAGTCCATACAGATGTTTAAACAACAATTGGATAAATTTTTGCAAAAACATAACATACAGGGATATTATTTCTAATTAGTGGGGTAATAGCTGCTTGATCCAAGGAGACATCTGACTGCTACTTTGGGGTCAAGAAGGAATTTTTTCCTAGTTTGTTGCAAAATTGGAAGCGCTTCATACTGGGTTTTTGCCTTCTTTTGGAGCAACAAAAACAAATGTGAGGAAGGCTGAACTTGATGGACGCAAGTCTCTTTTCAGCTATGTAACTATGTAAACGGATTAGGAGTGTAACATTTATGTATAGAATCAATAGATGGAAACCGGTCTGTGTTAGCTACCTGTCTGTCTAACTCAATTTTTACTCTGAGGAATAGATTAGTCTCTAGAGTCTCTCTCTGGAGAGCAATGAACTCTCACCCATTGCTTCTGTCTTCTCTTACTGAATCCCCGATAGGGAATTGTATTAGAAGCCTTCTGCTGCTCATTGCTTACAGGTGAGAAACTAACCAAATACTTCAGATCTCCTGGACTGAATTGTTCACCTGCCGTGCTGTCTGTAGGCTGTGGTGTGGAGCACTGGCCCTTCTTTCTCCAAATGCTCTATTCCAATTAAACCACATATTTTTCTTTGTGATACAAGAACCAAAACAACCTCCCTGGGGCTATTTAACCATAAATTGCACTGCGGCACCTTTAGTGAAATATAGACGCCCTCAAAAACTATTCCCTATCCTCAGTTACCTATATAAAACACATGTGTGTACATACAATATGTTGTTAGTTACTTCTTATCCCATAATGCATGGTGTGCCTCGATGAAGTGCAACAAGGGATCCATTACCCCTAGGGCAGCACCAAAATACACAATATGCAGGTTCTTGGGGCTTATTATGTCTCCAGATACCAAAAACGATTTACACATTTCACTGTTATGCACTTCCTCTCTCTATGTGTATGTGTTTATAATAGTGACATCCAGTTTAAAGGATCCAAACTAAATCACTGCAGGAAGAGTTTCTGACTTGTGGTTCGTATACTAGAGTCAATAGATTTACTGTTATAAGCATTTAATAAAATAAAAAACACACTTGATCATGTACAGTATCATACAAGAATGTTCACCCTTGTTTTGCTCCACCCATGTTTTTTTTTTAAAATCATATTTCCTGCCATCTTTTATAAGATAAAAGGGAATGCACCAAGTTATACTAATCTAAGAAAAGTGTGTTATAACACGGTAACATGGTACCGAAAACTTTACCTTTGTCAAGAGCCTCAGAGGAATGCAGCAGGTCCCAACATTCCCTAGCCATCTTAAAGAATTCTAACACTTCATTGGGATTAGAAAGGTCATTCTTCTGAACCACAACATGACGATTTCGCCCTTTGCCGCTAAGATCTTCATCATCTGAGCTCTGCCAGAAAAAAATAAATAAATAAACAAAAAGTGAGTAAATAGATAACTAACTTATGTTTACGAACTTAATGTCTGCACACAGAATGGAATGAGCAGATAAAAGTGTTTAATTATAAAATACGTCATGCCAAACCTTTTAAAATGTATACACTGGTTATAGGAAACTCACCAAACATTTCTAAGTAACATATGCTGTTTAATATCTGTCCCGTTAGTTCTCACAGAGTACATAAAAGATAACAACTTTGACACAAAACCAAGTAATTCCTTAAACAGAAATAGTTCCAAAAAGGGTGCTAAATGCACATGAAATGATCAAATGTCTGAAAAACAACGTTTCTTCCTAAATGCATAAAGCGGACAATGATGACAAGCTATTCGTTATTAATTACAAATCTTGTGTCCGTTTAGTTTGTGCCTGAAAATGCATCAAATCTCCATACAAAACAACTGGAATTAAATTCTACACAATTACCATAGTTTTCTCTCTGCTCTCAGCAAGTTTTCTTCTTTTGTGAACATGCTTGGCAGGATTAAGTTCAACGTCACTGTAGACATTGGAGAGATCATCCAAGAGAACCATAGGCACTTGGGCACTTGAAGCGTTTGGGCCTTAAATGAGTGATTAATATTAGAAAAAGACAAAAATATTTTCAGAAGATCATGAGTAGATAGACAGGAGTAACAGATGTATAATAAAAACAAATGGACAAAAACTGGTGGTACAATGTTAAGAGGGCATGACTTTATTAAGACGTATTGGTAAAAAACTTGCAATGGCTGAACTGCACAGTTATAAATAGGTTAGAAACATTCAAATAATTATTATAATTGCCAAGACTGCTACAAAGTTACAAATACTAAGTGTACAAAGAGTTACGGAGATGGATAGTCAGAGTGAAAAGCGAGTCAGAAAATATCCAGAAATATTCCATCTGTAAATGTGACCACTACTAGAAAGCAACAATCACAGGGTAAGTAAAAAAAGAAAACCCTGCACAGAGAGACATAATGAATGTGCGGCAAATGGCAAGCTTACTAAATCAGAGAAACAGGCATGTCGCTACTGATTCCGTATAAAAAAAACAGTGCAGTATAAACTAGGCAAAAAACTTGGGTTATCAAAAAGCAGTGGCATCCGATGAGTATTTAAAGAGCAATTGAAATGTAAAATGTGTTGCATTCACAAGGGGGAAGAAAAAAAAACCCATGGACATGATAAGCGAAGTCTATACCTACCTTGGAAGAGTGACGGCTGAATGCTGCTGATGTACTGGAAGACATTCTTGAAGAAAACAAGGGTTGTGGAATAGACGACCTGACTTTTGTACTTTGCATGGGCTTCATTATCAAAATTGCTGATGTACCTGCACAGTTCTTTCACACGGTGAAACAAGTCATTGAAATTCCTGGACGAATGAAATGATACATTACTATCCCAATAAAAGATGTATGTCACAGCATTCTGAAATATTCATTTTACTGGTTCTTAACGTTATTTGGCAAGGATGAGTATTAACCTCCGTTTCATCTTCAACTGCTATATCTATAGCAATTATATATGCAATATATAATTTAATTAATTCAGCAAATTCCCAACATTAGTCTCTTTCCAGTATAAAGGGCTCTACTCTGCTGTGGGGAAGGTACAGTCAATAAAATAAACAAACAATTTATTGTGTGTGATTGCCTGGGACCGTCATGGATATGGCGTGTCTGTCCCAACCTTTTGGGACTCCCTGAAAAAATATGAGAACTTAATTTTGAGTCCTGACCCATTGGTTAAAAACAAATGTTCTACATGTTGCCTTTTTCAGTCTAGGTCTAATACAATGGATGGTTGTCAATAAAAAGTGAGACTATACGATTTAATGTATCATATTTACTGTTCCTGTGGTCTCATCTCTATGAATACAATTAGTTTTATTTTAATTAAATATGCATCCAAGTCAACATCCCAGTGGAAATATAAATCTCCATTAATCTTTCCCATGTGCACATTTATAAGATGCAACAATTTACCAGGTGTGGAAAACCAGAATGATTTGGTTTCAGTGTCACCTTGGGAATGGACAGAAATTTTGTCAAGCACACTTTTAAACAGAAAGATAAGGATACAAAAGGTTTTACATATCTAATGCTGGTATATAATTAATAAAATGTACAGCAAAAAAAAAAAAAAAAAATCTATATAAAACATTCTCATTTGATTACCATCATACATGGTTTTGGAGACCAGTAAAAAAAACAGAAGCAATGTTTGGTAGAGTACTTACATAAACTCTTTTTTGTGTGTTTAAAACTGGATAAATCACTCTAAACCCTAGCAGATGTATAACCATATGATTTTATACACTTTTCACATTTTTCTAATATTTCAATGTTCATGTCCATTCTGATGGTGTTATCAGTCTACACAGACAAAAAAACAACAAATTTAAATCCCTTGGCTAAGAAGAGCATAGAAGTGTTAAAATAAAACTAAACAATATCGAATTTTGCAATTGTGATGCAACAAAGATGTTTTCTGCAAAAACCTTGCAATTTTATAAAGTAACAAAACATTCTAATTTATGCAACATATGCTTTCAAACAATTACCTTGTTCCCTTATCCATCTGCCATTCACACCTCATTCCAACTACAGACAGGATCTTAAACAGTCTTTCCCAGGGGTCTAATATCTGGGAAGATTTCTCAGTCAGGCCTTCAATTATGTATTTCTGGGAGTTACGTTTTGTAGGTGATAAAAGGTCAGATGCTTCCTGTGTGACTGGGTACAAGTAAAAACATTTAAATACCAAATAACTGAGCAATAAATGAGAAACAACAACAGGAAAGGCCAAACTGAAAGTGTTTTATTACAATAACAGAAGAAATTTACCCAAAAAACACAAACAATAACAGAAAATGCTATTTTACGTTCTACGTAAAAGGTGTAAACATGTTAAAACAAAATAAAGAAAAACGTAATATTGCAGACACACGACACCCTAGAGACAGAGAAATTGCATCTGGCACACAGAATTTGTGCCCCAGATTGGGAGTACCACCCTATATCGGTACCCTGTGTTTTACCCCAGAGCCAGGTTTAATGGCTCTTTAGAAGGCGATCTCCATATGATACTATCTCACCTATATTTGGTTAACATTGCATCATTGGGGTTTCATATGTTTGTTTTTACTTCTATGAGCATATTCATCTAACTCACGAGAAGAGGGTTTGTGTTACCCCGAAACACACAATTGCTACAGATTTGAGCAAATCTTGATTAGGCTCTACATCATATGAGTGTGCTAATTTGGAGTTCATTATACCAAACTTTGCTATATTACATCATAGTGTTACACTATATTTTTCAGTTTTTTTCCCTCTTTGATTTGAGTGCCCCATTCCTGTATACCAGGGAGAGGCAACCTTCGGCACTCCAGATATTGTGGACTACATCCCCCATAATGCTCTTAAATCCATAATACTGACAAAGCATCATGGGAGGAGTAACCCAAAACATATGGAGTGCCGAAGGTTGCCTATTCCTGCTGTATACTTCTATTTATGTAAATGGTGAGTGTCGATTTGACAACATTATATTGTTTTTAAACAAGCAGCCCAAGCCGCTCTCTGTAGTTTAGGATGATGTTACACCTTTAGCCCAAGCAACAAATGGCAGAGGGCATAGCTGAGCATTCCCAGACTATCCCTGACCCCCAAAGCTGGCATATATTACTACAGGTGATGCAATTATACTCTGCCATACCTCCAATGGAGGCAGGGTAGCGAGCACCCAGTGGACCCACATTCAGAATTAAACTGTTAAAGGATCACTATGGTCACCTAAATTACTTTAGCTAAATAAAGCAGTTTTAGTGTATAGATCATTCCCCTGCAATTTCACTGCTCAATTCACTGTCCTTTATGAGTTAGATCACTTTGTTTCTGTTTATGCAGCCCTAGCCACACCTCCCCTGGCTATGATTAACAGAGCCTGCATGAAAAAAAAAAACTGGTTTCACTTTCAAACAGATGTAATTTACCTTAAATAATTGTATCTCAATCTCTAAATTGAACTTTAATCACATACAGGAGGCTCTTGCAGGATCTATTAACATAGCAGGGAATAAGAAAATCTTAATTAAACAGAACTTGCAATAAAGAAAGCCTAAATAGGGCTCTCTTTACAGGAAGTGTTTATAGAAGGCTGTGCAAGTCACATGCAGGGAGGTGTGACTAGGGATTTAACTCCTAAATGGCAGAGGATTGAGTAGTGAGGCTGCAGGGGCATGTTCTATACACCAAAACGGCTTCATTAAGCTAAAGTTGTTCAGGTGACTATAGTGTCCCTTTAATGTTTAACAATAAACCTTGGGATAGCGGTGAACTCCAGGCACAAAAACCACTTCAATTATATGAAGAGATTATGGTGGCTACATATTAAAATAAGCTTCAATAAGAAAAAGGAGTTAAAAGAAAGTCACACAATTATGTTACTTAATGAAGCTCTGATATTGTTACCTTGATGCGGGTTATCTATCTGTGGCGAACGTGTGACATAGTTAATATAGAATTCGGCAGCTTTGTTGAGATACTTATAGAGCAGACTGGCAGGCAGCCGAACGTCCAAGTTATTAATAATCAGAGGAAGAACATCACAAACTGTTAAGCAAAATAGGGGATTAGTAAAAATAACACACTAAGCCAGGATTACAAATATACCAACAACAAACGATAGAAAAATTTAATTACTTTAATTGAAACATAGAATGTGACGGCAGATAAGAGTTCTTCGGCCCATCTAGTCTTCCCAATTTTCTTGATACTTCACTAGTCTCTTATATATAGAATAGCCTTATGCCTATCCCAGGCATGCTTAAACTCCCTCATGGTGTTAACCTCTACCACTTCAGCTGAAAGGCTATTCCAAGCGTCCACTACCCTCTCAGTAAAGTAATACTTCCTGATATTATTTTTAAACCTTTGTCCCTCTAATTTAAGACTCTGTCCTCTTGTTTTGGTAGTTTTCCTTCTTTTAAATATAGTCTCCTCCTTTACTGTGTTGATTCCCTTTATTTTTTAAATGTTTCTATCATATCCCCCCTGTCTCGTCTTTCCTCCAAGCTATACATGTTAAGACCCTTTAACCTTTCCTGGTAAGTTTTATCCCGCAATCCATGAACCAGTTTAGTAGCCTTTCTCTGAACTCTCTCGAAAGCATCAATATCCTTCTGAAGATACGGTCTCCAGTACTGTGTACAATACTCCAAGTGAGGTCTCACCAGTGTTCTGTACAATGGCATGAGCACTTCCCTCTTTCTACTGCTAATACCTCTCCCTATAGCATTCTGCTAGCATTTCCTGTTGCTCGATTACATTGTCTGCCTACCTTTAAGTCATCTGAAATAATGACTTCTAAATCCCTTTCCTCAGATGTTGAAGTTAGTAAGGTATTAAATATTCTATACTCTGCCCTTGGGGTTTTTACGCCGAAGATGCATTGTATTGCACTTACCCACATTAAAATTGAGAGAATACTGTGATTCTGGGGTACAAAATCATCAGAACTTCCATATAATATAAGTCTAGTAATTTTATAAGAATGAATAGACATTAGTGCATTAACATAAATCGAAGTGCTATGGGGAACAGGAGTATCCCTTTAATCTTTGTATCACAACATATATCCCATAGGCAAATAAAGTACTTATAGCAGGCATCCTTGCTTCTTCCAACAAGAGTGAAAATGCTTTATAATGATAACATTTACAATAAATAATTACAATTATTACTTAATCCTTTTATTCTACGTAAAGAAGGTGGTTCCTTATAAGCAAAGATTACTTCAGCTGTTGCTCTTTTAATGAATTTTGAAAACTATATGGTGTATTATTTTTACATTAGGGCTTATGGCGTTACCTAAGATTTTTTGCAATTGCTTCCATTCCTTGGTGCAAGCATCAATAAAGGCAGAACATCAGTCCTCTAAGGATGAAGAAAGAAAATGCATTCTCTATTCAACTTACCAAACAACTTTCTGAAACAGTTTACTGGCGACTCCTGATCTTCAATACTCTCAGCTTCTAGTAACGTTTCACCCAAGCTAACCTGGTATGGGATAATTAAACAGAATAAAGGTATAGTTAATTGCAATATACTACAAGCTGTAATTACTTCATCCTGAGTGTGCTCTCCTCCCCCCTATTTTTGGACCCCATAAGTTCCTTTATGACGCATTTATTATTTCTGGCCAAATACTTATTTCAAAAAGATTACTGCTACCTTACTGCAAGCTTAAGTAACTCATATATAAAAGACATCATAAACTTGCGTAAGACTGTTTTGGATGCAAAGACTGCTCCGTATTTTTGGATCAACCCCTTTCTGCATTCACTAGGTCTCTTGCACTTAATATCACTTTTCTTTACAATTATGATTACGCTATCTGCTCCTATTTCCTACTTAACATAGCTAAACAGAATATATATATATATATATATATATATATATATATAACACTCCATAAAAAAATCCCACAAAAAAAATAATATACACCGATCAGCTGCATTAAAACTACCTTCCTAATATCGTGTAGCTCCCCCCCCCCCTTGTGCTAGACATTGACTCCACAAGACCTCTGAACATGTCCTGTGGTATCTGGCACCAAGACATGAGCAGCAGATCCTGCAAGTTGGGGCCTCCATGGATCTGATTTGTGGTTCCAGTACAGCTCAATCGGATTGAAATCTGGAGAATTTTTAGGGCCAAGGCAACACCTTGAACTTTGTCATATTATTCAAACCATTCCTGAACAATTTTGTGCAGTGTGGTAGGGTCCTGCTGAAAGGAACACCATTGCCATGAAGGGGTCTACGTGATCTGCAATAATCTCTGGGTAGGTGGTACCTGTCAAAGTACCATCCACATGAATATCAGGACCCAATGTTTCTCAGCAGAACATTGCCCAGAAAAACTGCCTCCACCGGCCTGCCTTATCCCCCAGTGCATCATGCTACTATCTCTTCCACAGGTAAATGATGCACATGCACCAGGCCATCTACCTGCTCTAAAAACTCTTCATTTGCTCCATGGTTCTGATGGTCATGTCCTCATTCATGGTGCTATCGGCGGTGGACATGGGTCATCATGGGCACTCTGACCAGTCTGCGACTACGCAGCAAACTGCGATGCACTGCATGTTCTGACACCTTTCTATTATTACCAGCATTACATTTTTAGCAATTTGAGTTACGGTAGCTCTCCTATGTGATCAGACCAGATGGGCTAGCCATTCGCACCCCACATGCATCAATGTGACTTTGGCACCCATGACCCTGACACTGGTACACCAGTTGTCTTTACTTGCACAATTTTGGTAGGTACTAACCAGTTCATTCTGAGAACTCCCCACAAGACTTGCCATTTTTGAGATCCTCTCTCCCAGTCGTCTAGCCATCGATATTTGGCCCTTGTCACAGTCAGTCACTCAAATCTTTTTGTTTGACAATTTGCTCTGCTTCCAACACATGAATTTCAAAAACGACTGTTCACTTGCTGCCAAATATATCCCCACCCCTAGACAGGTGCAATTGTAACGATACACTCAATGTTATTCACTTTACCTGTCAGTGTTTTTAATGTTGAGGCTGATAAGCGTATACTACCAGAGGAAATATGCATTTGTGTTTGCATGTGTTATTGGGTTGTAAAGGAAATCTTGGCTTGCAATAGCAGCAGATCTAGAGTTTGCACCTAAAGGAAGCCATTTGTTTCTTCCCCAAAACAGATTTTCTGTGGCTGTATAATAAATGACTTCTTAATGAGCTATATTGCTGGCAGGTGTTCTTAGCAAATGCCTAACTCCTGAATTTAGCACACACAAATCCATATTAATTAGCTCCTGTTTGGCATGCACAAAATAAACATGCCGATATCGGTCTTCTTTGAAGCTTTGAAGCCATAATTCCTTACCCCATGTTGCACCACTGTTTCTGGGAAGCGTCTCAGTAGAAGAAGAAGCATCTCTGCACGTTCAAGAGTATTAAAACACTGTTCAGTAGCTTTCAATAACATCTCACATTGTACTCGTCCAGGAAGGGCTTCAAAAAGACCTGTGAAATAATATATATGGCCAGCATAAAAGGAAAATCAACATTGGCACATTATTTGCATCAACTAATATATATCAATTCCTAAAGAGAAATTCTGGGACAAAGGTCTAGATGTGGAGCAATCAACAAGACCATTTCATTGGTCTATGGTGATTGCAATGTATTCAGACTTTTAGCCCAGAATTGTCATTCATACGTAAAGTAAACCCATATTTTACTTTACCAATGCGCTGGTACAGATGGATACCCCATATAAACATATACCTGCACTCACATTCACTGTCCCTAAAAATAAATACCTGTACATTCATTCATGCATAAAGTTATGGACGTTGTTCACTGGTTCTAAACCAAAGTGTCTGGAGCTGATTGACCAAAAATGGGGGCCTCTACAGCACCTGTGGCCTGGCACAGTGCTCAGTAATGCCAATGTGGAAGTTACACTTTTGTATCAGCAATATTAATTTTGGCCAGATTCTACAGCCATCCAGTAGCTGAATAGGGGAAGGTGACAGCCTAATGGCACCATAACTACTACATCATCATGTGGTGACGACAGTGCCTACACAGCAACTTTAAATAGTAATCCTAAACAGCAAAATGCAATATCTGAAATATATGTGACAAAAGAAAGGATCACTGAAGAAGTTTGCAGTGATGAAGACAACAAAGATGTATTCAAAACCTTCAACTTTAAGGGACACTATAGGAACCCAGACCACGTCAGCTCATTGAAGTGGTCTGGGTGCAATGTCCCATTTTTGCAGGAGGAATGTGTGTGAAGCCTGACCCAGAGCCGAGGGACATCAGCGCTGGATTCAGGTTACTGACTAAAGGGTTTTAACCCCTTCAGTGCTGCGGGCAGGGGTGTGTGAGGGAGGGGGGCACTGTAGGAACCTATAGTGCGAGGCAAACGGCTTTGTTTTCCTGGCACTATAGAATCCCTTTAAGACTGCTTATATTTACAGTAAATTACTGTTCACCTGGACTATAAGTAATTCAGGCCTTGCTGTCTGCCACCAGGTGGTTAATTCTGCACCTGATAGGATAAAAGTTATGCAGTATGAGTGTTGTGGACAAAAATATTGACTCAATTTATGTTAGTAATATGCCTATTTACTCAACTTTATATGTGATTTAGCTAAAATGGCCGCTAGGGAGTTTCCCCTTTAGCATCGACTAACACCCTCACTAACAAGATGGCGCTGGAATCTGGGGGAGACCTCCAAGATACCAGTGACATCACACCCAGTAGGAAGAGCAATAAATGAACCACTTAACACCTAACCAATTATTGATGTATTATTCCATGTTATCTCTAACAAAGCATATGAGGTAATTTTGCTTTATAAGGGACGTGCCGTCCCCTCTGAATAAACATTCCTCAAGTTTTTCATTAACCCAAAACCTGTGTCTGGTGTGAATTACTTTAGGAGCGTGCACGCACTACTTCTTAATTTGGCCGGGGGCATATACGCAAGATAATCAATTTATTGATTCCACATCAATGAGACAATGGCGACTATTATGGGTGAGCCCTACAAAAAGAGCTGACATGTAATGTGCATGAACACTTGTAGCACTTTTTGTACCATTTATGAAGAGTTGCATATCAGAGCAGCTGAAGATTGTTCGTAGGTATCAATATACAGATTGAGAAGAAATCCTGATACTTATCAGGGCAGCTCAAAGTGTTTGATAGGAACAATAACATACTGCCCAGAGCAGGACATCTGTAATCTTGCAGGAGTTGGAGTATGATTAGATAATGTAAGAACACCTGCCTCTTAAAAATTGTGTCTGCTTGTCCTGAGAATCATTGCGGAGAGCGGCTGTGATTACACCAATCTCCCTCCACACTACTGGCTGCTCCGGGAAATTCACAAACCTGACAAAAAAAGAAAAAGGAGAATTTCTCAGTAACACCAAAAACGCTCAGAAATAAAAAGATAACACTGCAATCAGCGTTTTGTCAGAACTCAAGATCCGAAACGGGAAATGACAGTAATAAGAACAAATTAAAGAAGAAAACCCTCTTGCTCAAATGTAATTTGTAGGTTTAATCAGTTTGAATTCACATATAAATTGCTAAATTTAGATAAAACCAGCATAGCTGGAACTGCGATTCTTGTTTTGTCCTACTTTGTGCAAGTGTGTCATTAGTTCATTGTTAATTGAATAAAACAGTCCATATCCAATGAACCAGTCTCAGATGATCTATTAGCTCATTTGTCATAAAATAGTCTGACATTTTATATTGGTCTATATCTGAAAAATTTGCAAAAGATTTCATATTGTGAAACACAAACAATAAGAAAGAAAATGATAACTGCCAAATAAGAGGATGAATTACTTCCCTAATTTGCAGTTGTTTCAGAAAGGTCTACATTTAACCAATTCAAAATGCCAAATTAAGGTGCATTTACATTAACATAACCCAATTCATCAATGAATATTCACAAAGCTTAATAGTGCCTTAGTATGACAATAGCTAAAGTGTGAAAGATATCATTACAGCAGAATATGCATTATCGAAGAAAGGTGTAGGATGAAAAATAAAGGGCTGATACTACACTCACATGTCATATAGCAGTCTACCGGCTGACGCAGTGCGTTCGGCATTCCTTTCAATGCTGTACATCTCATACTGTAAAAAGAAAAGTTATTGTTAGCAATCACTAGTATATTAAGACAAAGCAATCAGTATCAGAGATTTCCGAAGTACTTTATTGATTTTATGCTCCAAGAACAAAGCATTTTGCATTCTTTTGGATGAATTTTCAAAACCATAACTCATTAGATACCAGTGAACTGTAATCCTCCACCCAATGTAAGCAGTGAAACTGAACTGCTCTTCTCGGCCAATGAGCTGGCTCTGCTGTGCAGAGCTTGGCTAAAGAGAGCCAACGCAAGCACCTAACTAGGAGTATACAGCTCTTCTGCAGGCTTCATAGAGGTGGGGAGTTGCATCTTAAGTACCCAGGTAAGAAGTCAAACCATTTTTAATATTTACTGAAGTTGAGTTGCATCAGGGCACACCTGGCAACATAACCACATCAGTGCACTGTAGTGGTTATGGTGCCTCTGGTTTACTTTAACCTTTTGCAGGGACTTGGAAGATGTGTGTGGTTTTATAGGCAGTCCGCAAATTGCCCAGCTGACTAATCTGAAAAGGCGCCCTATATGTTAAATGGAGTCCTGAGAAATCAATAGCTTATTTATCTGGAACATTTAAATCAGTACACATAAGCCACTTCTAAAAGTAAAAATAAGTGGGTTCGGTACTGTACTCATGCATACAGGTGTCACAGAAACCGGTCATAAAGCCGATAATGGAGTGCTTATTTCAGTAACATTTTTTTAAACAGAAGACAGCTTGCTTGCAAAACACTCTGATTTAAAAAATGTTTTTTATTTATATAGTGATAAAGGTTTCCTATATTGTGGTTAGATTAAGGTCCTTTTTTGTGTTGATTTAAAAAAAAAAAAAAAAAAAAAAAAAAAATTAGCTCTGCCCTTTAAACAAAGCAGAGGCTCATTTTAGAATATTCTCCCAGAACAGGCTAACATTAAGTTGTTATATCTCCATGAAGGCATTACATACAGGGTGTATTATAAACAATTAAACCTGGTTTATTATCACCCCCAGCTCTCAGTGTGCAGTCAGTGTGATGTCATTCCATACACAGTGTATTATTATGACCCCCAGCTCTCAGTGTGCAGTCAGTGTGATGTCACTCCATACACAGTGTATTATTATGTCCCCCAGCTCTCAGTGTGCAGTCAGTGTGATGTCATTCCATACACAGTGTATTATTATGACCCCCAGCTCTCAGTGTGCAGTCAGTGTGATGTCATTCCATACACAGTGTATTATTATGACCCCCAGCTCTCAGTGTGCAGTCAGTGTGATGTCATTCCATACACAGTGTATTATTATGACCCCCAGCTCTCAATGTGCAGTCAGTGTGATGTCATTCCATACACAGTGTATTATTATAACCCCCAGCTCTCAGTGTGATGTCAGTGTGATGTCATTCCATACACAGTGTATTATTATGACTCCCAGCTCTCAGTGTGCAGTCAGTGTGATGTCATTCCATACACAGTGTATTATTATGACTCCCAGCTCTCAGTGTGCAGTCAGTGTGATGTCATTCCATACACAGTGTATTATTATGACCCCCAGCTCTCAGTGTGCAGTCAGTGTGATGTCATTCCATACACAGTGTAGTGTATTATGACCCCCCAGCTCTCAGTGTGCAGTCAGTGTGATGTCATTCCATACACAGTGTATTATTATGACCCCCAGCTCTCAGTGTGCAGTCAGTGTGATGTCATTCCATACACAGTGTATTATTATGACCCCAGCTCTCAGTGTGCAGTCAGTTGATGTCCATACACAGTGTATTATTATGACCCCCCAGCTCTCAGTGTGCAGTCAGTGTGATGTCATTCCATACACAGTGTATTATTATGACCCCCAGCTCTCAGTGTGCAGTCAGTGTGATGTCACTCCATACACAGTGTATTATTATGACTCCCAGCTCTCAGTGTGCAGTCAGTGTGATGTCATTCCATACACAGTGTATTATTATGACCCCCAGCTCTCAGTGTGCAGTCAGTGTGATGTCACTCCATACACAGTGTATTATTATGACCCCCCCAGCTCTCAATGTGCAGTCAGTGTGATGTCATTCCATACACAGTGTATTATTATGACCCCCAGCTCTCAGTGTGCAGTCAGTGTGATGTCATTCCATACACAGTGTATTATTATGACCCCCAGCTCTCAGTGTGCAGTCAGTGTGATGTCACTCCATACACAGTGTATTATTATGACCCCCATCTCTCAATGTGCAGTCAGTGTGATGTTATTCCATACACAGTGTATTATTATGACCCCCCAGCTCTCAATGTGCAGTCAGTGTGATGTTATTCCATACACAGTGTATTATTATGACCCCCAGCTCTCAGTGTGCAGTCAGTGTGATGTCATTCCATACACAGTGTATTATTATGACCCCCAGCTCTCAATGTGCAGTCAGTGTGATGTTATTCCATACACAGTGTATTATTATGACCCCCAGCTCTCAGTGTGCAGTCAGTGTGATGTCATTCCATACACAGTGTATTATTATGACCCCCAGCTCTCAGTGTGCAGTCAGTGTGATGTCACTCCATACACAGTGTATTATTATGACCCCCCATCTCTCAATGTGCAGTCAGTGTGATGTTATTCCATACACAGTGTATTATTATGACCCCCCAGCTCTCAATGTGCAGTCAGTGTGATGTTATTCCATACACAGTGTATTATTATGACCCCCCAGCTCTCAGTGTGCAGTCAGTGTGATGTCATTCCATACACAGTGTATTATTATGACCCCCAGCTCTCAGTGTGCAGTCAGTGTGATGTCACTCCATACACAGTGTATTATTATGACCTCCCAGCTCTCAGTGTGCAGTCAGTGTGATGTCATTCCATACACAGTGTATTATTATGACCCCCAGCTCTCAATGTGCAGTCGGTGTAATGTTATTCCATACACAGTGTATTATTATGACCCCCAGCTCTCAGTGTGCAGTCGGTGTGATGTCATTCCATACACAGTGTATTATTATGACCCCAGCTCTCAGTGTGCAGTCAGTGTGATGTCATTCCATACACAGTGTATTATTATGACCCCCAGCTCTCAATGTGCAGTCAGTGTGATGTTATTCCATACACAGTGTATTATTATGACCCCCCAGCTCTCAGTGTGCAGTCAGTGTGATGTCATTCCATACACAGTGTATTATTATGACCCCCAGCTCTCAGTGTGCAGTCAGTGTGATGTCACTCCATACACAGTGTATTATTATGACCTCCCAGCTCTCAGTGTGCAGTCAGTGTGATGTCATTCCATACACAGTGTATTATTATGACCCCCAGCTCTCAATGTGCAGTCGGTGTAATGTTATTCCATACACAGTGTATTATTATGACCCCCAGCTCTCAGTGTGCAGTCGGTGTGATGTCATTCCATACACAGTGTATTATTATGACCCCCAGCTCTCAGTGTGCAGTCGGTGTGATGTCATTCCATACACAGTGTATTATTATGACCCCCAGCTCTCAATGTGCAGTCGGTGTGATGTTATTCCATACACAGTGTATTATTATGACCCCCCAGCTCTCAGTGTGCAGTCAGTGTGATGTCATTCCATACACAGTGTATTATTATGACCCCCAGCTCTCAGTGTGCAGTCAGTGCGGATGTCATTCCATACACAGTGTATTATAAGGACCCCCCAGCTCTCAGTGTGTGGTGTCAGTGTGATGTGTCACTCCATACATAGTGTATTATTAAGGACTCCCAGCTCTCAGTGTGTAGTCAGTGTGATGTCATTCCATACACAGTGTAATATTATGACCCCCTAGCTCAGTGTGCCTGTGTGTGACAAAACATTCCATACAATAAAAGTGTATTATTAAGGGACCCCCCAGCTCTCACTGTGCAGTCAGTGTGATGTCATTCCATACACAGTGTACATTATGACCCCCCAGCTCTCAATGTGCAGTCAGTGTGTGATGTTATTCCATACACAGTGTAATTACATGACCCCCCAGCTCTCAGTGTGCAGTCAGTGTGAAGTAATTCCATACACAGTGTATTATTATGACCCCCAGCTCTCAGTGTGCAGTCAGTGTGATGTCATTCCATACACAGTGTATTATTATAACCCCCAGCTCTCAGTGTGATGTCAGTGTGATGTCATTCCATACACAGTGTATTATTATGACTCCCAGCTCTCAGTGTGCAGTCAGTGTGATGTCATTCCATACACAGTGTATTATTATGACCCCCAGCTCTCAGTGTGCAGTCAGTGTGATGTCACTCCATACACAGTGTATTATTATGACCCCCAGCTCTCAGTGTGCAGTCAGTGTGATGTCACTCCATACACAGTATATTATTATGACCCCCAGCTCTCAGTGTGCAGTCAGTGTGATGTCATTCCATACACAGTATATTATTATGACCCCCAGCTCTCAGTGTGCTCTCAGTGTGCAGTCAGTGTGATGTTATTCCATACACAGTGTATTATTATGACCCCCCAGCTCTCAGTGTGCAGTCAGTGTGATGTCATTCCATACACAGTGTATTATTATGACCCCCAGCTCTCAGTGTGCAGTCAGTGTGATGTCATTCCATACACGTGTGTATTATTATGACCCCAGCTTCCTCAGTGTGTGCAGTCAGTGTGATGTCATTCCATACACGGGTATTATTATGACCCCCAGCCTCAGTGTGCAGTCAGTGTGGATGTCACCCATGCCATTGTGTGTATTATTATGACCCCCAGCTCTCAGTGTGCAGTCAGTGTGTGGATGTCACTCCACACACAGTGTATATTATGAATCTCCCCAGTTTCAGTGTGTGCAGCGTCAGTGTGCTGTCACTCCATACACAGTGTGCATTATTATGACCCCAGCTCTTTCAGTGCGTGCAGTCAGTGTGATGTCATTCCATACACAGTGTATTATTATGACCCCCAGCTCTCAGTGTGCAGTCAGTGTGATGTCACTGCATACACAGTGTATTATTATGACCCCCAGCTCTCAGTGTGCAGTCAGTGTGATGTCATTCCATACACAGTGTATTATTATGATCCCCAGCTCTCAGTGTGCAGTCAGTGTGATGTCACTCCATACACAGTGTATTATTATGACCCCCCAGCTCTCAGTGTGCAGTCAGTGTGATGTCACTCCATACACAGTGTATTATTATGACCCCCCAGCTCTCAGTGTGCAGTCAGTGTGATGTCATTCCATACACAGTGTATTATTATGATCCCCAGCTCTCAATGTGCAGTCAGTGTGATGTTATTCCATACACAGTGTATTATTATGATCCCCAGCTCTCAGTGTGCAGTCAGTGTGATGTAATTCCATACACGGTGTATTATTATGACCCCCAGCTCTCAGTGTGCAGTCAGTGTGATGTCATTCCATACACGGTGTATTATTATGACCCCCAGCTCTCAGTGTGCAGTCAGTGTGATGTCACTCCATACACAGTGTATTATTATGACCCCCAGCTCTCAGTGTGCAGTCAGTGTGATGTCACTCCATACACAGTGTATTATTATGACCCCCAGCTCTCAGTGTGATGTCATTCCATACACAGTGTATTATTATGACCCCCCAGCCTCTCAGTGTGCAGTCAGTGTGATGTAATTCCATACACAGTGTATTACATGACCCCCCAGCTCTTTGTGTGTGCAGTCAGTGATGTCACTCCATACACAGTGTATTATTATGACCCCCAGCTCTCAGTGTGCAGTCAGTGTGATGTCATTCCATACACAGTGTATTATTATGACCCCCAGCTCTCAGTGTGCAGTCAGTGTGATGTCATTCCATACACAGTGTATTATTATGACACCCAGCTCTCAGTGTGCAGTCAGTGTGATGTAATTCCATACACAGTGTATTATTATGACCCCCAGCTCTCAGTGTGCAGTCAGTGTGATGTCATTCCATACACAGTGTATTATTATGACTCCCAGCTCTCAGTGTGCAGTCAGTGTGATGTCATTCCATACACAGTATATTATTATGACCACCCAACTATCAGTGTGCAGTCAGTGTGATGTCATTCCGAACACAGTGTATTATTATGATTCCCCAGCTCTCAGTGTGATGTCATTCCATACACAGTGTATTATTATGACCATCCAACTATCTGTGTGCAGTCAGTGTGATGTCATTCCATACACAGTGTATTATTATGACCCCCAGCTCTCAGTGTGCAGTCAGTGTGATGTCACTCCATACACAGTGTATTATGTCCCCCAGCTCTCAGTGTGCAGTCAGTGTGATGTCATTCCATACACAGTGTATTATTATGACTCCCAGCTCTCAGTGTGATGTCATTCCATACACAGTGTATTATTATGACCCCCAGCTCTCAATGTGCAGTCAGTGTGATGTCACTCCATACACAGTGTATTATTATGACCCCCAGCTCTCAGTGTGCAGTCAGTGTGATGTCATTCCATACACAGTGTATTATTATGACCCCCAGCTCTCAGTGTGCAGTCAGTGTGATGTCACTCCATACACAGTGTATTATTATGACTCCCAGCTCTCAGTGTGATGTCACTCCATACACAGTGTATTATTATGACCCCCAGCTCTCAGTGTGCAGTCAGTGTGATGTCACTCCATACACAGTGTATTATTATGACTCCCAGCTCTCAGTGTGTGTAGTCAGTGTGATAGTGTCATTCATACACAGGTATTATTATGACCCCCTAGCTCTCACAGTAGGCCCATACACAGTATATTATTATGACCCCCAGCTCTCAGTGTGCAGTCAGTGTGATGTCATTCCATACACAGTGTATTATTATGACCCCCAGCTCTCAATGTGCAGTCAGTGTGATGTTATTCCATACACAGTGTATTATTATGACCCCCCAGCTCTCAGTGTGCAGTCAGTGTGATGTCATTCCATACACAGTGTATTATTATGACCCCCAGCTCTCAGTGTGCAGTCAGTGTGATGTCACTCCATACACAGTGTATTATTATGACCCCCAGCTCTCAATGTGCAGTCAGTGTGATGTTATTCCATACACAGTGTATTATTATGACCCCCAGCTCTCAGTGTGCAGTCAGTGTGATGTCATTCCATACACAGTGTATTATTATGACACCCAGCTCTCAGTGTGCAGTCAGTGTGATGTAATTCCATACACAGTGTATTATTATGACCCCCAGCTCTCAGTGTGCAGTCAGTGTGATGTCATTCCATACACAGTGTATTATTATGACTCCCAGCTCTCAGTGTGCAGTCAGTGTGATGTCATTCCATACACAGTGTATTATTATGACCCCCAGCTCTCAGTGTGCAGTCAGTGTGATGTCACTCCATACACAGTGTATTATTATGACCCCCAGCTCTCAGTGTGCAGTCAGTGTGATGTCACTCCATACACAGTATATTATTATGACCCCCAGCTCTCAGTGTGCAGTCAGTGTGATGTCATTCCATACACAGTGTATTATTATGTCCCCCAGCTCTCAGTGTGCAGTCAGTGTGATGTCATTCCATACACAGTGTATTATTATGACCCCCCAGCTCTCAGTGTGCAGTCAGTGTGATGTCATTCCATTCACAGTGTATTATTATGACCCCCAGCTCTCAGTGTGCAGTCAGTGTGAAGTAATTCCATACACAGTGTATTATTATGACCCCCAGCTCTCAGTGTGCAGTCAGTGTGATGTCATTCCATACACAGTGTATTATTATGACCCCCGGCTCTCAATGTGCAGTCAGTGTGATGTCATTCCATACACAGTGTATTATTATAACCCCCAGCTCTCAGTGTGATGTCAGTGTGATGTCATTCCATACACAGTGTATTATTATGACTCCCAGCTCTCAGTGTGCAGTCAGTGTGATGTCATTCCATACACAGTGTATTATTATGACCCCCAGCTCTCAGTGTGCAGTCAGTGTGATGTCATTCCATACACAGTGTATTATTATGACCCCCAGCTCTCAGTGTGCAGTCAGTGTGATGTCATTCCATACACAGTGTATTATTATGACCCCCAGCTCTCAGTGTGCAGTCAGTGTGATGTCATTCCATACACAGTGTATTATTATGATCCCCAGCTCTCAGTGCGCAGTCAGTGTGATGTCACTCCATACACAGTATATTATTATGACCCCCAGCTCTCAGTGTGCAGTCAGTGTGATGTCACTCCATACACAGTGTATTATTATGACCCCCCAGCTCTCAGTGTGCAGTCAGTGTGATGTCATTCCATACACAGTGTATTATTATGACTCCCAGCTCTCAGTGTGATGTCAGATCATACCTGGATATTAAAGTCCTGCGGGTACAGGGTGCGGGCAGTGATGAGCCAGGCTCGGGCTGCGCACGTATCTTCCAGCACCAGCTCCCGAGCCCTCCTCACTAGGAACTCGCAGTCCCCGAGAGCCGCCATCGCTGTCTATGCTGCTGCACACCACGGCGACGGGAAACGACGTCACGGGACCCGATGGGGCGACCTGCGCATGCGCGGCGTCCTGTCACCCAGCCACTGTACGTTGCCAACCACGGCGCCTGGCTATGACGTCACGGGCACGCTGCTGCGCCCTGCGAATTCCGATCTACCCGGGGAGTGCGAGCACCCGAAACACAACGTCACACTGACGCCAGCCCGTAACCGATGGCCAGTCGCGTTGATCGAATTTACAGTTACACTACTAGTAGCGCTCCTTTATCAGCATTTTATCTTTGTTTTTGGTTGTTTTTTTTTTGTTTTGTTTTTTATAGTTGGAGTTTATAGTATTTGCCTCTAGCGTTTAGAACTCGCAGATGTGATGACGTTGCCATGGCAATATAACCACGTGACTGGAGGCAAGCTTTGGGTATTTTGCTGACCCACGTGGTATCTCCAAGAAGTCATTGGCAGAACAGTCCTGACTTAAGGCAACAGTCCTGGTGTACCAAAAAAAAAATAAAGATTGAGACCAAACATGATACAACTCCCCACACAGTGCAAATATAAAAAAATAAATACATTTATCCATCAGCTGTGTCTCTTTGAGAAGGGCTTGTACAGGTATAACAGTAATTTTAGTATTTGCTATGAGAGGGGTTTTATTGTGCCTGGTTGCACCACAATCCTTCTGGTACCTAGCTGCATGTGCTCACAGAGACTTCAGTTTTGAGACCAGAATTGGTGCCATGCTGATGAGACCCACAAGGTCAAAACTGCAGTCTATGGCTGGTTTCTGGTCACTGAGCCTTTTAATCATATTGCATGCTTTGGTTTTAAAAACAAACAAGTACAAAACAACCACCATTGAACAAACAGATGATAATAGTGTAAAGTGTGTAGCACTAAAAGTTGTCGACACTTACCCCTAAAGGACAGAGGATAATAAAGTTGTAGAGAATAACTGTAGGGAATAATGGAAACAAAATATAGTGTAATACAGTGGAGACCAGTGGCAATATGAGGTTATAATAGGAAGCACTCACGTGGTTTAGAGCCTATTTAGGACCAGCTCTAATCACATCCACTGTTGTGTACTTTGGGTGGCACACACACTATGAGTCCATATTCAGCAGTAATATCAATAAATTGAGATAAAAGAGGGAGAAACAGGGAAACTAGCCCTGGTGTAGAAATCCTCAGCAAAGCAAGAAACAATAAAATATAGATTGCTTCTCACCTTGTCAAGAGCCTATGACTTGGCTCTGAGTACTCGGCTCTGAGTCGGTTTGAACCAGCAGGATGATAATTACAAATTGAGAAAGCCGAACGGAATCGTCGGAACGCGTTTTGGATGACTCAACCAGTATTTTGTATGTATTTGTTTTTATTTTTTATTACAAATAACTGTGAATTACATTATATCATACTATCTGGTGGACTATCTATCCTTCTGAAAAGAAGGGCAGTGTCACCCTGAATAAGACTCACTCATCTGTATACTCAGTGTCTTTCCTGTGTGTCCCAATAAGCTGTTATACAGTTGCGCATTTGCTGCTTTCAATCGCTCTGTAGAAAAAAAAAAACCTCCTTGGCTTTCTGATTGACAGTCAGGGAGTTGTTTCTATCCCAAAATTATGGAAATTTATATATCTATAGAAATCTGCATTTTATGAACCATTCACAAAAACGACTAACTATAGCAAGCTGAAGTGCTTTATGTATCTGGGATGTTCCTTTATGGGGTTAACAACTTTCAGAAGATCTCAAAATTGTCAGCCAGGTTGGCTACAAGTCTTGAAAAATGAAAACTGTAATTTGTACAGTGCAATTTGTAGAATAAATAGAGGCATCTCATTCAAGCAAAGCCCGTTGATAGACATATTTCTTTCAATGTCAAGCTTTTACTCAATTTAAAATGTTCCTGTAGAAGATATTGTTAATTGTATTTGCACATCGCTGTGGCAGACTCATTCCGTTCCGTTCTCCGCAATAAATCAATGGGAGTTGTAGTTCGGCAACATCTGGAGGGCCAGAGTTTGGGGAACCCTGCACTAAAGTAAAAACTCAAAATTAATTTCAAATGAATGGTAAAAACACCCACATTGGAAACATTCTCTAAGTCAGATATATTTCTAGTTTGGCTATTTTGGAATTCACTTTAAATTCTCACTATATTGCATAACCTTGTATATCTCCTGTGGCTTTGCATGAAAAGTGCTAGCCATCATGCAGCATTTATATTGAAAACGATCTCCTTGGTGGTGGATTAGATTAAAGGAACACTATAGTCACCTAAATTACTTTAGCTAAATAAAGCAGTTTTAGTGTATAGATCATTCCCCTGCAATTTCACTGCTCAATTCACTGTCATTTAGGAGTTAAATCACTTTGTTTCTGTTTATGCAGCCCTAGCCACACCTCCCCTGGCTATGACTGACAGAGCCTGCATGAAAAAAAAAAAACTGGTTTCACTTTCAAACAGATGTAATTTACCTTAAATAATTGTATTTCAATCTCTAAATTGAACTTTAAAGGACCACTCTAGGCACCCAGACCACTTCAGCTTAATGAAGTGGTCTGGGTGCCAGGTCCCTCTAGTATTAACCCTTTTTTTTTTTATAAACATAGCAGTTTCAGAGAAACTGCTATGTTTATAAATGGGTTAGTCCAGCCTCTAAAGCCTCTAGTGGCTGTCTCATTGACAGCCGCTAGAGGCGTTTGCGTGCTTCTCACTGTGAAAATCACAGTGAGAAGATGCCAGCGTCCATAGGAAAGCCTTATGAATGCTTTCCTATGAGACTGGCTGAATGCGCGCGCAGCTCCTGCCGCGCATGCGCATTCAGCCGAAGAGGAGGATCGGAGGCGGAGAGGAGGAGGAGAGCTCCCCGCCCGGTGCTGGAAAAAAGGTAAGTTTAACCCCTTTCCTTGCCATCCAGCCCGGCGGGAGTGGGACCCTGAGGGTGGGGGCACCCTCAGGGCACTATAGTGCCAGGAAAACGAGTATGTTTTCCTGGCACTATAGTGGTCCTTTAATCACATACAGGAGGCTCTTGCAGGGTCTAGCAAGCTATTAACATAGCAGGGGATGAGAAAATCTTAATTAAACAGAACTTGCAATAAAGAAAGGCTAAATAGGGCTCTCTTTACAGGAAGTGTTTATGGAAGGCTGTGCAAGTCACATGCAGGGAGGTGTGACTAGGGTTCATAAACAAAGGGATTTAACTCCTAAATGGCAGAGGATTGGGCAGTGAGGCTGCAGGGGCATGTTCTATACACCAAAACTGCTTCATTAAGCTAAAGTTGTTCAGGTGACTATAGTGTCCCTTTAACAGATTGCTCCTCGGAATGTTTTTCATATACATTTCACACATTGCAATGTAGCACGTGTCCAGGTAAACATGGTAGATCTCGCAACATAGGCAGAGAGGGGAGGAATCCACAAATCTCTGGTCACCAGTAACAGAGGGGAGAAAAGATGCAGTTGGAATGCAAAACTTCTTTAGAGGTGCAGTGCACTACATAAAAAAATTGCAATTAATTGCAACCCTTCCAGCTTTTGTTTACCTGATGCATGCGGCTAAAGCAGCACACTTACGAGATGGCCTTTCTATTGGCATACAGTCTGATGGGATGATATCATGGCGAAGTGGCTATTGTGATGTCTGAATCTTGTATGTCAATATTTCCACCGCGAGTGGTGTACTTTAAAATGATTATATAACAGAAAATTGAAGCATAAATAATTTCATTGTTAATCAACAATGTGTGATCCTTATATTTCCTGTAACCTCTAGGTGGCAACATTGTAACAAGTATCTGTTTTATAGATTACTAAAGACTCAATCATTAAATTTGCTTCCTAATATTACAGATCTAATATTGATTTAAATCCCGGTATCACAGGCAAGCAACATTAGGGTATAGTTTGTTAAAATAGCAAATCTCTGAGTGTCCAGCAGGGGTTTATTATGTATTATTATTTTTTCTTTTCTTTATCTAAATAAAGGATAATAAATTCACGCACATACTTAAGAAATACAGACCAGATAAATAAGCCGCAAATTTAGGGTTTAAATGAAACAATTGTATGAAGAAGTCATAATGCAAACTGTACTTTGAATTAACATATTATAAGATGGGTCTAAGTATGATGTATGTATGTAATTGTGAGCTATTTAAAACTGTACAATAAAAAAACAAACACATTTTACAAATAAAAACTAAATATTCTGTTTTTGCTAAAACCTAAATTCACTCACCTGTGAGTTTTAAATTGTACACCAAAATAGTTAAGGTGATAAATTATAGTCCCCCTGCTGTCCCTCAAATTTCTGAGCAGTTTACTGCTAAATAAAGTTCCCTGGTCACCCACATTCCAGCCCCCATTGGAGGTATAGTCATGGCAGGGATTACACACTTCTTTCAAGTCATGCCAATTTATACCAGCAATTGACTCTGTGTAGGTTTAAAGCAGTCATCTGACACTTTCAGCCAAACACAGCCACCTATTGCTGCTCAGTCAAATACACCCTTATTAGTCCAGGCAGCACATGATGAGAACTCTTGTTTTGTGTTGCTGCGGATGTGATCTATTTAGATTATGCCGTGGCGTTAGATACGTTTCCACACAATAGGTTAGAGTTTAATACAGAGCACAGAGAGTTGTCATTAATGGTAGATTTTCAAACTGGACAAAAGTGGTAAATGGTGCCCCTCGGAGTTCTGTTGTGGGACCATTTATATTAAACATATTTAGCTATATCATTTAAAATTTGTGGGGTAATAGCCTCTTGATCCAAAGAGAGAGCTGACTGCCATTCTGGGGTGAATTTGGACATTTGTCCTATTTTGTTGCAAAATTGAAATGCTCTTTAAGCTGTTTTTTTACCTTCTTTTTGGATGATCAGCAAAAACAGATTTAAGAAAGTCTGAACTTGATTGACGCATGTTTCTCTTCAGCTTATGTAACTATGTTAATATTTTGAATTTTTTTTTTAAATACAGCTCTGTCAAATTGTTCAATATAAAACCATGCTTTTGTTAATCCTCCATACAGCAGAGTTACAGCTGCATAGTGATGCATATGTATCCAGTGGATTAGGGAAATTGTGTTTTTTCTTCAAATAAGAAATAGGTTTCATGCGTCAAAAGGAGCAATGTGTAAAACACATTTTTGCAACGTGGGATGTATTGATCTTAAATGTTTTAATGGTTAGCTTCTACTGTTTGTATGCTCTAACAAACTCTTTAACCTTTGTGATGTGCATGTTATATTTCCTCCACTTTGTATGTCAGAATGCAGTGGGAATGTAAATAAAGACAGAATAATGAGGGTGTAAAAGGAGGGATACTTGGCATGGGGATTTTGGAATGGAAAGAGAAAGTGTTAAAATGGCAAGGGCTTTAAATAAAAAAAGTAAGTGAAATGAGAATTTATTGTGCATTATATTTGACATCGGGATGTGGGAGTTTAAACTGGAGGAGATAGTATATAGAGTGATGGTTCCAACCAGATTATACACACAAGCACTGCACAAACTGGCATGAACAATAAAACATTGACACTGAAAATGAATACACACAGGAACTGTGGTAATGTACAAATAATGACATTGCACACATATACAGGAACCATTTGTTAAGACCTGCAGTGGTTATGGTACTGCGGTCTTCTGTTCCCTTTCCCCAACAGCTGAGCATAAGTGATTATAGCTGCAGCAGGAATTAGAGGAATAAGGTAGATAAAATGCAGTTCCAAGGTGATTCTTCCCAGCAAATAGAATATCCCCCAAACATGAGCGTAGACTTCATGAAGGGTGTAACAGGAATGAATGTTATTGACACACACAGGCTTTTATGAGAAATCCTCCTGCAAGAGGACCTCCCACAGCAAACAAAGACAACAGCCAATCAACACACAGATTTACAGTAATACACGCCTTCTCTCTGCCTGGGAGATATTGAGATAAGTTATCAATTATCTCCAGGCAGAGAGCACACAATTTTCCCAAAACTCAGAACACCCCTTTCCCCACCAGGTATCCCCACAAATTATATATCCCCTGATAGCCCCGATCTGGGGGACAAACATATCCAAATTTCACCCAGATCGGTTCAGGGATTCTGAAAAAGTGTGGAGGGTCCCTTTTACCGACCACACACGCGGCTCCTGCCCAAAACAGTTCCATGAATTCAGAGTGTGCGGTCGGTCAATTCACAAATAGACAAAAATCAAACAAAAGTCCCGAATGGATCCCCCTGGCTCATAGTAGCGATTGCTCCCCTTGTCCGCTCGCACAGAACTACCGAACGGCGCTTCCCTGGCTGTTCGGGAAATACAAGAAGCCGGCGTTCGGTAGTTTCAGCGGTGGTTTGCGAGGTCGAGTGTCCGATTTTAGTTCCAGACACTCGACGACCAAGTCCCGCTGACTCCCCTTGTGCGAACAAGATGGCCGCCGTTTTCTATTCCACGTGGCGTTTGGCTGTACGAACAGCGACCGCCCAGGGAGCACTTAATAGCGGATTCCTTTGTAGTTAATGAGCCAGGAGGGTGGTCGGCGTTCGATAGTTTCAAACTACCGAACCAATACATTCAATATGCAGGTGGTAAAACAGGAAAAATACCGAACAAAGAAGAAAATGTAAATTAAAAGTCCATTTTCTTCACACTATTGTATACATTTTGACATGTAAGCACACTGACAGCAGCACTGGCGTGCACACGTCTTCACATTGTACATACACAGGAACATTGGCATGCACACCCACAGGATCATTGACAAACACACTGCACACAAAATAGAAAGACGATCATCCATTGACAATGCACATATAGAATCATCATGACTTACATTGTTCATACAAAAACTTATACACTGTATAACTAAAGAGCAATAATTTCAACAACTTGAAGCAGTATAAAAAAACAACAACACCACCTTCATGCACTCCACAATTTACAAAATATTGTAAAGCAAGGCCTATGAAAACACATCCAATTTAGTTGGTTATTGTGAGTAAAACCTTGTGATTATACTAAATCACCACAAAGCAAATCTATAAGAACTATTTGCTGTATATACATATAAATATGTACTGTTACTTTAAAATATTACCTAAAAAGATACAGTTGATAAATTTCTATGCAATGCACAACCACTGCAAACCAATAAACAATGCTGTACACCCCTTAAGAGCGCAGAAAACAACAACAATAAAACAAATATCAATCACACTTATATGTGTAAAATTATTTGGAAATGTCTGTGTGTTTTACTTCTCGGAATATACACTCCATATTCATCAATGGACCTCCACTTGCCAAATAAAGATGTGCCAATAGTGTAACACCCTTTATTAGTCCAGATAAAGTCATATACATATATGCTTACAATACCGTTGGTGGAACCAGGAAGGTTTTACACCCAAATATAGCACCCAGTACCAAGCACTGCAGCTAAGACACCAATTTGTTTAATCACTCAGCTCAATCTTCTCGTCGCTACTGCTTTAAAATCCTTAATTCTTGTTTCTGGGTTCTGGACTATCAGCATGATGACTTCGGCAGTATCAGTAACGCCAACGCATTTCACCCGTAATTGGTGCTTCATCGAAGCACTGGTTGTTATCTCCCAGTTGTTTCTTTGCAAACTGAATTCCAGTTTTCAAACAAAGGCGATGGTAAGTACAACTTTATGTGGGAAATTTCATTTTGTACAATTTTGAAATACATTATAAAAGTTATTACAAGAAGAAATTACAATATTTATACATATTTCTAAATGTTCTAAAAGTACTGCTAAGAAGGAAGATAACCAGGAGTGCTGCTCTAAATCTTTTATTTGCTAAATTGGAAGAGTCACGGGCAATTCGGATGAATTGGAAAGCTGCCAAGGTAGGAGGTAGATGTCAAAACTGTCATTACTAAGTATTGTGGAAATCTAAACACACATAAGGTAGTGCTACAAATATGACTAACATAGTAAAAGATACAAAAGTAAAATTCCTTAATACTCTCCAAATGAATGATAAAAGCCCAGACAGTCTCCCCACGGCGGATTAGGACCCCTGGGGCCATGTGATCGCTCAACAGAGCGATCATATGGTCAAAATCGGTGTCCTAGTGTCTACCTGCAGGGGGACTGTCTGTGCTGACAGGCAGTCTCCCTGCTAGTGTAAAATCATTAAAAAAAATAAAGTTAATGTTAAAAAAATTAAAAAAAATTATATATATATATATATGTGTGTGTATATATGATATATAGACATATATTATATTTATATAATATGTCTATATATCATATATATAATGTCATACTAAGTGTATTTTTATATTAATATGTACATATATTAATATAAAAATACACTTATAATTAAATTACACACGTATATATATAATATATATATATAATATATATATATATTGTATATATATATATTATTATAAAATAAAAATAATAAGTAATTTAAATTAAATTTTTAAAAAAAAAATATGATATATAAGTATCTAATGTGCCTTTGAGGGCACCCCTAATAAAAAATCCAATCATCACACAATCCCAAAGATACATAAGAGTTTGCAAAGACCACCTGGACGCCCTATTGTGTCAGCTATAGGGGGTCCTTGAACCAATAGCGAAGTACCTAGATTACCTATTTAAAAAAAACTTAGAGAATATACCAACTTGTATTAAGGATTCAAAGAGGATTAGTTCTATGGATAAGTTAGATGATAATGTTATACTGATGACAATTGAATGTATACACCGTGATTCGACACAAGGAATGAGTGGAAGAAATGCTAGAATTATTATCTACCTCCACACATTACAAGGGACCTGCAGTGGAATATATCCTGGAATTGGTAACATTACAACAAAATTATTACATGCAAAAGGTGGGCACATCTATGGGTGCAACAATGGCCCCCATGGATGCAAATGCATATATGTACAAGTTTGAGAGGAGAAATATATTAATGAAATACTCTACTGAAATAGTTCAATACTTCCGTTTTATCGATGATATTCTTATTTTATGGAGAAGATCAATTGAAAGTGCAAAATCATTTTGTGCGAATTCACTTTGAAGAAAGGCATTCTGGATTACAAATCATATACAAAGCCAAGCGATGGGAATACAATATTGCACTTTACAAGTGCACACCAAAAACACTTGTAAAAATCATTACCTATGTCACAGGTCCTAAGGGTGTTTATGAACAATTCCAAGGATGAACAATGTGAAATCCAATTGCAAACTATATATGAGAAGTTTTTATCCAGAGGACACCCAAATAATTTTAAATAAGGCATTACAGAGGGCAAGAAATGGAAGAAAATGAAAAGCCACCAAGAATAGTAATTATTAAAATAATAAATAATAATTGGAATATAATGATTATCAATGTGTCCCCTATATCAACGCTACCCAACATCTTCAAATAGAAACCCATGCCCTGTTCTGAAAGAAACAAGAATCTCAGAGACCTATTGGTCCAGACTGAACCAGTTCAAAGCTACATGCCGGATCAACAAAAGATTCATAACACAGGATGTGTACAATGTCTAGGTTGCGTGACATGTGGACATTTAATTCCTACCAAGCACTTTAAAGTGACAATATAGGCACACAGACAACTTCAGCTTTTTGAAGTGGTCTGGTTGCAGTGTTCCTGTTGCACTTAGTGCTGCAATGTAAAACAAGTCTGCCTCCAGTGGCTGTCTCCCAGACCTTTTCTTTACCATCCTGGAAATGACGCTGGATGTCCTCACGCTCTGCAGCTTTGTATTCCTGGCACTTATAGTATTACTTTAATCATCCACACTCAGGGAAATTGTATGCTATCAAACATAGGATCAGTTGCAGAACTGACTATATAATATATAAATGAACATGCCCATGTGGGCTCAGTAATGTAGGGAAGACAGAGACACACCTATGTGAAAGGATACGTGGAAATAGATCTCATGATGGCAATTCAGACAAACCAGTAGCACAGCACTTCCTTGAGAAACAACATCTTTTAATTTCTTTAAAATGCATAGCAATTGACCATGTTCCTATCCCTAGAAGAGGAGAGGATCGACAGAAACTTTCATTACAACGTGAATGCTATTGGATACGGAAACTAAAAACAGTTTCTCCACATAGACTAAATGAAAAGCTGTCGTTTTCATCATTTTTATAGCTTGTTATAGATTAAAAGCATAAGGCTGGATGGTTTTAACAGTGCTTAGCTATGGGCTTGGACAGATTTCAAAATTAAAAGACACCACAGTTAAGATTCCAGTGCAAGTCAAAAATGCAAACACACACTCTATTTGATTAAGATTTAATTTTCTTTCACTTTTAAGCTGTCAGTTTTTAAAGGAACACTATAGGGTCAGGAACACAGACATGTCCTGACCGTATAGTGTTAAAACCATCATCTAGCCCCCTTAAATATAGTAAAATCTTACTTTTATTCCAGTCTGTTGCTGCTGACTCTGCCCTTGATATGCCTGCTCAGAAGTGCCTTCCTCAGAAGTGTTTATCAAAGCCAATCACAATGCTTTCTTATAGGAAAGCATTGGATTGGCTGAGACTGTCAAGGAGGCAGATCACGGGCAGAGCTAGCACAAGCCAAATACTAGGGATCGACCGATATTGATTTTTTTATATCCGATACCGATAATCTGTGAACTTTCAGGCCGATAACCGATAACTTGCCGATATTCTGTGCATTTACCATTTTGAAAAAATAAACTATTTCTAAAGGTAAATGCACAAAATATACAAGCCACATGCAGTGGATGCAGTGTGTTTAGACAGTGGAGCTGTGTGTATTTGTGTAGTGTGTATATAATGAACGTGTGTTTGTGTAGTGTGTATAGTTAATGCAGTGACTGTTTGTGTAGTGTGTATAGTTAATGCAGTGACTGTTTGTGTAGTGTGTATATAATGAATGCAGAGTGTGTATAGTGAATGTAGTGTGTGGTGTGTAGAGTGAATGCAGTGTGTGTGTAGTATGCGTAAAGTGAGTGCAGTGTGTATAGCGAACGCAGTGTGTGTAATGTGTGTATAGTGAATGCCGTGTGTGTAGTGTGCGTAAAGTGAATGCAGTGTGTTTGTATAGTGTGTATATAATGAATACAGTGTGTAGTGTTTGTATATAATGTAGTGTGTGTATATAATATAATGTAACGTAGTGTGTGTATATAATGCAGAGTGTGTAGTGTGTGCATTATATACACACACCCTACATTACATTATATACACACACTACACTATATACACACACACTACACATTCTGCATTACATGCAGAGTGTGTGTGTTTTCCTGATGTGATTTATGTAAATTGGGGCATTTTTTATTTTAATTTTTAATGTTTATGTTTTATTTTGATTTTTAATGTTTATGTTTTATTTTAATTTTTAATGTTTATGTTGTATTTACATTTTTTGTCCCCCCTCCCTGCTTGTTGCCTGGCCAAGGAGGGGGGGCTATAGCATTCCCTGGTGGTCCAGTGGCATGTACTGAGCTGTGGGGGGGCTGGCAGCAAGCGTTTACTTACCTTCCAGCAGCTTCTCCAGCTCCCAGTGTAAATCTTGCGGCCTATGTGCCGCGTGGAGCGTAGCCATGGTAACCCATGGCAACACTCTGATGGCCGCAGGTCTTGTAATGAGCCCGGCGGTCCTAGGAGGTATTATCGGCAATATCGGTATCTATATACCGATATAGGCCGATTATATCGGTAAAACTGATAATCGGTCGATCCCTACCAAAGGCAGCCCTGGCCAATCAGCATCTCCTCATAGAGATTAATTGAATCAATGAATCTCTATGAGGAAAGTTCAGTGTCTGCATGCAGAGGGTGGAGACACTGAATGTTTGGATGCATTTTAGGCAGCCATGACCCAGGAAGGATCTCTAACAGCCATCTGAGGAGTGGGCAGTGAAGTTATCACTAGGCTGTAATGTAAACACTGCATTTTATCTGAAAAGACAGTGTTTACAGCAAAAGCCTGAAGGTAATGATTCTACTCACCAAAACAAATTCAATAAGCTGTAGTTATTCTTGTGACTATAGTGTCCCTTTAAACTGCAAAGAAATATGATAGCACTTTACAATATACACTAGCTAGTTTGATATAGCTTTATACACATTCTATATTTACATAATTCACTGCTTAATTTCAAATTTCTTAAAGGACCACTATAGTGCCAGAAAAACATACTCGTTTTCCTGGCACTATAGTGCCCTGAGGGTTTTCATGGTCTTAAAGCATGAAAACTGAGCTCCTTGTCTTTCCTCCTCCTAATACTGATCCTCCTCTTTCGCTCTCCCTTCAAGTTTGTGGTACCAACATCAGCCCATCCTTGCAAGCGCGCTGTCTTGGCGTCATACTTGACTCTGGTCTCACCTTTGAGCCTCACATCCAGCATGTTGCCAAATCCTGTAGATTCCATCTTGAAAACATAGCCCGCATCCGCCCCTTTCTTGCACCAGATACTACCAAGGAGCTTGTCCATGCTCTAATAATTTCACGCATGGATTATTGTAACCCTCTCCTGCTTGGTCTTCCCAAAAGCCGTACTGCACCCCTACAGTCTGTAATGAATGCTGCTGCTAGACTGATTTTCCTCTCTAGTCGGTTCTCTCACACCTCACCCCTCTGCCAGTCCTTACATTGGCTTCCTGTGTGCTATAGGAGTCAATTCAAAGCACTAACTCACACCTATAAAGCACTGAACAACTCTAGCCCCTCTTATATCTCCTCACAGATCCATAGTATGTCCCTTCTCGGTCTCTCCGCTCTGCCCATGACCACCTCCTGTCCGTTGTCCGCACCCGTACGGCCAACTCGCGCTTGCAGGACTTCTCGCGGGCGGCTCCCTTCCTATGGAATAGCCTGCCTACCGCCATCCGACTCTCCCCTAGTCTTGCATCTTTTAAGAAGTGCCTTAAAACCCATCTCTTTAGGAAAGCTTATGGCCTCCAAGACTAACCCCTACCTCACATACCCGTCTCTTGCCCTCTCCTAAAGGGCAGCCCACTTTATTTGATTGCACATTCCTGTCCTAATGTGTCTTACACCCCACCTCCTATAGAATGTAAGCTCGATTGAGCAGGGTCCTCCTCAACCTATTGTTCCTGTAAGTTTATTTGTAATTGTCCTATTTATAGTTAAATCCCCTTTCATAATATTGTAAAGCGCTACGGAATCTGTTGGCGCTATATAAATGGCAATAATAATAATAATAATAATAATAATTTATTTTTTCATATAGTATGTCTTTATTAAATAATTTGTGTTATATATCATGGTCACTAGCACTTGACTTGACACTAAGCATATTAGTATATGGCACTTCTTTTTGAGCACTCTTTAAACATATACATAAACAGACACCCTCCTCACTATACTAGGAGCGTACACAGTGCTGCTGGACCACTAGGAAAGGTAATGTCCCTCCTTGGACGGCTGTTTGGCCTATAACACATCTAATTATTATTATTGTTTTTTATTTTATATTTTCCTGCCTTGTACCACCGCAGAAGTGTATGATGAGAGTGGCCTCCGTGTCAGTGTTAATTCTGACGGCAAATTTCAATTCAGTTTTTGTCATAGTCTCTTGACTAAAAATACATTTTAGTTTTAAATGTATTTTAGCCATCTGAATTGTTTTAGAGTTAGTCTAGTTTTAGTCGACTAAATCTCCAGTAGATTTTAATCGACACAACTAAAATCTAATGGGCTTAGTAAAAGCCTCTGTCTGTCTCTTTTGTCCATTCCCCATTCCCTCTGTGTCTCTTTGTGTCCTCCCAGCCCCTCTAGGTGTCTCTCTCCCAAGCCCTGGACTGTCTGTTTTGCCCCTTCCACAGCCCCTCTGTGCTGAGGTAATTTTGGCGGCAAATTTCAATTTAGTTCTAGTCATACTCTTAGTGTGGTGGAATCTCGGTAAAAATAAATTTAGTAGGCCGAGATTACCACGTGGCATGTGTACGTGCATATGCTGACGTATCGATCAGTTGGTTGCACGAGGCAAGATACGATCAGTAGTGTACGGAGCATGTGCAAGAATACAGGATGTAGTATTCCCCTCCTCCATTGTGCTGGACAAGCCATGCGGTCAAGCAGGAAGTTAATTCTTATTTGTAATGATTGGTCAAGAGAATGTGCGGGTGGAGCTTAATATGGGAGGAGTTATGTGCCTATATAGGGAGCCTGCACTATTGTTCAGGGCTCAGAACTTGCTGTATTTTTGGTGACATTAGTCCCTCTGAGTCCCGATCGGTGATCCAATAAAGAATCTCTTCCTTCCTGAAGAAACCTGTGTCCATCTCTCTGTGCTTTGCTTCCGTCAGTTTCTCCGGTATCATTTGGTGCATTGGCCGGGAAGCTCATCGTTCAACGGTAGCTGAGAGGCAGAGGCGTGAGACGGTCTATCTTTGCCCACGTTCTCTACGGCTGCACCCCTGAACTTCTGCGTGGACCTCCCTTCGTCTCGGCGCCACTGGTCTGTTGTCCAGGAGATCATCGGCCTCTACGTAAGAAGTGCTGGGGTGTCCCCGTCGATGAGTGTGAACTCAGGTTCAGGAACGAGGAGGTAAGACAACTGCTGTTTTAGACGGCAGACCCACTAGGGGTATACCGATTGTGCGGTAGGCCCAAAAGGGGTTTAAATCTGTGTATGGAATCTGCCCCCTCTGTCGGAGGGAAGGAGCGAAGGCGCACCGCTCGATCGAACGCTCTTTAGTAAGACCGTTTGATCTGGTTAGTCAGGCGGGGTCCTGTGTAAATAGCCCTAGCCGGACACCGGTGTCTTGTCTAGACTAGCGTTCTAGGGTGTATATTACGTTCGCTAGGTCGGAGGGACCGGGAGACTAAGCGGCGCCTGTGTAAATTCGGTTCGCTAGCTCTCAACCTATCTTGGCTAAGTGGGAAGGCGTGTAAATTTGGAACCCACTAGACTTTTGATAGAGTAAATAGACTAGAAGGGCAATTTTGTAAATTTCGCCCTCTAGTTCGCTATATGTGGTGTTTGGGCAGTGTGGCTAACCAAAACGGGTGTATATAGTTTTAGGTAGTCCATTCAAGGTACTGGCCAATAGTTTAGTTGGGATTGTAAATGTGTTAAAGATTGTTAGTAAAGTGTATATCTTGTTAGATAGCGCGAGCTCAGCCGTCTAGCGAGAGTGTTAATAGTGTGTTGCTGTATCATAGTGCACGGTACCATAACCCTGTATATTTACTGACACTGTATATAAGTACTAATCATTGTCGTCTATTGCATGTTTAACACCGTAACCACTAATAATTGTATTGTGACCTTAAATTGTGCTTTGACCTATGCTAACCGTACTGTAACCGATACTAGTAAAAGACGATGTTACTGGGGTGTGTTATAGACGGGTAATTCATATATAGAGAATTATAGCGTGGGTGACTGTATAGTTTCGCCAAAGGGCATAATATTGATTATTTAGTGACTGGTGTAACAGCTGTGTGTGTACGGGAATTCCCTGAGTGATTATTGTGTTATTGTGTACGTTTCACTCGGTAACTGTACCACGTGGTGCTGTTGCCAGAGGAAACGGGTGTGACTGTTGAATAAGAACGCGTGCATAGTATTCGTTGTCAACGACGTTCCATTGATAAGTATGGGCGCGTCAGAGTCAACGATTTCGGATCCCTTAGGTTGTATGGTAAAGAATTTTAAAAAGGGATTCAAAACATGTGATTTTGGGGTTAAAATGTCTCCTGTACGTTTGGTCACTTTGTGCACTAGGGAGTGGCCTATTTTGGTTGCGGCATGGCCGCCGCGTGGCAGTTTGGATCCAACCCTGGTACAGCGTGTACACGTGGCTGTATCAGGTAGGCCTGAACTTTACGGACAGTTTCCATACATTGATTGTTGGGGCAGGCCGTAAACGACTCGCCAAAATGGATCCGGATATGCCACGAGGAGCAATGTCGCCTCATGGTGGCCAGGACTTGTTTGTCCACTAGGACTGGTGTTAGGCCCATTTTGGACACGCCCCCTGAGTCCGAGATCCCTTTGCCGCCCCTTACTTTCCTTTAAGAGGAAGTGACGCGAATGCAGGAAGCTCTGCACCCCTTCCCCTATTGCCCCCATCCACTTCCGCTTCCTCCTCCAGTACAGAATCCACCCCCCCTCGTATTAAAACTCCCCTTCCGGAACCAGGACCAACCCCCATTAGATTTGAATATCCTGATTTGGCGCCACTTCAAACTTCCGGTCAAGCTTCTTCTAGCTCGGCTCGG